TAATCTGGCGGTTAGATATAAAAATTCTAATTAACCTGACCTGACCTGGCTGTTAGCCACTCTATTTTATATAAATTTAATAAAACTAATTATCTGACTAATTTCAAAGCCCGAATTTATATTAAAGATAATTTATAGATATCTGATTAGTTAGAAATATATACTAGTATTCTTATAATCAGATCTATATAGATTTTTTTAATTCTAATTATTATATTTAATCTGGAAATTAATTAATTAGATATAATTACTATCTTTTTTAATAGTCTTATTAAAAAGAAAATCTATATAAGTCTAATTTCTAAATTAGAAAAAAAATAAACAGTTTTTTTATTATAGAAAGCTCTATATAAATTAAGATATTTATTATTTTTTTAATAAAATATTTTGAAACAGAGACTAATAATTCTAGAACTTAAGCTTATTCAGAAAGATTAATATATCTTTATTAATAAATTTATAATTTTAATAATTTTTGTAAATAATATAATTTATATATTTTATAAATCAAATTATTGAAAATTTAATAAATTTAAATAAGAATTAATAATATTATTTAAATTTAAAGATCTTAAAAAGATTAATTTATTTCTTAATATTTAAATCTTATATAATCGCCCAAATAGAAAGTTATAGATTTAATAATTAAATTATATTAATAAGATTATTAATAAATTTAATTTAGAGTAAAGAAAAAGTCCTAAATCTTTATTTTTAAATAAAAAATTAATAAAGAATCTATTTTATCAGATTATTACTAATTAAATTTATAAATTTTAGTAAAAAATAAAATTAGTTCTATATCCTGCAGTTTAGACTAGGCCTGATATTATTAAATTATATTAATTAATTTTAGAATATTTAATTAATTTAAGTTCTAAATATCTCAGAACTGTAAATTATTTAATCTTTTATTTAGAAAAAATAAAAAATTTAACTATTAAATTTAATTCTAGCTCTATTTTATTTTATATAGCCAGTAATATTAATTTTACTGATAATTAAGATTATACTAGCTTAATAAAATATATTATTTATTTATTTAATAATTCTATTAATTAACTAAACAAAAAATAGTATTATATAATTCTTTTAATTATTAAAACTAAATTATTAGCTCTAACTACTATAATTAAGTAACTTCTTTAATAAAGAAGATTTTTTAAATAAATAGAATTTAACTTTAATTAATACTTCTCTATATTATATAATAACTATTAAATAATTAAAATTCTTACTAATAAGAATTTTCTCTTTTGAATTAGTCTGAAATATATTAATATTATTAATTATTAATTAAAATAAGAAACTCTGAATAAAATAATTAATATTTAATAAATATTTATTAATAAAATATAAGTAAATAGCCTGACTAAGCAGTTTCTTAATCAGAAATATACTTAATTTATTAAATAATTAAATATAATAATTTATTAAATTCTATTATTATTATTTTTTATTTTTTATAATTTATTTACTCTAGTTTTTTCTAATATTTTATTTTATTAAAACTGCGAGAGTATATTAATAATATAGATAGACTAATTAATTTACTGTCTAAGACTTATTAATTAATTATCTAAGATTTACTAGTTTACTATCTAAGATTTATTAGTTTATAGTCTCAGACTAATTAGCTGTCTTAAATTATTAATTAATAAATTAATAATTTTAAATTCTATTTATCTTATAACAGAGTAAGAAATCTTACTTTTATTAATTATTTTAGTCTTTATTTAATTATTAATTTTATTATTCTTAATTCTGTTTTATTTATATAATTTTTATATAATTTTTATATAATTTTATATATTTTTATATATTTTTAATAGCTAATTAATTATAAATATAAATAAAAAAATCTCTTAATTTTTAATTAGTTTTTTAATAAGTTTTAATTAAATTAAATTAGTTTTTAGTTTTTTTTTATTTATTTAATCTTTGATTTTTTTATTACTTCTTTTATCTTTCTTTTATTTTTCTTTTATTTTTATCTTACTTTTATCTTACTTTTATATTTAATTTATATAAGAAAGTAAGAGTTTAGTAAAGTCTTTTTAAGAGATTAGAGAAAAGTTCTTACTTAATTATCTAATCTTTAATTTTTTTATTTTTTACTTCTCTTATTTTTCTCTTACTTTCATCTCACTTTTATATCTAATTTATATAAGAAAGTGAAAGTTCAATAAAGTCTTCTTAAGAAAAGTTCTTACTTCTTAAGAAAAGTTCTTACTGAGATGTGCGCAAGAAGCATACTACATGTAAGCGGGACGTGGCCGGTTCTTTCATATCACATATACCTTTGGCACATTCTTTATTTCTCCCCGCATACTCCCTGCTCTTTATCGCTAAGACAATCTAAACGACCGTACTAGAGCTCCCCTACAGACTGAGATATGGACATATAACTTCTCCTCAAAACGGCCGCTTTTTACAGTTGTCCAGGTCCTCCGGTATGCTCTCATGAGCATCAGCCTGTGTCAAACTATTTCTCTCTGCTACAACCCCCCGCAGAAGCGTCATGCAAGAGCGAACGCAGAAGATTACAGCGCGCGATCTTGATATCCGGGTCAATGTCCGGTGCTTCAGGGGGGGATAGCAGTCGGCGGTTTCAATCTTGCACGGCTGAGAAGGTACCTGATAGCTTTGCCTCAGGATAGAAGTTATTTCCGTCAAAGGGGAAGAGATCTCGACCGTTTGTCTGGAGACTCCACTATGTCGTCTCAGCTGGTGAGACAGGGAAGTGAGGACTGTCTTTGTACAGATTCAGAGACGCGAGCCATACAATCATCCGTTCATCAGAGAGACTTTCTTCCAATCGAGCAAGAAACCGGTCTGCGCCTTTGAAAATGCGAGCCTGATAGCCCGGAACGGTCTGGTGGATCTCCTGCATCGACATGTCAACCCGGGCAGGACTCAGAAAGCCATCGGGAAAGCATGCAATGTAGCTATGAAGTGTCAACCCATTTTCTGCATCGGGTCGCATACCTCTTCGTCATTTTCACCCCGGTTACGGAGAATTGTCGCGGGGTCGAGTCGAGAGAGAGCTATGAAGTAACACTGGCCGGTGATTTGCGCAGGGCGTCATCGCGCAGGTCCAAGATGATAAGAACTCGCCAGGATAATACGAAGATCATGCGCTCGCTGTAGAGCTTGATAATAGCAGGATTGATTATCGCGCTACCGCCAAAGGCCTCGTTGGCATGGTCGTGTATTACCTGCTTGCGCTCAGAGATCTAATTTATATATCTGCAGACTATTCGGATCCAATCAATCATTAGAATTTTCTTTGATATCTGTATGCGTGGTTTGATTCATAGTGGATAAAAAAAATTTACCTCTGTCTAAAATAGCTGTACTTTCTCATTGGGGCCTGAGAAATAATTTCGAATAATCAGTAAGTGATCAGATTATGTGTCCAGTAATCAAAATCAGTTAACAGTACTAAGAAATTCTGATCAAGACCACTTTAGATATGCCTGGTTTTTTTGAACCGATTAAAACCAATATCCTGCACAGAGAAAACAGTTAGCACAGTATATACAAGAGCAGAGTAAGAGGAAGAATGACTGCTAGGCGATGTTTCTTCCCGAACCGCGACACGAGCGCGAAAACTCAAGACAGCCCACTGATCCAGCTTCAGCAACCACCACGGCTGCAGTAAGGCCCTTGTACCCCACGGACACTGTTTTTAAGAGTGCCAGGCTGGATGTGTTTCAACATATTGACTGTCCCTTTCCAACGCAGCAAAATCGGAAAGGTGCATTGGGATAGAAAGACGGAGGTAGAGCTCAGGTAGACTTCGGGGTACAGTAAATAATGTCGAATCCTTGGATCCGGATGTGTTGACGGTCAAGATGGTGGGGTCCTGGAGACTTTCACTCGGGTTTTTCTGGTTATAAGTGTTGTCTTTGTCCAATTCACTCACACATTTCATTTTCACAGTTGCCGCGCGCTTTTTTCCAATGATATCGTCAGCCACACTCATCTTTATCTTACTCTAACAACCACAGAGACGCAATTCCTAGTCTATCATCCCCGGACAACTATCCTGATTTCTGTGTCGGACCAACAATCCTATACAATTCCTATCCCATGGTGAACCGCGACAATAAGTATAAGCAGTCCGTACATAACAGAAGTATGGTTTCTGACCATCCCAGCCGAGACCAATGTTCTCTCCAGTCAGATCTGGACCTTGGTGCCTGAGGTGAACAAAGTTTCACACACAAATATATGCACACAAATATGACTAATTATCCAGTTTGTGCACAGCAGCAGGTCGCCTCCCCAATAACCAACCAGGACCGTCATTATTAACCTTGGCTAACCCTAAATGAAGAAGTGAAGTGGAACACCCTAGGGCAGTTGTCACTGTGTGATATCGCGACTTCTTTCGATCCTTCAACTTATCATCTGAATCGTGCTGAGAATACCCTATCGAGTCCATCTCGTCAATATATATCTGCACTCTACGGCTCAGCCTGATGTATGCTTAAATCCATGTACTAGATCATGCAGACGGTTCTTCAGCAGCAAGGTGAATCATGCAATATTTCATCTACTCAGCCTCATCAGATGTACTCGATTACCAAGCCACGACAAGGCTGTTGAATCATATCAAGATCATCGTGGTCCTTCACTCGATGCTCCACCCGTGTAAGCCTTCGGAAAGGGGTAGAGTGGAGCCGGATAATCGTGGCTTGCGTTCAGGTCTCATCGTTCAACCCGGAACAATGGTCAATCCGATCATCTATGTTTCCGGGCCAATATGATGGCCGGCCTTAAATGACGATTTCCTGCTAGGGATTCGGGTATCCGCTCCCCATTTCCTGTTTCTACCATAGCGTCTGCGCCGGATCACCTTAGCCCATATTCGGCCTTTCCAACGATCAGAATGGCTTTTGGCCCCCAATATGACGGGGCTGAGGATGGTTTTTCCGGGCCCTTGTTCTTCAGCTGCTCCAAGCTCACGGTCGTCCCTGACCCTCCTGCAATATAACACAAAATAGAGCACCGAAGTCGCTTCAGAGGTGCTATTCAGTTTCCGGACCGTCAACCAGTATGTCTACCGCGGTGTGCCATGCCATGCACAATGGGGTTATCGAGAACAACTCCGCCGACGTAGCTTGCGGCGTCACCAATTCCACGCATCCCTACGTGACCTGCTGCGTCAACGGCGACTATTGCATGAGCAACTCGATCTGTCTGAACCCCAACACCGAACAAGGCGACTATTACTACGCCGCAGACTGCACAGATGACACCATGGAGGATGCCGCCTGCGGGACGCGATGTGGTGAGGCTCACAAATAAAACAGCCCGCAACAATTGCTGACGTTGTTGCTGCAGGAGGTCGAAATAACGCGGAGATCATCTACACGTCAAAAGGATTCTGGGCCTGTTGCGAAAACGATGCGGGGACCGTGAACTGTTCGGATCCCTCGAAGGAGGAATGGCCTGCTCCGGCTCCATCGAAACTTGCGACTATCCAATATCTTCCCCCGACAGCCTCGGGCACGCCCACTTATGCGGTCGCAACGTCCACCACATCTTCTACCTCCACCTCCACAACCACCACCACAACCACCTCCGCGACGTCAACCGCGACTTCTACAGCTTCGTCTTCGAGCAGCTCCTCCGGAATCGGGGCTGGCACTGCGGCCGGAATCGGAGTCGGTTCTGCCGCTGCGGTCTGCTTGATTGCTGCTGCGTTGGCTCTTTGGTTCTTCCGCAAGCGCAATGCTGCTCAGGATGCGCTTGTGGCCGGAGGACCACCGTACAATAGTCTCGGGGATGGAGCGTGGCCCCAAAAGTCCGAAGTACTTGCGCAGCCTGTATATGAGCTAGATCGGTCGGAGCAGCACACCGAGCTGGAGGGGGAGCCGAGGAGCATGTAGCGATACAGCCCTTGACATCGAAGGCAGACACATGAATGAAGCCGGGAATCCACACAGTTACGATCTTCTCTATACGGAAAGCCAGCCTCTAATTCCTACAATGTTCTGATGCGAATTGACGTTGGCCGAGGAAACCAATTGGGGAAGTGATATCTCACTTCCTCCTCTTGTACATAATGTGAATAATATCAGTGAACATACCCTTCTTCAACCCCGAACTCCCCTCCTCTATATCCGCAATAACCTCCTCCATCATCCTCAGCATCTCCTCCTCATAAGCCGCATACGCCTCCTCCATGCCCACCTCCCTAAACACCCCTCTTACCATCTCCACCGCTCTCCCGCCCCCATCCCCACATCCATACCACTCCCGCAGCACTCTCTTCTGCGCCTCATCCGCCCTTCCCCACCCCCCCGCAATCAACCACGTACACTTCCCATCCCTGATATCCCTCCCCAATTCTTTCCCGAATACCTCCTGCTCCCCAAAAATATCCAGAAAGTCATCCTGGACCTGGTAATATACCCCCAACCGCAACGCAACCGACCTCACTCTCTCCAGATTCTTCTCTGTGGCTACTCGACCGAGATACATCGCCAGGACCACCGGCGCGTAGACGGTATAATACGCCGTCTTCATCTCGCCTATCCTTTCCCATACACACTCGCCCCATTCCCCCGCAAACGAACAAACATCCCCGTTCACATCCTCACTGCCACTCCCAGACCCAGACCCAACCCCATTCCCAGAGAGACTAGAAATCAAATCCACCATCTGCCCCGCCCCCGTCCTAAAAACCGTCTCATGAAACACCTCCACCAGATCAACATAACACTCCAGGTCCCGGAAATACCTCTTGAGTAACGCAAAGACCGTACTCTCCAGCATCGCGGCATCATTAATAGCTCTTAGCCCGACACCGGGAACAGCATGCCAGGAGGCCTTTCCGCGGCGCGTGACGTCGCCATCTTCGATATCGTCGCACATCAGCACAGAGGCCTGTAGGAGTTCGAGCAGCCAGCCGAGTTTCGCGGCGGAGATGAACTCGCTGGAGGCGAGGGGGCGGGAGAGGATGTGGCTGAGGGTGTTGGGGATGAGGAGGCCGCGGAGGTGTTTCCCGTTTGTGGTGTTGTGGGTTAGGGACTGGGGTGGGGTGTCAGTCAGTTTTGATAGGGGGTGTGGAGGGAGAGGGAGAGGAAGAGGGGAACGCTACTTTTTCGAACCAGGATAGCATCTCATCAGATGCGTGGAAGGATCTCGCGTAGTCCAGGGCATCGTTCAGAATGATTGGAAAGATCGATTTAAAGCGTTCGTGGTTCATATACATTGCTATTGTTTCCGGTGGTGGTGGTGGTGGTGGTGGTGAGTATAGTCGGAGTGATGTTAGTAAAATCTAGCCCAGGGATTCACATCAAAAATAAATATCCTTTACACAGAGTAATAACTATCCGATCTTCTTCCACAGTCGGTTTATACCCGAAACCAACATCCCAACCCATCCCAACCTCCGCCGTCCCACGGACGTCGGGATAAGAAACAGGGTTAGGGTTTCCGGCAACCGGGTCCGGATTGCCTCGATTCAAGGTCATACTTGTGAAACATGTTAAAGCAGACATTATCTGGGAACTTGGATCAACCGTTTATTCCTTGTTCTTGTGCATTCATTCTTTTTCGGTGCGTGTGTTTTTCTATTTGGGGGAGCTGGGGGTGTAATCCGCATCTTGGTGGGTCGGTGGGTCGGAAAGGTCAGTTTAGGGATGTGGAGCCGGTAAAGATAGCGATTTCCATCCAACATCCGATATGGTGTAGTGGCTAACATCGCCGTCTCTCACACGGCAGCCGGGGGTTCGATTCCCCCTATCGGAGGCGCGAAAGACTATCATTTGATTTTTTTGTTGAACCACGATGTCCCCATACAGGGAGGAGGAGGAGTAGTAGTAGTAGTGACCGTCCCGTACTTACTACCTTTTTCAGCTAGGCTACCTTTGCATCCTGTCTTTTTTGGATGTGTTGTTCGTGAATTGTCAGATCGCGTGAAGATAGATGACATTTATATTCCACATCTGAGATCTTTTGACCATACGGCATGGGGATCCAGTTTATCGCAGAAGCGCAGAATTATGAATAACCGGCCTTGGTAGCCTACCACAAGGTGACTTCAATTGATTCAGTTCGGACCAGCTACAATAGCATCCATTATAAGGCATCTCTCCGTGCAAGAACAGCCATGCTCTCGAGTTCGGGTGAGACTACTATCGGATTTGAAACTCCTCTCGGCCACGGGTCCTGACGGATGCGGATCTGAGTATAGGATACCAAATTGGGACACTACACTCCGCCTCTGCCGGGTAAAAAAAAAAATCCTCTACTACCCGAACAATGAAGTTAAACTGGAGGTCCCTGTCAAACAACGCTTACTATAGTAGTCAACCGGTGAGATAGATATTGACGAGCGCCACTACGGCAAAAAGAGCACTCCCCACGCATGACGCCCCGGAAGAGGGACACTGCGGTCCTGACAGATATTTCACACGGTATCTAGCCTAAGATTTGAGACTGCTGGGATGACTACAGATCAGCGTAATTCCCGTGGAAGGTCAGAGTTTTCAATAACTACAGATCTCCGTGGCTGCTTGCCCGGCTGTTTCTAATGCTACTTGTTACGCGGGTGGACGAAGATTGAAGAGCGCTGAAATAAGTGAGACTTATAGAAAAAGAAATATCGTATGCTAATAGAGTATTCATGAAGTAGCCAACCCCTCGATGCTCCCAGCCAAAGGCATGAAGACGGAAGACGGGACTTGATAATTCTAATCATGGGAGATATACCTTGGCATCCCTGATCGCTTCAGCATAACGTTCCACCGGAAGGCCGAGAACTCTCATCAATTCCAAGGCCCGTTCCCGGATGCGCTCAGTCACTTCCAGCTTCTCATGCCACAGCACAGCCGTGATGACTTCTGGATTTTCTTGCATAATCGCAGCAACCAAAGGGTCGTGATGCTTCACACGGTTGTTTAGGAGCCGGATATTTGTCTTGGGACTGTGAAGAAGATCGGTAACAGCCGAAGTTTTACCTTCCGCGATCGCCACGTCCACGGCTGTCCGTCCGAAGTGATCCTCAATCATAGGATCGGCTCCAACATGAAGAAGCCACTGCCGTTTTGTGTGGGATACACTGTCCCCGTCCAAAGCACGGAATAGGGCCGTCTGGCCGTTATTATCGACCCTATTGACAAAGTCCACGACCGCTTGATCAAGAATATGAGTACAAGTGGTCAAGCTGAAGACGGGAAGCGAAGCGTACATGTGAAGTACAGTGCCACCGGCCGAGTCCTTAAGATTGTGTATATCCGTTCCATTGGCCAAAACATTAAACACCAGATCTTCTCGCTCCAGGGCACAAATGGTTCGGAAGGTATTCATGTATGCCATATTCCCGCCCCACTCCACCAGCGCTTCGATAATGGCAACTTGGGCCTCGTTGTCGTCCGTCACACCGAGGGGAAGCACATAGTCAAGGGCAAAGCCATCACGCCAAGCGCACTTGAGGTTCGGGTCCGCACCCTGCTCCAAAAGGAACTTGACGCACTTGACCTTCTGGTGCGTAACGGCATAGTATAGCATTGGGATCAGTGTACTTCCCGCGAAGTTGGCATTGTAGCCGCCCCAAGAGATATATTTGGCAACCCGATTAGGATCGTCGTCCTCCATGGAAAGGTCGTATCTTGCTTCAACCTCAAAGAGACAAGGATACTTTGTTGTGCTGGCAAAGTCCGCCAGCAAGTCTCGGGCTGCTGGATTGGCATTTTTATCCCCCGCCAGGACGGGCTGGGCAATTTGGCAATCGGCCTGCATCATGCGATGGAAAGTGGTGCCCTCGACCTTCACAAGATGGTCTAGGGATCGGCCAAGGCATGCTGTAACGTGGAGGCAAACCTCCATTGGGATGTCTCCGACACCGGGCCCGTAACTCTGATATCGCTGACGTGGTGGCACACGCGCTTTGGCGAGAACTTGGTCTAGGGGCATGTCTTCCACGTAGTTGGCCATTGTATCGGTTACACTGGTGTCTTACCTTTGGTAAGAAGGAGCGAGTTGAGCAATTATCAGGTTCGAGGGACGGTCAAGTCGGCGCTGCTGATAAGGAAGGATTGGTCTATATTGCCGGGAGTATAAGTGGTTTAAATACTGGGGTCATGGGGATCCGAAGGGAGGGTTCATAGTTGAATTGAGCTATAACCGTGACCTCGGGATGGATAGCCTCGATCTTCACGGGGAAAACTCCGCGCAAATATTTCCCCTTAACATGTGCAATGTAGCATATCTTCTCGAGTCCAAAAGAGTGTGGTGCTTATATACAAACCTGACCGATCCAGGTTTGTTTTATCGGAAAATACCATAGCCTTGCCAGATTCGTAACCCCGGAATGATCGCGAGTTCAAAATATCAGCATATAGGGGAACCTATCGACCTTCCCATGCTTCTATACAACAGTCACATATGCTGGAGAAGTGGAACGTACTAGTATATGTAGGAAAGCCCCATCAATTCTGGCGTCTCGCTTCCAACTTTGCAAGAAATCAGGATATCTCCCAAATTAGTAAATAGGCAGGATGCCATCAAGAAGGCTGCGACGATCAGGCGCGACGGATTTCAGAATTATTTTGGTCTGGGGACACCTTTTTAGTCAAGTGGTATGGATTGATAGCTAAGTCAACAGAGCTGAAGCACAACGGTAATAAGTTGAGGAAGTCAGCTCAGTGAATTGAAGGAAAATTACTCCTCGGCTAAAAGAAAGGCTGCCCAGAGTTGGCAGTGGTTATGGCAGAGCTGAATATTCACACAGTGCTGACCCAAACACTTCCCCTCTCACATAACACACAATGCAACGCCCTTCGTAACCATGGCCTGTCTGATCCGCTCTTTCCGACTCCTTTACAAATGCAATATACACATCATAGAACGAAGGCCAATACAAGCCGGGGGGAGGTCTTTGTTGCCATTCCCGCAGCTTTGTTCGTCATACTGGCCCCACGCCATTTCATCCCAACATTCGAAAATAACAATACACCCCGAAGCGAGAAAGGAATAAACAAAGGAAACAAAGACAAGGGAATATACCGATGAGGCTGTGAGATGGACAGCCGCAGCTCTACACTAACCTTCCCAGTTCAATACCAAGCAAGCCACGCGCAGCTCAACCTCAATATACTCATCCCACCGAGGGCCTTGACAGCCTAGTAATATTCCACAAGCTATCCATGCAAAGCTTTCCCTATCATTTTCACAGTTCAGCACGTGCCGGTTGCTATGAAAATACTGGTTCGAGATCTTACGGAGACATCCGGCTCATGTCGTATATTGAGCACCAGAGCGGATAGAAATGGTGATTTCATTTCTGGATGTAGGAAAATGCCAACGATGGAATAGCGTCTTTGATAGATGAAGCCCATCCACGACGGAGTTCTCCGGAAAGGAACCCTACTAACATGGGTTACTCCTACCTCTTCACCACCAAGAGTGCTGAATTGACATGGGTGGGTGATGAGATCGCAAGGTAACCTCCGTTATATCCCAGGAGAACCGTCATGGAACTCTCCGTATATCATTATGGTCCCAGTTATATAAGCTCCGTCCCCCCCCGGCACTTCGGACTCTTCCTCCTCAGTGTCCAGGACCAAAGGCGATCTCGGACTTTCAAGTGTTACCGAATTCGGCAATACGCGATAATTTCGATATCCAACTCTGCATACTGAAGTGTCTCGATCTTCGACCAATTATCCCAGACAAAATGGACGGTCCAAGCCTTGTCACACACGAGGATCGTGTCGGAAACTGGCCAATCGAGCTATGCTACCACATTGAAAACTGCCTAGGTCACCGGATGAGTGAGGCAGCAGATACAGACTACATCGATTTTCACGACTTGATGAAGGAAAGAGCCAAAGCCAAGGCACATCGTGAACACGAGGCCGTGAGTTTGGAAGAGAGAGTTTGCGATATCTTCCGACGAAGCTACGGAGAGGGGAATACCGGTTTGACGAAGTGTCTCTTCTGTCCCAGGGAGGGGCCGGCTTTGGGAATGGTAGACGAACGCGTGGTGCATGCTATCAAGAATGGAGATTTGGAAAGTCTCCGCGCCTTTCTCGATCATCCCACCAAGGACAGGAACAAAGGGTACCTGGAGGGTGGATGCAGCGCCAACAGCCTTTCGTGGTCTGGATTTCCATTGATCACGCTGGCTGTCCTGCATTCGCAGCAGGCGTGTATCGATATTTTGCTCGACTATGGTGCTGATGTCAACAAACGGAGCTGGTGGAACGACGGCCTTCCCCTCGACTACATCATCCCTTACTGGGCAGGAAACACCCACTTTACAGGCGCGGACATCTTGTGGGTCATGCTTACCAGCGAAGCACGCTTCACCTATATGAATGCCTTTAATAGTCTCTGCGCCATTCCCGAGCGTATGCACGCGTTGAGGGCGGCCGTCGCGCATGGGACAAATCTCCGAGCCCTAAGGGGCAATGACGGCATGACTGTGCTCCAGGCGGTCTACAAGGATTTTGTATACTTTGAGGATATCGTGGAGTATGTGGAAGAAGCGGTGCCTGATTTGATGTACCTCAAGGACTTGCGAGGCAGGTCTGTCATGTGGTATGTCGCCTGCAGTGGCAATGGAGAAAAGGCCCGGGAGATCCTCACAATGCATCGAGCCATTCAAGTGGAAGGCTGGGAGAAAGAGATGTTTGTGGCTTCTATCGCTACTGGCAATGTCTATGCAGCCAAATATTGCCTCGAGAACGAGAACTTCCCCATCAAGGAATTCCATGAGAATTGTGAGTTCAAGGATTCGCCTCTGGGCATGGCTCTGTTGGGTGGCCATGGCGGGATCATGAGGCTCCTGCTCAACCATCCTGAATTTATTGTCCCCGAGGCATCCAAACGGGATGCTCTCGAGTATGCCTCCACAGACGTGTGGGCTTATCAGTACATCAACCGCTTGAGGCGTCTGCGAACCGAGGATGCTTGAGCCTCTCTCTGCCCTGATCGTAGCGAGGTTCGCTCCTATCTCCAGTATTTCACTATCTAATAGGTAGCCTTTAACGCAAGTTGAAATCTCAACTGCTCATTTTGATTTTGTACAACTAACTATCCACTCCATGAACTTGACACCACCCCGTAAGCCCTAATATCCAGGACCATCACTCGTCGTCATACCTAGTCAAGTAAAAATGCAAAACCCCAGAATCCCCATAATAAGGCTTATAATCATTCGTCCCAGCTACCATATTCCCATTCACGTAGCGAAAGCGCCGATTGTTCTGTTGATTATCAGAGACAAAGAGGCCGCCCGGGGTGCCGTGGAATTTGACCTCGTGGACCTATCAATCGAGGATAGCATCCCACAGCTCCAATAGTATGAGACATAAGATCCTTGTAACTTACCTTATCGACGCCCTCCTCCGAGTAAAGAGTATTCACCAACGGGAGTATATCCGCCGCGAGAGCGTGCGCGGGATGACCTGTATCGATGACATGCACGTCCCATTCTCCTTCGAGGGACTCGGGCTCGGCGAGTGGAAGTTTGCTGTAGGCGTCGTCGACTTCAGCTGGGGTGAGCTGGTTGAGTGCGCTCGTGAGAGCGATGTATTCGTCCGCTGGAGAGCTATAGTTTGTAATGTTAGGTGTGTTTGAGAGTGTAAATGGGCTCATGATCATATTAAGATAGGCTTAGGGTCTATGCATACCCTGTCATTGTGGCTTGGTATAGTGAAAAGGACGAGTATGTGATTGTTTAATTGCTTCCAAGAAGTAGTTCTATAAATAAAGATGTTACTCCCATACAAGAGGAAATCGCTTCCTAAATAATGTCAACAGGACATGAGATGTGACGTCTGTCAGATGAATCAAACAGCCCTGATTTAAGCTTCAGGTAGATCCTCCGGCATGTCTACTTACCACAATACAGAAAGGTTATCTCTGTTTAACTTTTGAACCATCTCGATCTCGGAATCTGCAATGACGATCATAAATCATATATTTTGAATCGAATCTCTTCATATTCACATTTACTTCCCGGCAGAGCACCTCCCCGCCGTGCAAACCATACCATATAATGATTACCATGTACTGATATCCGATTATCCGCCCGAATTCCAACCATTCAGTCCTCCAAAACCAGATAAATCCCCAAGATCATCCAAGCTCCAAACTGTGTTACTCAACCCTTAAGAAAACTGGATTTCGGGCCCACAATATCCAGGGAACCATCGCCTCTGCTGGGTACCGATATTCCTGCTGGGTATGCTCTCATCGTTACTGCATCGACGTCTTGGCTGATGATGTCGAATATAGTCATAAAGCCATTTATCTGGACACCAAATAGCATATACGACGACTCAAAGAAATTGCGTCCCGACAATCACAACCGGGTATTTAGATAGATAGAAACAGGTCCATACTTTCCTCGTGACAGTAGCCCTAAATGCTACATCAGGGTCAGTAAAACCCCAACAACACAACACGCATCCCCCGAAAAGCAAAATATCGCTTTTTTTTAAAAATAAAAAGAGAATCTCCGCGACTAACCGAGCATATATACCCACACAACCCAACCTAAAGCACCCAATTCTGCCGACCAGCACCAACACCTGATTTCCAGCCTTGCGTATACTATACATCGTGTCCCTGACATCTACCCACACCGGGCCAAACTCGGAGTTCTCCCGGCCATCATCAATACAGTCTTCAATTCATTGACAGCATCACGCATCCCACGGGTCCGGCAAACTCAAATCCATACCAAGCGTTCTCTACCAAGATACTCGCGCTCCCCGCAGAGCTGTGTGTAGCCGCTGCGGCGAAAAGAGTTTCCGATTGATTGGGGCAGTTGTAGGGATATCATGGGACGTGTTGGTGTTGTGTTGTGCTGTGTCGGGAGAGGTTCGGTAGCGAAGTCAGCAGCGGGGTGAAGAATGGAACAAAGAACCCTGATGTACTAGTTAGTAGTGGGGGTTACCCTCAATCCCCATCGAAAGAGTTCGAAAAAAGCGTCAGGAGATCCCTGCTGGCGGAGTCCACCGACAACCAGAACAGCAACAGGTGGTCAAAAGGGGAGACCACCGCTTCCCCCCCCCCCCCCCTCACGCGAGAAACTCCGCCCAAACAGCTTGTTTAGCAGGCAGGTTGATGGAATACTCCATCAATAGCCATGGAGATCTACATCTATCCTCCTCCCACGCCTGGAGTCAGGGGGCATAAATTGCCTCTCAGACCCCAGTAGCAAAGGAGCTGTGTCAGACTTGGCCAAGCACAAACTATCCCGGCGCGTCTACAAAGCCTATAGCAATACTTGCGGTTTCAACAGAACAAAGAAAGAAACAGGATGTCCGACCTCAAACAACTCCTCCAGCGATTCCCCTCCAAGGAGGAGGAGGTGTACAAGAGGGTGTTGGGAAAGATCGACAAGGCCGATTATGCGCTCACTCTGGAGGTCCTGGCCATAGTACTGACCGCGAAGCAGCCGCTCACGCTTTGCGAGTTCCGGTACGCGCTTGCGTTCCGGAATACATCTTGCAAAAGCCAGGCTGAAGCGGAAAGACACCCGACGTTCATTGCGACTGACGAAGAGATGGATGCCCTGCTGTACGGGTGGACGAGGGGGCTAGTGGAGTCGAGGGTGCAGCAGACGCCAGTGGACCCCGGTAGTCCTCCGCATGGGCCAGATGAACGATGCGTTTTCCTGGTCGATGATTCGGTGAAGGAGCTTCTCTTCCGTCGAGGGGCGTGGAACACACTTCTGCGCGCCGTGGTAAAGGATGATGATTTTGGGGAGGAGGACGTCGAGGAGGCGTTGGCCCGGACCTCTTCACCTGCGTCAATTTACTACAGCTGGAATTTTCATGTGGCTGAGATATGCATCAAGTATCTGGGGATCGAGGAACTGCAACTTGTAGCAGCTGCCCATGAACGAGCCGATGACATCAGTACGGAAGAAGCGAAGACGTTGTACGATGCGCTCTGTCGGCAGTATCCCTTCCTCCCGTACGCAACGGCGTCGGTGTTCAGGCATATATCGACCGTTGAAACGGTGCATACAAATAGAAAACTGGTGTGCGAGATGCGTGAGCGCATGATGGGCGTTTTCGAGGTCTGGAGAAGACTTATCGACCTACGCCGCCGGGTCTGTTCCAAGCTTCCATACAGCCCAAACATCACGGTTGCCCATTTGGCCGCTGTGTATGACCTGAAGCAATGGATCAAAGATCTAATTCACGAGGGGCATGATGTAAACAGGCACAATGGCGTGACTGGTACGCCGCTACATCTTGCTGTGATTTACGGACGTGAGGACATTGTCAATCTTCTGCTCGACACTGGGATAGATGTCGACAGAATTTGTGGAAATCACCAGACTCCCCTCTGTGCAGCAGTGGTTGAAGGAAGGCTGAACATTGTCGAGACTCTTCTCAGCCGAGGCGCCAGCGCCAATGTGCGATCCGGGGAACACGCGTTCCCACTCAATGCGGCTGTCTGTTCCCCCCGACGCAACATCGAGATTTTAGACGCCCTTCTTCGCGCGGGCGCCAGTGTCAGTAACACAGGCGGAAGAAAGCATGGCTCAGCCCTCCAGTCCGCTGCGTTTGTAGGTGCAGAGAAAATGGTTGAGCGTCTTATCGAGGCAGGGGCCCCACTGAATGATATCTGCGGCGATTATGGTACTGCCCTGTCAGCAGCAGCCGGTGCAGGCCATGAGCGAATTGTGGAGATTCTACTCAAGGCAGGGGCTGATGTTGGAGTATACCGTCTTGGGTATAGACATGCAGGATGGGCGGCAGCTGACGGTAAACATGAAACAATTGCACGCCGACTCTTCGCTCTTGTACACCCAGGTTGGGCCTCGGATTATCTGGATAAAAGAATGGAGAAAGTTATGACCTGGGCTGCACACCAAAGGAAATTCCATGCGGCAGTGAAAGCGGGTCGTTGTCGTTCTGTTGCTCACTACCTGGCTGAAGGCATGAGCCCGGATACCAGGGCCGGGCACTGGGGCTCCGCTTGGCATACCGCAGTTATACAGGGAAATTGTAAAATTCTGGATATGTTTCTGGAATCAAAAGTATTCCTGCCCAATGGAAAGAACGTACTGGGTCATACTGCCCTGTTCATGGCGACCATTTACGGGTCTGTAGAGATGATCACGAAGCTAATGAATGCGATGCAAAACGATTGGGGGCAGAGGGACGGATGGGGACGCAATCTTCTCTGGTGGCCAGCCAAGAATGGAGACATGGAGGTCGTCCGCATGTTGCTCGATGTCGGTGTAGATCCAAACGAGGAGGATAACTACGGTTTCTCCCCTGTTGACATTGCCAGGAAATATTATCAGACTGAAGTCGTCAAATTTTTCGAGACCGGAGAGGTTGGGGAAGAACAGTCTGAGAGCCAGTCTGGAGGGGGGTGTGATGCCAGCACCGACGAGAAACCGGAAGAGGGGCCAGACGAGGAACTGGACGAGGGATCCGATGAGGCAAGCAACGAGAGAAATAAAGAGACTAGAGAGAGCCTCCAAGAGGACCTCGAAGAAAACCTCAAAGACAGTCTGGAAGAAAGTCTCGAGAATGGCCTCGAGAAAAGCCTCGACGATATCCTCGAAGAGACCCTGAAGAACACCATGATCATCTTGCCTTTCGGCCCTGACATTATCGTTTGATTTGGTACCATTTTATCATTTCCCATAGTTAGAAGAAGCAGAGTGTCCTTTTTTCGACAGATGTTCCTAGACAACTGTATCCATTCGTATTTGTAATTATCGGTTTCTCGCTCACCCTTGGGAGCAAAACCGCCCGAGTAGAAGGTGGCCGGACACCAAGACCACTGCGATAGTATTAGATCTGACGCATCCATTTACAGCAGAGCTTTAACTGCATGGTCGAACTTGCCAGAGCAGTAGATAGACTCCAAGTCGTTTCTCTGCATCCTTCCAAGCTACCTCGTTGCATATGTGGTGACTGCCGCCACAAACGAGGAGACCCACCCAATCAAGACACGGAGTCAATCTTCATCATCAAAGCTGGCAACATGAGTAAGTCGACAGCTGATCGAACCTCGCACCTTGTCTGGACCACGATCCCGGCAGATGTCGTGCGTTGGCTTGGGGTCGGAAATTGGGCGGGTCCACCAGGTCCAATGGAGGTGAAACCGAACGGGCATGGCTGGACGCCGAGGGGCACGATTTCCGACTAAACCGGAGGCTGGGGAGCTGGCCTGTGCGGTCGGTACCCACATCTCGGTGCCACCTCGTCAAGAGGCAGACGGCTGAGATTTGAACGTCCGCCGTTCATTGCGCTTGGAGACAGCAGGTCGAGCTGTTTTGGATGAGGACACGGGGGGTGTTTGGCCGGAGAGTTGAAGTGGAATGAGAAGTGCGAAGAGGGAAAAGAGTTGTCGTGTTGACGGGTTGCCCGAAGCAGAAGTGTCGGTGGGCTGCCTGAGGTGTCGTGCTACGTAAGCGGGGATCCCCTGCCACTGGAATTTCGGGTCTGTTGTTTAGGTGCTCGTTGCTGGCTGCGTTTAAATACTCCGCCGGCCTCATTGCCGGCCTGCGAACGCCTCCTCGTCCCTCGTTCCTCGTTCCTCGTTTCTCGTTCCTTGTCTCTCCTTCCCTCGTTCTGTTCCTGTCCTTCCTCCTCCTCGTTCCCCTACTGCTTCCGGGGTTCGAGCCATAGACCATGACTTCTTCTTCGCGACGAAACGGCCAAGGTCTCCCGTGCGAACCGTGCCGCACCGCCAAACTTCGCTGCGACAACGTCACGCCGGCCTGCCAGAACTGCGTGCGTCGCGGCAAGTCGGACAGCTGCGTGTATCTGGCCGCCCCCGTCGCCAACACTGCCAAAACCTGGTACTCCGACAACGTGCCTTCGCCCGCCCCCTCGCCGCGTCCCCCACTCGCCCCGACTCCATCATGCAGGACAACCTGTCCATCAATGGCGACGAGAAGCTCTCCGTCACCCTCCCCAACAACTCCGCCGTCTTCAGCGACATCGGCAACCAGTTCAAGCGCACCCTGCACATCGACTCGCCTGCCCCGGCTCGGCCCGATCCGAAGCAAATTCAGCTGGGTGCCCGTCTCCTGGCCCTGCTGGTCGAGAACATCCCCCTCTACGAAGGACTGGCCGAGACGGCTGTCGAAGTATGGCCCGAGGGTTGTGTGTTGGGCCACCGTCTCGTCAGCGGCATCTTCGAGTCGCTGGACGACATGAACGCGGCGCTGACTTCTGACCCAACCAACGCCAAGGACCTGCAATCCAGCCTCCTCCGGTGGTCGCAGAAGGTTTTCGATGACAGTGCGAAGCCGTTTTCCCTCCACCCCTCGATGACACCGGAGGAGTACATCCGTCGGGTCGCCGCGCGCTGGGAGGGCATCGGTCTGGTGTTTACCGTGGTGGGCCAAGGCGCCATGCTGGAGCGGGACTGGCGATCGATCCGCGAGCGCGAAGCCAACGTCCCCAGAGACCAGAAGTCTCTGGCCGCCCAGGCTGTCAATGCCAGTGATGCCTGTCTCCAATTCTGCGATCTCTCCGGTGCCGTGGACGATTCTCTGGGCTGGTTGCTGTTCCAGCACATCAACCTCCTGACCCTCCTGTACGGCGAGAACGGTATGTGCGAACCCCCTCTTTGAATGATGACCCTGCTAAGTGAGTGTAGATCCCCGAGCCTGGAGAAAATTGGCCGACCTATCCACTACCGTCTTTACCCTCAGCCGTGGCCCGTCGGAAGAAAAGCGCAGCCCGTTCTTCTTGCTTGAACTCCGCAAGCGACTGGTCGCGGGCGCATACAGCATCGACAAGCAGCTTGCAACCTTCCTGGGCAGGCCTCCGCAGATCAGCTGGCGCTACTACGACGTACAGTTTCCGCTGGACCTCAGCTACGATGAAATCCTGGCGGAGCCCAAGGTCCGCGAAACCGCGATCAGTAAGCTCGACAAAACCGGCTGGAACACACAAGGCATCGTCGGAAAGGCTGCATGGATGCGCATCGCTCTGCTGATCGGGTCGACCAGGGAGCAGATCCTCGAGCTGTCGCTGAGCCGTCGGATCGAGGATCTGTCGCGCAAAGTCCAGTGAGTACGCCCATCCTCTTCGGTCGTCACAAGCTAATTCCTCCCAGGGAGGTGTCGCAGCAATCTCACAAGACGTGGAACGACCTACCTGGCTTCCTCCGCTGGCGCCCTGGCGCTTCCGACAGCAACGGCCACACCAACGTGCTCGTCCCGCTGTATTTGAACTTCCTCTACAACGACTTTCTCCTTTACCGGGTTCTTGTCCGCCGGTCGCAAAGCGGCGCGGAGGGCCTGATCAGCGTCTCGCAAAACATCCTGAGCACGATCCTGGAGCTGATTGGCAAGGAGATCGGCTCGCGGACAGGGACCTACAATGTGGGATGGAACGTGAGTGCCCCCTTTCTCTAGCGACTCTCTTCATCGCTGACTCCTCCCAGGCCTCCTCCTTTGGCATTCCCGCTGCTGGCGTCCTCGCCATCGAACTGCTCCGCCAAGCCGAGTCGCAGTCGCAACTCTCAGCCAGCGCCTTCCGGCGATCAGAAGTCATCCAGAAACTGACCGTGTTCGCCTCCCATCTGCAATACGTGGTGCGACCGCACGACGGGATGTACGAGGTCAGCCAGCGCGCGCGGAAAGCCATCTCCAACATCCTGGACCGCATCCTCACCGTCAACCCGCCACCACTCCCCGCGACCCTCCCCGCCGATGTCTTGGCCACCAATTGGTTGAACGGTGAACCTGTCATTCTGGACGATGGGACTGACCTTTTCCGCTGGATCGATAACCTGTATTCCGACTCTTCTCGACGGGACTCCTGGGCTTGATCCCCCGAAGACGATGATTTACGCATGCCCTTGACACCATTCTGGTTTGATCTGGGTCTTATGATTGACGATATACCCTGCTGCAAAAGTGAGATGACTACATACGCTGCTGCCCTTTTCGTTTTGCTCTCTTGCGAGATTTCCGCATGATCTTTCTCTGCGCGTCCGCTTTTTGTTTCATATGTTATGTTATGTACATGGGATCGTAATGCCATAATGAAATTCTTCTCGGTTTTTATACTGTCAACCATTGTACTGTCAATCGACAGTATTGTTCGAAAAAGCTGAGACAGCTACAGGGTAAGCTGGTAACCTTATTCTACCTCACCTGGTAGAATCTGTAGCCTGAGGCCTTCGGCTATCTACTACGTCCACCTTACTGTACTCCGTCCTCCGTGTAGCCAGAGGGAAGATCAACAAGGGACCCGCGCCCGTGCCCGTCTCCGTCTCCGCACCAACCAAGGACCCGAGCTAATCGCCGCCCGCTGGTTGGCCGACCGGGCTCTCCCCGCGGGTGCCTGCATAGCTGCCTGAATGCCTGGCGGCGTGCCTGTCGACCAGCCCACCCAGGGCCCCTCGTCCTCCCTCCCCCCTCCTCTCCTTGTTCTCCTCTCCCCTCCCTCTTTCCCTCCCCTCCCCTCCCATCCTATCCCGACAGCACAGAACAAGACCGGAATGTCACCTGTCACAGAAGAGGGTCTCTCCGTCACCCACCCCACCCACCGCACTGATCCCCCACATCTACGTCTGATCCACTACAATGACGTCTACCACGTGGAGTCCGTCCATCCCTTCCCCAAGCCCCTCCTCTCCTCTCCCAATTCCCCTTACCACTACAAGGCATGGGCATAGACATGGCCGTGGATAATATACTAAAACCCACCCAGAGAAGGCTCTGCCGAACCCGTCGGCGGCGTCGCGCGCTTCCAGTCCGTCATCAACCACTACCGCTCCGACCCGTGCTATTCCGGCCAACCCGACCTCCTCACCTTCTTCTCCGGCGACGCCTATAATCCCAGTCTGCAGAGCACCGTGACGAAGGGGAAGCATATGGTGCCGTTTTTGAATAAAGTGGGGACGGATGTCGCTTGTGTGGGGGTGCGTATGCCATACCTGTGCCCATACCCATACCCATGAGTCTACGGATGATGTGCTTGGGAGACAGTGTGCTTCGTGGGAGTTTTTGGCTGACCTGATGTGCTGTGCAATAGAACCACGACCTCGATTTCGGCGTCGCGCAATTCCGACATCTGCGCGATCAGTGTCGGTTTCCGTGGCTGTTGGCCAATGTCTTGGATCCGGCGCTGGGGGAGGACGTCCCGATTGCGGATTGTGGGAAGACGATGATGTTGACGGCGTCGAATGGTGTTAAGGTTGGGGTGGTGGGGTTGGGGGAGAGGGAGTGGTAGGTTCTTTGGTACATTGGACTGGGCCGGCTGGCCGGCTGGCTTGTCTGACTGGTTGAACGGAGCAAGGCTAATACTTTGTACGAAGGCTAGGAACTATCAACGCCCTGCCCCCAGATCTGATATATAAATCTGCATCCAAGACGGCGATGGAGCTGGTTCCGCGATTGCGCGAGCAAGGTGCGGAGTTGATTGTTGCTGTGACGCATCAACGCGAGCCGAATGATTATAAACTGGCGGAGAATCTGCCGCCCGGACTGGTGGATATTATCATGGGGGGACATGATCATTTCTATGCACATACAGTGGTCAATGGGGTGCATGTGCTGCGGTCGGGGACTGATTTCAAGCAGTTAAGCTATATAGAGGCGTGGAAGAAAGAGGACGGTCCGGGGTGGGACTTCAGTATAATAAGACGGGACATCGTGCGCTTGATCCCGGAGGATCCGGCGACGATGACCATGGTCGGACGGTTGACGTCGAGCCTGCAGGCGAAGTTGGAGAAGCCGATTGGGTTCACTACCCGGGCGTTGGACGGACGGTTCTCGACCGTGCGGCAGAGAGAGTCGAATTTGGGGAACTTCGCGTGCGATCTGATGCGGTTTTACTACGGGGCCGACTGCGCCATGATGGCCGGTGGGACAATTCGCGGTGATCAGATCTATCCGCCCGGGATCCTGCGGTTGAAGGATATCCTCAACTGCTTCCCGTTCGAGGATCCGGTCGTGTTGATCCGCCTCGACGGCAAAGCCCTTATCGACGCGCTGGAGAACGGCGTCAGCCAGCTCCCCGCCATGGAAGGCCGCTTCCCGCAGGTCTCGAACATCGCGTTCAGCTATAACCCGTCAGCGCCTTCAGGCTCGCGCATCAACTGGGCCAAGGTAGACGGCGCCCCGATCGACTATAACCGGAAATACACCCTTGCGACGCGAGGCTACATGGCGCGGGGGAAAGACGGGTTCTCCTCCCTCCTCATCGAATCTGAAGGCGGACAAGTCGAAGAAATTGTCGACGAGGAAAGCGGCATCCTAATCAGCACACTCCTGCGCCAGTACTTCCTCAGCCTTCGCGTCCTGGGCAAATGGCGCCGCTGGAGCCCCAGCATGACGCGCCACTGGACCACCGTGCACGAGAACCTCCACTCCAAAGGCTGGCTCAAAGGCCCCTCCGCCCCCGGATCACCCGTCACCGAAAAGACCCCCCACCACAAACGTCCATCCCTCCCCCCGCGCTCAAAACAATACTACTACGGCCGCTTTCCCGAACTCGACACCGAGGAGAAAGACGGGGGCCTGGACCGCGAACAGGAATCCATGGACTCGGACTCCGACACAGACCCGGATATTCTGACCTCGCCCCATCCGATCACGAACTACGTGACCTTGCCGGCGAGGTCGGCTACGGAGGAGGAGCGGAGGCTACGTCTGGCGAGAAAGGTTACCCGTACCTGGATGCGTCGCGCGGGATTGCAGCCGTCGGCGATTAATGATACCGATGAGATTGGGGAGTTTACCCCGTCTTGGACGCCGGGGATTGCGCCCCGGTTGGAGGGGAGGATTGTTATTGAGAGTACATGAGTGGCAGCTATATTTACTTGTAGCCTTGCATTGTTTATGAATTATGATGGTATGAGATGTGAAGACATGATAGAGATAGATTAGCTTTATGTGTTGTGTGGTATTATCATTGGTATATAAGGTATGATTGGAACTGAACGTCAGTATTCATGGCGAGGATATTATTAGGATCTCGTTACTATGGCATGGATCCATGTGTGTTTGGAATTACTTAGTTTATTACTAACACATCAACTCCATGTACGAGTAATGCTAGGAGTTCTTTCATGGTAGGGATCTGGTGAAACATTCTACTTGACTAAAGATGTCCAGATAATTCTACACAGTTTGACAGATCTATTCTGCCCTAAATGCCTGTGCTGAGCCGTGAGTTCCAATGCCCCGGCCAACTTGAAGCCCTGCCCTTAGTTCCTCAGGATGCCGTGGTTAGCTGACCACATCATTTTCAAATATATTCTGCATTTCTCAAACCTCTTCGCATGATGATTTTCAATTCATGCCAAACCAGACCGACCACCCGACCAAATGGTTTCCAGGCGACAGCGCCGTAAACCCGAAACGGCATGCACTTCATTATTTGCCAGGCCGTTTCCGAATGGCAGGCAACACCACAATTGGTCCGCCCATCCGTCAGCAGCCTCATCCCCACTTGCAACAATCAAACATTCCATTCCCAGGACCAGATGTCATAGCCGCTAGCCTAGACTCTAGTTAGTGTCTCCGGATGATATCATGGCCCAGCCCCCTCCTCCACTTCCAGGCAACCGTAAATCCCCAGACTGATTCATCTTATCTCCGTGATGCCTTTCCTTTCTCACTTTCATTCTGCGCATCCGTCCGTCCATCCGTCCCTCGCCATAGCCAGCCCAATCCCAGCCCCAATCCATCCCCCAAGCCAAGCCAAAATGACCACCCACGCCGACCGCATCGCTTCCATCTCCGCCTCAATCACCCAATTCCACCGCACCTCCACCCCCTTCCGAATCCACCACGGCAGCACCAACTCGACCCGCCAATTCCCATCCACCTCAGCCAACACAATCTCGACGGCCCACCTAACCAACATCCTCTCCATCAATGCGTCCTCAAAAACCATCACCGTGGAACCCAACGTCCCCATGGACGTCCTCCTCTCCACCGCCCTCTCCCACAACCTTCTCCCCCTCGTGATCATGGAATTCCCTGGCATCACGGTGGGCGGCGGCTTCTCCGGCACCTCGGGCGAGAGCAGCTCGTTCCGCCACGGGTTCTTCGACGCCACGGTGGTGCGGATCGAGATGATCCTCGGGAACGGAACGGTGTGTCAGGCGTCGCGGACCGAGAATCCGGAGCTATTCGGGGCGGCGAAGTCGGCGTTCGGGACCATGGGGGTCGTGACGTTGTTGGAGGTGCAGTGTCGGGACGCCTTGCCCTATGTCGAGGTGGAGTATATGGCGACGAGCGGGGTGGGGGATGCGGTGGGGTTGTTTAGGGAACTGGCGAGGGATGAGGGGGTGGATTATTTGGATGGGATTGTGTTTGGGAGGGAACATGTCGTTGTTTGCAAGGGGAAACTGGTCGAGGGACCTTCTGAAGACAAAGAAGAAGCAGAGGACAAGCCCAAAATCCAAATCCAACGCTTCACCCGTCCCCACGACCCCTGGTTCTACATCCATGCCCAACGCTCCGCCCCTCCTCCTCCTTCTCCTCCTTCTCCTCCCTGCAGCTCTAACTCCCCCACCACCCCCCGGGTCGTAAGAAAAGACCTCGTCCCAATCACAGACTACCTCTTCCGCTACGACCGCGGCGCCTTCTGGACCGGCCGCTACGCCTACTCCTATTTCCTTACCCCCTTCAACCGCGTCACCCGCTACCTGCTGGACTATTTCATGCACACGCGCGTGATGTACCACGCGCTGCACGCCAGCGGGCATGCAAGCCAGTATGTGATTCAGGATGTCGCCGTGCCGTACGCGTCAGCCACGCACTTCGTGGACTGGTTGGATAGCAAGGAGAATTTCGGGGCGTATCCGATTTGGTTGTGTCCGTTGTTGGTGGAGGGGGAGGGGGAGGGCGGCGTGATGGCGAGTGGCAGGCCACGGGGTCAGACTCAGACTCCGTCACAACCTCCACCCGTGCCCTCTTCATTCAGATCCGAATCCGGCGAAGAGAAAGCTGCGATTGAAGAAGAAGACGCAAGGAAATACCTCCTCAACTTCGGCCTCTGGGCGCCTTCCCCGCACCGAGGCGCCTCGTTCATCGCGCAGAACCGTCGACTGGAGAAGAAAGTGCGCGACCTGGGCGGCAAGAAATGGCTATACGCGTGTGCGTATTACACCGAGGAGGAGTTCTGGGGGATATATGACAAGAAGAGGTATGATGGGTTGCGGGAGAGGTTCCATGCCGGGTATTTGCCGGATCTGTATCAGAAGGTGCGGGTGGATTTGGATCCGGGGAAGAAGGTGGTGGGGTGGGGAGAGTGGTTGGGGGGGTTGGCTTGGGGGTTTGGCCCGTGAGTGGGTTGTATGGGGTTTGGAGGGCGGCGGTGGGGGGGGAATATTTGATTCGGGATAGGAAGGGGAAGGGGGTTTAGTGTATATTTAGTACTTGTATTCATGGGGTTGTGGAGGGGTGGGTGGTATTCATGGCTGGATATTGTGTGTATATGTACTATATAATGGATATGATATCCTCTTTGTATGTGCGTATAACATTTCTTGTATGTCGAAGAAGAAAGTAGTACTTTATCTACAGTTCCACACTGGATTAGCTGCTGTGTATATGTTTCCGTTTCCAGGGGAACATCACCAAGTGGGAAGGCGGTAGGAACTCCGCATTTCCCCTGGCCTCTTTCACCGCTAAACCATCATCATCATCTTCTTCTTCTTCTTCTTCATCCTCCTCCTCCTCCTCGGTCGACCCCTGATCGGGATCCGGGACGGTTCGTTCCTGAAGCCCATGCTCATGCTTATGTAGAGGGGAACTTGTCCCCCACCACAGCATTCCTCCTGCACAAGCGGGGGTATTTGGGCTATGGATCTGGCAGCAGAGATGATGAGCGTACCAACGACTCTCAAACGCCGTCGCCTGCTGAGAGGCGAAATTACTTACTCCGCTGCAAAGGAACGTGAAACCAATGTGCTGCATATGCTGGGCTACTGGGATCAGCGGAATCAATTCTTTGAAGACATTCGCCGCAACAGCCACCTGGTAGAAGCAACGGTCGCGCACCATCTCAGCTTAAAGTCCGCGCGGCATTGTCGGGTAGCCGACTCCGAGGAATGGCTCTCTGGCACCTTCAATGTCTGCATCCCCGTCTACGTCGATGAAGGGAAACGGTGTCCTAGCTTCCTCGTCCGTCTACCGCTGCCTTACCGAGTCGGGGAGAAGTTCAATCCAGGAAATGCCGACGAGAAGGTCCGTTGCGAAGCGGGCACTTATGCCTGGCTGCAGCAGGACTGTCCCGACGTCCCGGTCCCACGGCTGTACGGGTTTGGGCTGTCCACGGGCCAGAAGGTATGCTCCGTTCTTCCCCCGCTGCGTCCTGGCCGACCCGCTCATAGTTAGTTCACTTCGCTCGATAGACTCCCCTTCCTGGCCCGTTCTACTGAGCGCCTCCTCCGGTATTTATTGCGCTTCTTTGGATACCCAGCTCCGTCCGCGTATGTTCCTCACGAGAGCAGACTGGGAGAATGTCTGGGGGTCGGATATCTGTTGATCGAGTATATCGACAAGTCGAGAGGGAAAATGCTGTCTGAATCGTGGGAGGCAGGTCGTCACAACGCCCAGTTACGCGGGAATCTGTTTCGAAGCTTGTCGAGGATCATCCTCGCTGCGACGCGTGTCCCGCAACCGAAAATCGGCTCCTTTATTCTGGACGATCAAGGGGTTCTGAAGTTGAGAAACAGGCCGCTTACCCTTGAGATCCAGAGCTTGGAAAATGAGCAGATCTCTGTCGACATGCCTCGGGATATGACGTATTCCACCGTTGATTCCTACATCAGCGATATGCTCGCCTTGCATGAGAGTCGCCTCAATCATCAGCCGAATGCGGTTAATGATGTCCAAGACTGTTTATTCCAGATGGTGGCCCTGACCGTGATGAGAACCGTCCGACAGTCATTCCTCCGAGCAGAGCTCCGTGGTGGTCCTTTCTACATGAGCTTCACAGATATTCACCAAAGCAACATCTTTGTTGATGACGCTTGGAATATAACCTGTCTGATCGACCTTGAATGGGCCTGCTCTCGCCCCGCCGAGATGATCCATCCACCGTTTTGGTTGACAAATCAGTCTGTGGATGAGATCGACCCTGCCGAATACGAGAAACTCCATACCGAGTTTCTGTCCATTCTCGCCGAGGAGGAACGCAAGCGCTTTTCTCCCCGCAGCTTCCACCTGCACTGCATCATGCAGGATGGATGGATTAAGGGCACCTTCTGGTATGCACTTGCCCTCGATAGCCCGACGGGGCTTTTTCGCATCTTCTACGACCACATCCAACCCCGCTTCGCGAAGGACCATGTCAATGATGCTGCATTTTTCCGCATCGTCATGGATTACTGGGCCGTCGATGCGCATAGCTTTGTACAAAGGAAAGTTCAAGATAAAGAGCTGTACGACAAGCTCTTACTTGACGCTTTTACATAGCCTCTCATTCTTCATTCTTCTTTTCTTCCCTTCCTTCCTTCCTTCTTTCCTAGGTCTCACGCTTCCCTTCAGCCCCCTTCTCCTCCTGCCCGACGCCAATAGTAGCAGTACCACCGCCACTCTGGCCATGGCCACGCTCCCGGGCTTCAAGATCCCGTGCGGCATCGTCAAGGGACGCCAACGCGGTTTTGATTCGTCGCTGCTGTGCACTTCGACCCGACGACGAGAGTTGGTTGAGGGTTTCGGGGTCACCCTTAATACCGACTGTCGCTTCCTGCACCGTCGCCTCATAACTCGAGTCGGACCGGCGATCACTCATTGTCTTATATAATTATCTCTGAGCTCTGACTGTTCTGTTCCCGATATAAGCATTTATCGTCTCTGTCACATATTGACTTGTAATACCAACCGCTAGCTTGTGGCCGGAGTTTATCATGGACTCGGAGCAGGCGAGAAAACAAAAGTTGTATGTTTGGCGAAATGTAGCTGGTCTGTCTTATCTGCTGATGGGAGGGGAGGAAGGGCCCGCGCACAATACACCGAGCGGGGTAACGCATACTTAACGCTGCACCCTTATGCCGGTGTAATTAACATGGACTTTTTGTTTAAGAAGAGGCACTTTACTCTTTATTCTTCTGATAACCATCACCTCCTCCTCTACCAAGTGAAACAGAATGACCAGACACCATGATCGTCGTCCAAAACACCGACTACCCCACCGCGATCACAAAAGTCTCCCTCGCCGGCTTCTCACGCAGCTTCCCTCACCGCGTCCCTTCCCCGGGAATCCTCGCCGACCATCCCAACCCGCAGCAGTTGTTGGCGGGGATGGATGGATGTGTTGTGTGTTCTTGCCCGGAGGGGGGGGAATGACATCGTAGCAGGGCGGCTTGTTTGCGGGGGTAGCTAATGAGTGCAGTATATAAGCCGTGAGGCTATGTTAGCCCAGAATGCGAGCATGACGACGGAGGGTTGGGTATGGATCTTGATCTTGGTAGCTGGCAGATGCACAGATTATGATATACCCTGGTTATGTCTAGGGCGGGAATAAGCTAAACAGTGGTCATATAGGCGTCATTTACAGTATGCCTAATCAATTCTACTCTAAATACATCATAACTCATCATAGATGGAAGGCCGGATAGCATGCCAGCCATGGCACAGCCAGTCTATCAGTGCACCACTGTTCCAGCTAATGCTGCCGTCTCAGCTCCTTCCGGAAGCTCTCCTCCTGCTTGACGACCTCTAACGGCAAGGTCCAACCCACGCCAAACAGCACAAACGGTGCCCACTTCCAGCGGAACGGGTTAACCAGGATGGAAAACACAAACCAGTAGAGCAGCTCCGTGTACGTGAAGAAATCAAACGCCCCGACTGGCGACAACCGCTTCATGAAGCGCGTGAAGTCGATCCAGGTCTTCATGCGGCCCTCGGTGGGCCGCGACAGCGGGTCCGTCAGGAACATCAGCAGGAAGCGCGTGTAGATGCCGATGTGCATGTTGCCGACGGTGCCGATGGCGTTGACGTACGTGCTGTTGTTGGCGCAGATGGTCGTGTACTTGGGCGGGAACACCTGGAGGTACCAGCTGGGGGGCGAGTAGGGGTCCTCGAAGGCGTCGTCGGGGAGGAAGTTCAGGGAGGGCCGCTTGAAGCCGGTGGCCATGATGATCACGTCGGCGGCGACGGTCGACTCGTGACCCGGACCGCCTTTGGGCACGCCGCTGCCGCGGAAGTTGAACCGGACGCCGTCCTCGGTCAGGTTGACGATGTCGCCGCGCAGCCAACGCGCTTTACCTTCGCGGATCTGCTCGAACAGTTCGGAGTTGGCCATGGGGGTCTGCGTGAACAGGCCGCCTGAGGGAGCGATGTCGGATAGGTCGCGGTAGAAGAACCGGCGGAGCAGGGACTCGGGGATCCATGAGAGGGAGGTCTCCTGGCCGAGGATGTTCATCGCCAAGAGAGACTGCACGAAGATGTTGCGCGGGATGATCCATTTGTCGGACCGCGACAGCACGTCAATCTGGCCGGCCTTCGCCTTGACGGCGAACTCGAGTGCCTCGATGGCACTGGCGCCGCCGCCGACAATGGCCACCTTCTTGCCCTCAACGTTCTTTCCGTCCAGCTCGGAGGAGTGGTAGATGTCGCCCTTGAAGTTGCCCTGGTCTGGTAGGGGGGGCATCTTGGGATCGCCGCAGACACCCACGGACGCGATGATGCCGTCGAAGCGGCCGTATTTTTCTTCCTCGTTGTTGATGATCCAGCGACCGTTCTTGGTTTGTTTGACGGAGGTGACGGGAGTGTTGAAGTTGGTGTGCTTCTGCAGCCCGTACCGTTTCCAGACGTCGACGATCTGTTCCTTGATCTCGCCTTGGCTTGGGTAGGCCGTGTCGTACTGCACCGACGGGTGGAAGCGGTACATGATGCTGTGGATCTGCAGGGAGGAGGTGGAGTTGACGCGCTACATCTGTCAGCAGGTTATTCGGGTAGTAGTGGAGAAGACATACACTCCAGATACCGCCCAATCCCTTGTCCTTGGATCGCGCTTCAAAGAGTTCGACATCGAAGCCATGACCGACACAGTGGGCGGCCGCGGATACGCCGGTCAAGCCGGTTCCGATCACGGCCACGCGCTTCCTTGGAAGGCCATTGGGGATATTCTTGGGGCTGGGGGGGTTCGGTGCAAAGATCCAGTTGATGAGGCTTTGCAGGAGCATGTAACAGATAGTAAAGCTCTGGAGGAGGGGGTTACGCAGAAAGGCGGACAAAGAGAAGGCGGATTGGGATTCCGCCATGATGAGCAGAGCGAGGACTGTAGGATGCAACTGCAGAGGATGCTAATGCGGAGAAGAATTGTTGCTGCAAGTATGCAGAGAAGAAGGAGAGGAACCACCTTTTCAAGGACGACCCGGAGACGATGATGATGATGATGATGATGAGGCCGTTATGACGTAGGTGTGGACCAGCATGTGAAGGCGGAGTGCCATGTTTCCATCCGGATCGATGGAATGATCGCTCTGGACAATTCGGTCATCAAGGGTCCATTCCATTATCCATCCCCCCTGTATCAGACTGGGCATCTGTACTGTGTACGGTGCTCACTGCAGTGTTATACTTGAGTAGTGCTGGATTTCATCTTCCTTGATTATGCTCAATCTAGTCGGAAGATAATCGGCCATTCGATATCGCGATGGATGTTTGGAACATTCCGATCGATGGTGGAAATAGAATCAATCCTCTTGCGCCATGATTCATTCGCTCGTACTGTATCCCACACCTCTGCGCAAGACATTTCCGAGACGCAAGGAACAGTCGCCTGCCATCGTGCTGGACTGCGGACTGCGGTGACGGAGGGGGAGGGGTAGTCAAGTCGTCTCAGGACATGCTCTATTCTCTGAAACAAACATAGCTGTGATCATTTGGTCTGCTGTAGACATCTGTACCTCCGCAGATACGCTGTAGATGATCACAACCCGTCCAAGCTGTGGGAGATGGATGATGGATGGATACTCCAAAGTCCAGTCCAGACTGTCGCGAAGACCGGAAGCGGCGTCTCCCGATCGGGACTAGCCGGTCGGAGCTCGACTTGGCCGCGATGTTTACGCCGCCTTCACTTTCTGTCTTTCTCTCTCTCTCTCTCTCTCTCCTTCCCCCGCCGTCTCTCTTCTCTGTCCCTCCGTCTCTCGCCGTGTCGCTGACTTCCTCTCCTCTTCTCTGAGGCAGCCTGCCATTCTCCTCTCCGGCATTGACAGCCACCATGCTCGACATCCGCTGATCCTTGACCCAATCCGTGACCTGACCCGACCCCCATCTACCAACATGGCAACCCCCACCTTGGATCGCTTTCTCTCCAGCATCGCCGACCTCGTCAAAGATCGCGATGGCGCCCGCCTGCAGGACTTCCTGCAGCTCGAGCCCCCCCTGCCCGACATCTACCAGCACATGAGCGCCGAGCTGCGACAGCGCTATCCTACCGGGCCCAAGGAAACCGAGCTGCTGCGGCGCTGCGAAGCTCTCGTCCCCCGGTCCAAGGGCGCCCCCTGGGGCGCTTTCTCCACCTTCATGAAGCTCTACTTCACCTTCCTGCGCGACGTCAACGTGGATAATCTGTTGGAAACATACGATCTCCTGAAGGGGCTGTTGAAGTAGGTTCGCGACCCTGTGTGGTTACTCGTGCTGACTCTCCAGCCAATGTGTTCTTGCCTTAGGTGACAGCCAAATGGGCGTCGTCGTCCTCCCCACCGTCCTCTACCTCTCCAAAGTTCTCGCAAAACTGGCCATGGGCTTGGACCGCCGGCCCGAGCTGATCGCCCACCTACTGCGGCTGGAAGGCCGCTCGAATCAGGAGGAAGCCGCGGAGAAGGTTACACTCGTGGAGAAATCGGCCAACGTCGTCCGCGAGGCATTCATCAAGTGTCTGACAGACCGCAGCGGTACCCCGGGCGTGCACGGGAAGCCGGAGGGTAGGCGAATCGGCATCTACCTGATGGCGAACCTGTGCTTGAAGCTGCTTTTTCAGGTACGGCAACCCATCCATACAACATACAACAGCAAGTCTGACCATAGTAGTGCGGCAAGCTACGCAACGCAGAACAGATGTTCGCCAGCATCAGCGCCCAGTCCCCGCCTCTCACGCACTTCCCCGCTTCCCAACGAGTTACCTATCTATACTACCTCGGGCGCTACCTCTTCTCAAATAACCTCTTCCACCCCGCGAGGATCGCCCTGCAGGCCTCCTACGACCAGTGTCACCACCAGGCAATCAACCAAAAACGAGCTATCCTCACATACCTGATCCCGTGCAACATCATCATGGGACGATTTCCCTCGTCACACCTGCTGCAGCGCCCGGAGGCCGAAGGTCTAGCAGACCGGTTCCTTCCCATCTGTCGACTGATCACTCGCGGAGATTACATCGCATTCCGCGAGCATCTCACAGTAGGCCCCGACACCGAATGGTTAGCGCGCAAGGGGATTCTTCTGCAACTCCGCAATCGATGTGAAATTCTTGTCTGGCGGTCGCTGGCCCGGAAAGTCTTCATTCATGGTGGTTTCCACGGTGATCCTCAAGGCCAAGCCCAACGCGGGCCACCCCCTTTCCTGTATCTCAACAGACTGGAAGCCGCTGTGCGCTGGATACAGTCGCAACACGCGCAGTCGCAGGCCGGCTTTTTCACACCCCGGTTGCAGCCGGATTCCCAGGCCGGGCAGACGGCACATGGGTCCCAGATCATCTACAAAGCCCCGGACTGGGACTTCGAGGGAGTCGACGAGCTCGAGGCACAGGAGGCAGTTGCCAGTCCAGCCCTACTAGAGAAATACGCCGATTACCTGTCACCGGATAGCTTTTTCGACGCGCAAGGCCAACCACAGATGAATGCGCCGGGCAACCTGGTCGACGGGCCACCGGCCGCTGATTACCAGCAATATGAGCTCGATCCGTACGCCAACCCTACCCCTGGAGAAGACGGGAAACCGACGCCGATGATGCGCGAGCTGGAGTCCATCCTGGCCTCGCTCCTCACCCAGGGGCTGATGCGCGGATACCTGACACACAAGAACCCGCGCTTGGCGATTCCCGGGGCGCGGCTGCGCGGCGCCGTGCCCACCGGCTTTCCCAACGTCTGGCAGACGATCCAGGCCCGGGAGAGCGAAGATGACAACGTTCCAGGTTGGGTGCAGCCCCCGTCTGCTACCGCGTTGGCTGGCGGTGGACGCGTGGTCAACCTGGCCGGGGCACGACCGGTCGGGGTGCAGTGATCACGGTGTACATAGTAACGAGACAATTCAACGAGACAGTTCAACGAGACAATTCAACGAGGCAATTCAACGAGGCAGTTCAACGAGACAATTCAACTAGGACAGCCCAACGAAGGTAATCCAAGATAACCGCTCTAGATATCATGTTCGATGAGACTAACGGCCGCGGTTCTAAGCCGACCAAAAGAAGTCATGGATGCCGAGTCTGTCGGGCCAAGTGACTGTATTGGGAAGGATCGACGGTTAGCTCGGGGCCGCGCCCGAGATCTCGGCCCTAACGCAAAGCCGACGATATAATTCCGACGCATCGGCAGTTTGAATGGGATAGACGGCTGCTGACTCGGGCCAAACCCTACCTGGCGCTTAGTATCGTGATGGGTGACGATGGATGCAGATGGTTCAGGATTCACATGTTGGATTTGATCCACCCGGGGCGATAGTGCTTACGGGAATTTGGGCGGCGCATTTAACCTTATTCCTGAAGAATTCAAACCGAAGAATCCAAACTCAACGTCCGGTCCAGTTCTGGTACTTGTCAACTTGTTTCTGCATCAATGAAACCATCATGTCTCGGCAAATGCGAAACATCACACAGTGAACGTGCCTGAGTGGATGACCTCGGACAATTTCGACTGATGCTCGGACTGGTGCCTCGGGCTGATGCCTTGGACTCCACGAGCTTGCGTATACAGTGGTCTTGTTCTCTATAAAAGGAGCCTTCCGCACCGGTCACTTCATCTCATCATCATTCCTTCCTCACTTCATCATCACCTTCTCTTTCATCTTCTTCTCAATGCGCGCCGTTTCAACTCTTGCCGGCCTGGCAGCTGTGCCACTGGTCGCCTCTGCGGCGATTCAGAAGTCCGCTCTTCCCGTCGTCAACACCACCCTCGGATATGTGCAGGGCGCATACTCCCCCTTCCGCGGCGGCAACACCGCCGTTGTCTACAAGGGCATCCCATTCGCCGCTCCTCCCACTGGCGAGAACCGCTGGAAGGAGCCCCAGGCGGTGCAGCCGTGGACCGGCGTCCTCAACGCGACTGAGTTCGGCCCTCAATGTGCGCAGACTATCAGCAGCGCCGGCATCTTCAGTAGCGGAAAGAACACCACGAGCGAGGACTGCCTCTACCTGAACATCTGGACGCCCAACTACAACGAGACGACCGATCTCGCCTCCAAGAACCTGCCCGTGTACTTCTGGATCTACGGCGGTCGCTTCGAGGGCGGCTCGGGCGACGTCATCACCTACGACGGCACCGGTCTCGCCGCCAAGGATATCATCGTCGTGACCATCAACTACCGCCTGGGGCCGTTCGGCTTCCTCGCGCACCCGGAGCTCTCTGCAGAGTCCGGTCACAACAGCTCCGGCATGTACGGCATCCTCGACCAGCAGGCCGCGCTGCGCTGGATCCACGAGAACATCGCCAACTTCGGCGGTAACGCCAGCCAGATCACGGTCGGCGGCCAGTCGGCTGGATCTGCCAGCGCGCTCGACTCGATGTGGAGCCCCCTGAACGAAGGCCTCGTGGCGGGCGTCATCGCCGAGAGTGGTGCGCGCGGTCCTCACGACCCGATGACCGGCAGTGCGGCGACCAGCCACCGCACCAAGGCCGCAGCTGAAGCCCAGGGCGTGGAGTTCCTCAAGGAGCTCAACGTCTCCTCCATCGCCGAGCTGCGCACCGCCGTCTCCATGGATACCCTGCTCGACTACGACTCGCTTGCCGATACCACCTTCGACGACACCCAGTTCGCCAACCTCTCCGCCTTCTTCATGGACCCTCCCATGTGGCGCCCCAACATCGACGGCTACGTTCTCCCCTATAACTACGGCCAGGCCCTCAGCCTCGGCGCCCACGCCGACGTCCCCATCCTCACCGGTAACAACAAGGACGAGTCCGGCGCCGAGACCGACCCGGGCCTCACCGTCGCCACCTACAAGGAACTCTACAGCCAGTGCTTCCTCAACTTCTCCCAGGACTTCTTCGCCCTCTACCCCGGCCAGACCACCGCGCAGGCCAACAACAACTCCAACGCCCTCTACCGCGACATGAGCCGTGTCGGCACCTGGCAATGGGCCCTGGACTGGGCTGCCGGCGGTGCCAAGAGCCCCGTCTACACTTACTACTTCACGCACACTCCCGCTGAGAACCCGTCTTCTGGCGCCTACCACGGCTCCGAGCTCTGGTACACCTTCAACAACATCCCGTACTCGGATTACTCGGATGTCACTTGGCAGCCCGCTGACTACAAGATTGAGTCTCGTATGTCCGACTACTGGGTCAACTTCATCCGCAACGGAAACCCCAACGGCGACGGCTTGCCTGAGTGGCCTGCTAGCGGAGAGGAGAAGCAGACTATGTGGTTGGCTGATAGCTGGGGTGTGGGCCCTATCTCCGATAGTGAGGAGCGGATTGAGTTCATTGAGAGTTGGTTTGCGACCATGCCCCAGTGGTAGGTGCATTTTTTTGGACTTCCTTGAGTTGTATTGATGTCTTGACCTTCTCTTCGGGGTCTCTCTTTCTGTCTGTATAGAGATCTGGATCTTGGTGTGTTTTGCTTCACTTCTTTTCACTCATTTGCCTGTTTATGTCTTGCATATTGCAAAGCCTTTACATATTGTATATTAGAGATACTCATTGAATAGAATTTGTATCCTATTGACCACATACCCGGTATTTTGATCACCTCATATACACTGCCCTTTCAGTAATATAATGTAACTTATACCCCTCCCTATCACTCCCATCCAGTAATCCATTAATCACTCACCCTTCTTCCCCCCATCCCTCCCGTCCCCATTCTCCCCATCCCCATCACCACCAATACCCCCTCTTTCTCCCCATCCTCCCCCCAAAACACCCCCCACCCCTCCTCTCCCAATCCCCCCAGCACCCTCGGCACCTTGCCCCCCTCCCCTCCCACAGCACCAACGGCCAAAACACCACCACGCCCAACACACAAAACACCGTCGCGAGCACCTGCCACCCCAGCACAACCCACATCCCACCCCACGGCAACACAAACTTCACAAACTCGCTCGGCTGGTAACAGTCCTCCTGCGCGGCAATATAGTATCTCTTCGCTGGGCCGGAGGTCGGCGTGCGTCCGTCCCCGGGGTCAGTGGTGAGCGAGAGGACGGTGGTGAGGTGCACGGGGGACGAATGGAATGGGATCAACCAGATGGAGAAGGTTTGGTGCATTGTTACGTATAATTTCTGATTTGGCTTGTCGTACGCTACCACCACAATATCCATCACGGATCACATTAGCCATATCTTCTGCCAGTGCAATCAATTCCGCAGATGCCGCGCCGTATACACGTATCATAAGAATAGGGGTGATACAGTGCCTAACTCCACGCTGGATTGGATATATGGGCGGAAGGAAGGAAGGAAAACTAACCAACACTCTCCACCCCCAGCGCTATCGTCGGCGACATGATCTTGTACCACTGGTAGATCTTCTCCACCGCCCACCGGCTGCCGTCGTAGCTGGGGACGCGACAGAACGGGTGGATGAAGGCCGCTGACGGGGTGAAGTATTTCTGGATCGTCCGGTGTTGGTCTTGCGGGCGGGAAGAGACGAGGTGTTGGATTACGGTGGGGATTTCGCGGACTGTTTTTGTTTTTTGTGTTGGAATTAGTGTTTAGTATCTTATTGTTGGGTTGAAGAAGGGGGTTCAAGTTGGGTTTTCTAGAGGTGGTGGTGGTGATGGGGATGGATATATATCGGTTGAAGGGAGAGGGGATAAGGACGAACCTGGATCTTCCATTTTGGCGATTGAGACTGTGGTTTGAAGTAGGAAGTTGATCTCTTTGTGTCAATATTGTGGAATGGTTGAAATGCTGGGTTAGGGGTAATTATGTCGGGACTGTAGAGTTGGAAGTAGAGCTGGGATGAGGGATGATGATGATGGTGGATGGATGGATGGATGGATGGGGATGACATCATCGAGACGGTAATTCAGGGTTCCGCGGAGGGCAGCCATTGGCCAATGATTTCTATGTACTCCATTCAAGCACCTAATAATAGAGCATTTAATCTACACAGCAGCAGTTGTTTGGAAGTTGACTGGAAAGGAGTATAAACATGGACCAGTTTGGTAATGTCAGCAATAACATGGTCAAGTTTATACTGGCAGGACAAAGTGAAAGAAAACTTTTCTGGTATCAAAACTCCATCTATAGTCTGTACAATCACCGCTTCCAGCTGTCCACCTTCTTTCTGCGCTTCTCGAAGATCTGCCCAACCCCCATGCCATCGTCGCGCTGCCCATCCTCGTTCTTGCGCTTGCGACTGCGGTCCAGCGCCCCGCCAGTCCCCCGCGCCCGCCGCGTGAGCTTCGAGATGCGATCGGCCCCCTCCGTCAGTCCGCGCCACTCCTCGCCGCCGAACCCGCTCTCCGGCCCCTCCGCCCGCAGCCGCTTCGCCTTGTCCTTCTTGCTCTCCTTGTTCAACCGGATGAAGTTGGTCTCCTCGTAGCGCGTGCGCTCGGCTTCGCGCTCGCGGTCGCGCTTCGACTTCGTGTGCCGCCCGCCCTGCACGATCGTGCTACCGATACTGGGCTCGGCCATCGGCGCCGACGACATCTCCGCGCTGACGAACTCATCAATCACGTTCGACCGGCGGGGTCCGCGCTCGCGGCGCTCGCGGGTCTCCGTCGTGGGCAGCGCCGTCGGCATGATGCGCGGTGGTCGGTAGATGCCGTCGCTGATGGCGTTCTTGGCGCCCTTGTCCTGCACGACCTCGGGCTCGACCTTCTTCGAGAACGCCTTCACGTTGGGCCGGTACGCCATCTCATCAATGTCCTCATCGTCTTCCTCCTCCTCATCCTCCTCCTCATTCTCCTCGCTGTCACTGTCGGCCTCCGACCCCGACTCGTCGCGGGGCGGCTTAACCGCCTTGGCCTTCTTGGGCGCGGCGCCTCCGCGCTCCGCCCGCTCGGCGTCCTCCGCCGCCTTGATCACCTTGTCGACCTGGTACTTCAGGCGTCCTTCCAAGGGCCGCACACCGCGGTCGAGGTAGACCCGCAGTTCGACAAGCTTCTTGACGACGTCTTCCGGGAGCGACGCGTCGGTTTCTTCGTCGTCATCAGATGGTTGCAGTCCGCGCAGCTGGAAGATGATCAGGAAGACCAAGTTCTGCAGGTACGAGAGGAGGAGGTCGGACTTGGTGTCCAGCAGGGAGATGCCATCCTGCGGCGGCTCGATGGAAACGTCGGAGGGTTCGTCGCGGGTGGGTTTGGGGAGGGAGGAGGCGGTGTTGGTGAGACAGGTGGTGAGGGTGTCGAGCAGCCCGGCGATGTTCGGGCCTGCGGACTCGACGGCGGCGGCCATTGTGGTGGATGGGATTTGTTGTTGTGGAGGATTGAAGCAGAAGATGCGATACTAGAGAAAAGTTGGGAAATTTCAGCCTTATCGACACGTGACAGATAGCTGAGTCAGCGGCACGGCAGGCATCACGTGCGCGGCTGCCGTGCTGGCCTCAATGCAACTGCAACCAACACCTCGAGGCTGGATTCCTTCTTTCTCTCGCCTTCATCTTTAGCGGTGACCTCCTGCTCCTGTCATCCCATGCCAGCTTGTCCACTGCTTGTGGCGTGGAAGCTGTAGACTGTCAGTCCCCCTGCCGCGTTCCTGCTGACCCGACTTCAGCCATCCGCAGCTCCAGCTAACCCCCGGATAGAGACAACATGCGGTTCCAGCGAACCCTCCTCGCGGCCCTCCTCGCGCCCTCCCTCTCCGCCGCCTTCTACCTCCCTGGCGTCGCGCCCACCTCCTACGATGAAGGTCAATCCGTCCCCCTCTACGTGAATCACCTCACTCCCGGCATCGCCCAGCAGGACGAGCAGCTCCACTCCGTCTTCTCCTACGACTACTACCACCCGGCCTTCCGGTTCTGCCCCCCAGCGGACGGCCCCAAAGATGTGCGGGAATCGCTCGGCAGCATCCTGTTTGGCGACCGCATTCAGACGTCGCCGTTCGAGCTGCACATGGGCAAGAACGAGACCTGCAAGGCCATCTGCGGGCAGGTGTCCTTCGACGCCCGCAGCGCCAAGTTCGTCAACCGCCGCATCCAGCAGGGCTACAACATCAACTGGCTCGTCGACGGGCTGCCGGGCGCCCAGATCAACATGGAGGCCGTCACCCAGGACAAGTTCTATAGCCCGGGGTTCGCCCTGGGATCGATCAACGAGGACGGCGTGCCCGTGCTCAACAACCACTTCGAGATCCTGATCGAATACCACCGCGTCGGATACGGCAGCCAGGAGAAGTACCGCGTCGTGGGCGTGCTCGTGCAGCCGGACTCCCGCCGCAACACCCAGATGCTGGAGGACGGCACCGCCCAGTGCGAGAGCGACGGCGTCGGCGTGACCCTGGACGAGGAGGGTGAGACCGCCGTCACCTGGACGTATAGTGTGTACTGGCGCGAGTCGTCCACCGCGTGGGCCACCCGCTGGGACAAGTACCTGCACGTGTACGACCCCAAGATCCACTGGTTCTCGCTCATCAACTCTGCTGTCTTTGTGGTCTTCCTGGTCGGCATGGTCAGCATGATTCTGGTGCGGGCGCTGAAGAAGGATATCGCGCGGTACAACCGGCTGGATATGATCGACCTGGACGACCTGAACGGGACATCTGCGGCGGTGGAGGACGGCATCCAGGAGGATTCGGGCTGGAAGTTGGTCCACGGCGACGTGTTCCGGTGCCCCAAGTCCCCGCTGCTGCTGAGTGTGCTGGTGGGCAACGGCGCGCAACTGTTTATGATGACGGGCGTGACAGTTGGTGAGCTTTGCAGACACAAAACTGGTGTTCCATGCTAACTGCGCAGTGTTTGCCCTCCTCGGTCTACTGTCCCCCGCCAACCGCGGCTTCCTGGCCACCGCCATTCTTCTGATCTACACACTTTTTGGATTTGTCGGCGGCTACGTATCGTCCCGGGTGTATAAATCTCTTGGAGGCGAGTCCTGGAAGCGCAACATCATCATGACGCCCGTGCTGGTGCCCGGCTTCATCTTTGGCGTCTTCTTCCTGCTCAACCTGTTTGTGTGGGCCAAGGGGTCCAGCGGCGCCGTGCCTTTTGGTACCATGCTGGCGCTGGTGTTGATCTGGTTTGTGATCAGCGTGCCGCTGAGTGTGGCGGGTAGCTGGCTCGGATTCAAACAAGAGGTATGTCTCATGGTAAAGCAGGCTAGCTTCTCTCTTCTTCTGCTAATGCAATGCTCGACAGGCCCTGGAAGGTCCCACCAAGACCAACCAGATCCCCCGGCAGGTCCCCCCCATGACGGGCACCCTCCGCACCACGCCGTCCATCCTGCTGACGGGCATCCTGCCGTTCGGAGCGATCTTCGTGGAGCTGTACTTCATCATGACGTCGCTGTGGACGAACAAGATCTACTACATGTTCGGGTTTTTGTTCCTGTGCTACGGGCTGATGGTGATCACGTCGGCGGCGACGACGGTGCTGCTGGTGTACTTCCTGCTGTGCGCGGAGAACTACCGGTGGCACTGGCGGGCGTTTGCGGGAGCGGGCATGACGGGGGGGTACGTGTTCTTGAACGCGATCCTGTTCTGGATCACCCGGGTCAGCTTCGGGGGGTTGACAGGAGCGGTGCTGTACGTGGGGTACTCGGCGCTGATTGGATTTGTGGTGTTCATTTTGACTGGTACGTTGGCTCTTCCACTGCTCTCTCTTTCTCTCTCTCTCTCCGTGTTTCCCCCCATCTCTTTCGTTCCCTCTCTCTGTGTGTATACTGACTGACTGACCGTCCAGGCTCCATTGGATTCTTCGCCAGCTGGGCGTTCGTGCAGCGCATCTACGGCTCGATCAAGGTCGACTAAGTCTTGACACCGTTTCAGCCGGGCCGTTCCCGGTCCACTGTCACTGTCGCAGCGACATGTTCGACCAAATCACACACCGCCTGTCGCTCGATATATAGCTCGTAGTTTTGGTCATTGGTTGGTGTTGGTGGATATCCTGTATAGTTTGTGCGTTTTCTTTCTTTCTTTTTTGCTTCTGGGGATGTACATAGAACGGACTGAAAAGTGGCATGGGACGCGCATATGAATATTGAATTAAATGTACGATAGGGCTGTGCGGGCAGTATCAGTATCGGTATCGGTATCCACGTCCTCGTCCTCGCCCACACTCTCCATCTTCTAATCATAATCAAATTAATTAAATCATGCCGTACCGTACGTACATGCGCCATGCAATCTAATAATAAAAACCATAAAATCCATCCGACCGCTCTAGCCCGCGTGGAAAGGAATGGAAGCCCCAGGCACGGGTCGGGGCCGAGTCACGATTGGCCGGCGGGGGTTGCTGGGCGCCATGGATCCCAAACGGCTTACGCCTCAAACCCGCCAAGCCCCCGAGCGCAAGACGTTCTGGGCCCGCTGCTTCACCTGTCTTCTTTTTAGTCTCCCTAGCCTGCATCTTCTTCCTCGCTTGCTTACTTACTTCTCTTCTCTGGTGATTCTGGCACTCGGCTTTGTTCCTGCTGTATCTGCTATCCAGTCAGATACTTTCACCGCTCTCGACCTGCAGCTCCGCTCCGCGCACTGCATCGCATCGCTGCACTGTACGCTCGCACGTACGTCAGTTACCCCGCGCCGCCTGAATCCGCGATCCCTCCCTCGCTCGCTCGCTCGCTTCCCCCGACCGCGTCACTGCCCACCCACTACTACCACCACCATCGATACTTTCGGGTTAAGAAGTGAAGTGAAGTCAATACACAATGGGAAAGTCGTAAGTGGTGTTCCGATCCCTCCGCCGGTGTTCGCCAAGATGCCACCACGGCAGACAGCAGACGGGGCAGCGGCCCTTCGTGATGCACTGATGCACTGCGAGTGCGGTCACGGCTACAGCGGGATGGGACAATGAATAATAGGTGCTGGTGATTGTGATGAAGAACGAAGGATGTGTCTTTTGCGCCGATCGGCGACCCCGCTGTCCTCCGCTGTCCGCTGTCCGTGTGATGGGAAAGTGGCTAATATATTTATTTGGCGGGAGACAGACAATCAAAGCTCTCGCCCTCGCAGCTGGAGGAGTTGCAGAAAGCGACGCATTTCGACAAGAAGGAGTTGCAGCAGTGGTACAAGGGTGCGGTTATCCCCATTTCCCCTCCAATCTCCGCCTCCATCCCCCTCTGTCATTATTATTCCTGTCCGGTCGAGATCGACTCCCAACAATCCCTCCCCCCAAATAACCCAACTAACATCCCACTTCCGGATATTATATAGGCTTCCTAAAAGACTGCCCCTCCGGCACGCTCACAAAAGAAGAATTCCAAAAGATCTACCGCCAATTCTTCCCGTTCGGGGACCCATCGTCCTTCGCGAATTACGTATTTCGAGTCTTTGATTCGGACAATAGCGGCATGATTGACTTCAAGGAGTTCATCTGCGCGCTGTCCGTCACGTCCCGCGGAAAGATGGAGGATAAATTGGACTGGGCGTTTCAGCTGTATGATATTGATGGCGATGGGAAGATTACCTACGATGAGATGCTGGCGATTGTGGAGGCGATTTATAAGATGGTATTTATTATCCCTTTCTTTCTTCTCGAATGGTTGTGGTTTTGTTTGGGGGGGGGATTCACGGAGCAGGATACTCTACCGTTTTCGAATCCTGGCTAACGGTTGCGTTTGTGTTTGTGGATAGGTCGGCTCGATGGTCAAACTCCCCGAAGACGAAGACACCCCCGAGAAGCGCGTGCGCAAGATCTTCCGCATGATGGACAAGGACGAGAACGGCAGTCTGGATATGGAGGAGTTCAAGGAGGGCAGTAAACGCGATGAGACGATCGTGAGCGCCCTGTCGCTGTATGATGGACTGGTATAGATGAGATCTAGATCTGTCTGGTAAGATTTGCCATGGTGATACATAGATGGATGAAATGGGGATGAATGGATGGCTGTGGATGGATTGTTCCAGACTAGTCAAGTCAGGTCTGTGGACTGGTGAATGGCGCTAACCTGCTTTTTTCTTGTTTGGTTTCATGGTTGTTGCTTGTGTTTGTTTGTTGTCTCGCATCCGGATATTGTTGGATCTGACGGATCGGCGATGTATCGGCTAGCGATGAATGTATGTAAGGTTGGTCGGCGTGTTTTCTGTTCTGTGTTTGGTTCTTGTGCGATGTTATGCATGTTATGTTTATTATGTTTGATGTACGGAGGCTCAATCTTTCCTCTTTCTCTCTTCTCTTCTCTTCTATTCTATCATTTGCTTTTTTCCCCTGATATACTCTTTTCTGATGTTGCTGCTACCTTACTCGCTTGTATTTCCTTCCTGTCTGGATTAAGATGTGACTGTTACTGAGACACCATGTATGTACAAAGGGTGATTGACGGGTAAACGGCTGGTATGTGTCTATGTGTTTGCTGAATGCTGCATATGGTAACTGAATGAATGCTGTATATATGACTGGCTTTTTGGTATTCTAGACCTTTCAGATTTTCTGGCAGGGATTTTACCCGGCGCAATCCATTCATTCTCCTTAGGAATGAATCATTCCGGGGAGCTCGGGGAGTAAAGGGACAGGAGGGGGTTTGATACAAAGGTGAGTAGTTTGTGAAGTTGATTCCAGAACCATCAAGATATCCCATCCACCCTATCTTTCAGGTCTGGCCAGCTCTGACAAAGATAAACGTTTGTGGAGTTGGTTCCAGAATCATCATGAGCGGGCACTGACTGCCATCTGTTATGTCTTTGTTTGGGGGGCTTATATATATACCCCGTCCTTCCCCCCAGATCATCTGTTTTGGAATTTCTCTTCTTCTTCATCCCCATCCCCATCCTCCTTCCACCCTCAACCTCATTCTATCTATATTATATCCTCCTTTTACTTCTCCCTCATCTTCTCTCCCTCTTCACTTATATATTCTCTTCATATATAGTATATTGTATACTATACCCCAATCACCACCTCCTCTGGTATTCATCGAGCCGCCAGAACCCTCCATCCGGCATCCATCTCTCCACCACTTTTATCATTTATATACGAACATGAATAGACTTCCGCAGTCGCCTGCCTGCCATACACCTGATGCGGAATTCTCACTCTGGTTGATGAACCAAACCAGACATATTACTCCGGAGTAGGTTGTTAGCCATACTGCGCTCAGAAGCAACGGCATGAAAAATCCAAGTTCACTTAATTTTTTGAGATCATCATACTTCTCTGAGATCATCTGATGCTCCTCTTTTTCTTAATTGCTTGATATTCCTTACTTTGAACACACCCCCCGTTTCTAGAGATTGACTTACCGAAACCCCCCGTCTCTTCACATCATATTGATCAAGCCCCCCCCCCCCCCCCGTCCTCTTCACCAGATTTCTTGAAAAGACCCCACCTCCCTAGGTAGGAGAATCTAATTTTCTAACTTTGGGTAGATTACATCTACTTCTCTGTTACAATGCCCCAGAAAAAGAAAGTCAAGACTGTGCCAGCCACTGCTGCTGAAGGTGCCATAGAGCCAATCGTTTATGCTCTTACTTTCATTCTGTTTTCTGAGAGCTAATGGATTAGAGCCAGGTAACTGAAGAAGAGGAGACGCTGCTGGTTCGATGCATCAAGTCAGCTCTATCATCCCCCGTTATCATTTAAAGTCGCTGTCTCCTACCGTCTCCACAATTCAACCCGCACAGGACTCACTTGGCCTGTTCTGAATCATGAAAACAAGAGGGATGCATCAGCGTCAAAAAACCTACAAGGCAGGCGTTCGTCGAATACTGTTCACACGGTCAATCGACCACTCGCCAACTCAACCAGTGTCAGCCTTGAAAAGCCCATGCGGGGAGTTCTCCTCTTGCCTTACTGGTCTTCCGTTATCAAACACCGAATGAGATGGAACCTGAACGCGATGCTTGTTACTGCTCTCAAGCCCGGAATTCTGTCCCTATTCCCGACCTGGGCGCGCTCTGTTGCGACTTCCCTTTAGTCCACGAGACAGGACATGCTCCTGATACCAATGAGGATGGCTAAAATAGCGAGCTGACAGAGGATGATTCATTCCTCGCTTCGCATCCTCACACCAGGGTTGGTGTTCACGTATACCTGCGCCGAACTGCGTTGAGAAACAGGTATACAGACATCAACCGAACGAGCGATTTCCACTACGGATTCTACGACAGGAGATATATACAGTGCGCTTTACCGGCTGTATCGCTATCTCGTGTACAACTCTCTCCCCTACAACCAGTCCTACTCGACATGAACTATCCCATCACGTCCGTCACTCGACAGTATATACCCCTCCCATCTCCTCAATCCTGACAGCGTTAATCATTCTCCTGGTCTCCGCTGCATTCTCCTGTATCCACGACATGCACAGAGCTTACTTGCCATCGCCGCATCACGACGAGTGAAGCCTCTGTCGATGTCTGCGTGCGGTATCTGGCCGCACCTCCCAGCCTCTTCTGTGTTCGATATACTCGAGGAACGATGATGAATCCTTACAATGTCGGGGTTTATTTATTATATGACACCACACCATGTCCAACTCCGCCATCACACCGGAGTATATCATCTTATATCATGTCCGGTCCACCACCTACAAATTCGAACGATAATGAATCCTTACAATGTGGGGTTCATTTGCTGTACGGAATTATATGCAACTTGTTAACACACCGGAGTATATCATGGGACATCTCGTCTTCTACCAGTCTGCCGTTCAACTCGAGGAGTGGTTTGACCAGAGTATCCTACATACACCCTGTCAACCCGCCGGAGTATACAATGTCGTATCCATCTCTCACCAGCGGAATATCAAGAAGAAAGGCATCATCGTGTCTGGTTCGACGCGACAGAAGCCAATGCAAGATGCAAGGAGATATCGCCGATACGGTGGATATTGATATTTCGGTGTTGGACATGGTTGATCGGTGTTATGGGCCTGTTGATAAGGATGGCCAATCTGCTAAACTTTTGGTGATGCGAATCAGACTGTGCGATATATACAGCACTACAGCGAACCGGATATTATACCACGTTACCTCTCATCAACCATATGCTGAGAAAGGGACGACCGGGTATGATATGACGGGACAGAGTGACCATCAAGATGGAGGGAAACTACCGACGCATTCGCTATCGATATATCGGGTTTTGGACATGGTTGGTGTTAGCCCAGCCTGTTGACTAGGATGGTTAGATGTGTCTGTCTACTTCCACCTCACATCCTATACATCACTACTACCCCGAGTATGAAGACATCGAGAAAGACCGCCCGATTGTCATGATCGACAAGAATGAGCCTTTCCTCAGACAAGTGGATCCGTACATCCATATCCCGATCGACGTCAACGCACGCCCGTATAACCTGGACAACAAGTTCAAAGGAGAGTACCTCGCCAAGCCCTTCATTCGAAAGCACGATCCCATCAAGAAGATGCCTGGAAGCGAAAACAGACGGCCTAGAAAGGGGTCATCATCAGTTTACATCGTCCACCCTACAGACTAGTCAAATGGTGCCAGTGAGAAATTCGATACGCCCACACTGCCACTTTCTTTCCTATCCTTTACGCCCAAGCTACTTCTGGTAATGGACCAGCTCGGAACCTCTTATAAGCTGGAAACCTGCTTCTAAGCCCGCTCTATACACCCCATACCGATCCTTTGAATCACATCCCAGAGTCATCCTCTGACTCTCACTCCGCAACCTCAGGTGCGGTTGGGACGCTCCTTCACCAACAAGCCATGAAGCGGTCTCCTGAGATGATCTCCTCCCAAGTCTCAGGTCCAGAAGACAATCTATCTGATTCACGATTGCCTGAAACCTCGCCTTCTACTGCTCATCTTCCAGGAGGAAATGATGTTCAGTTCTCCGCCTGGAAAACGCCAGTCGCCAGTGCTGTGGCCCACTGAGCTCTTTCTCAAGGTGCTCAGCATCTTTCTATACTGCGATATGCGCCAATACTACCATGGATGAACGGAGTACCATCACCCGCCACTTCAACGACTCGAAGAACAACGTAACTGTCCTGCTCACAGTTTACATTTGCGCAGCCTTTGGACTTCGGCGTCCACAGACTGTGCTCCTGCGGGGTGCTCCTTGCCCAACTATGCCGCGCCAGGAGAACGATATGTCCTAGGGATTGCACCCACGCTTGGAAATGTTAAATACAATGCGTGCCGTTTGCCTGATAGTCGTGTCCGATGAACTGAAGGGCCCCGGGTTCAGAGTCTCGGGTTTCTATACTGTCTTCTCATTACTCCTACTGGCTGGTCCCTGAAATTTAGGTAGCATCTGCGAGTCTACTCCGCGCTCAATATTGGGTGCTCAGAGACTAGACATTTATTGACCGGCGAAAGATATCAAAGACGTTACCAAAGGTATGATGGGGGCTGATTGGGTATCTCCTCATGGCTCGCGACTGCAGGTGGTCTGGGCCTATCAGAGCTCTATTCGCATTTGTGCAGGAAAGAAGACGAACTGGACAGTACACAACAGTGTATATTAACCGCTGGGTCCGATTACCAGATCGACATCAACACGAGAACAGTCATCCGGGCCCGCTGTTACCCGATCACAATTTCCGCCACGAATTGAATATGGCGCTCCTCCTTCGCAGACCCCTACGCGTTGGTATCCACCGCAGAACCTGTCTCTCACCACTGATTGTAGAAATCACGCCATGCTCTTCCACAGCATCACCAGCTGTCCAGCCATCGGTTGTTCCGTTCCCTTCTGCAAGCTCTTCAGGCTGGCGTGGTCGTGGCGAGAGCATATTTGGTGTTTTGCAATCGGCTCTGGCGCTTTCACGACAATGTCTCAGTTCTTCTGTATATGAGATAGAGGCGGAAAGACAAGCCGACAATGACGATGGCGATGATAGCCGGACTGAGAGCCAGGAAACAGCGACACGGTTCAATGCACGGAAGACCTTCCCGTGCGGGATCGGGTGTTCGTTTAGTGTGTTCTTCATGCAAGAGGATCAAGCTCGAGCTATACAAGCCCAAGATCTCTTGTTGATGTGAACTCCGGAGGCTATAGATCTGAGCTTGATTTCTCGTCTGATTTTGTGGCTTGGGATCTATCTGCTGCTTTGGTACTGCGAATACTAATCACCTCGAGACCGGCTGATGTGATGGGATTTGCATCTAGCTCTCGTCCCTCGGTGCTGGAGTAGACTTGGCGGCATGGCTATGAATGGCTATCTGCGTGGGGAATTGTGCCCTACGACGAAGAAATCACCGACGAATGGCCTTGATACCTTGATATACCAACAAATAAGCCAGGGTGAACATGTTGCCCTTCCACGCAATCACCAAGGGTGACTTTGTGTGAATCTCGATTCCTGGCATGAGGGCATGGAACTGATTGATGTCTGGTTGGGGAAGTCGAGAAACACCACATAAACACGCCATGGACACCCGGAAGCCATTTTCGTTCCGTCATTCATGCCCGTGATATTAGCGTTTCGCTGTGATGCTGCCTTTCTATTTTCCAGCGGTCTGATCCGTCGTCTCTCGGATTTAGGATGTGATGATATATGTCTCGGTTCTGAGATCGTCCCGCCAGAACCAACTACCTGGAAATGACCTACCTGAACACACGCCTCCCTGCCCTGTGCCTCTCAGGACAGCCCGCTGCGTGGACCCCGTCACGACAAACTCCTGCCCCTCGTCTCAGGACTATAGCTACATGTTCGATCTCTTGGTTGTACATTCTCTCGATCAAAAGCAAGGTGTCAGATCATGCAAAAGAAAGGTTAACGGTGAAATGTGAACGGTGAACAATAAAAGAGGAAATATGGGAGAAAGGCAGCAGAAATACTACAATCACGGCGGTCCAAGAAGCCAGACTCCCAAGACAGCTCGAGCAGATCGTCATTCTGGCACTGCAATGTCACCACATGCGGCTTGGAACTATCTTTCCAAGTTCGTCTTGTTCGCTGGGATATCATGGGCGGGCGGGATGGATGGATGGATTTCCTCAAATAGCTACCCGTATGGGAAGTATTTCATTGGGTGTATGTGAGAGAATGGTCAATTTCTCATTCTATATTTCTTAGAATATTACTTCTTAACAATACATTTTGTATCTACCACTCCTAGCTTAACCAAAATAAAATCAAATAAACACCCACTCCACCCAATCACTATCCCACCCCATACCTAATCACTTTTACAAACCCCAGCCCCCACTTCAATACTCACCCCCGGCTTATAGTCCAAATTCTCTACCAATGACACCTCTGAATCGAATCCCCAATTCCAAAGAACGATCTAGACCCCGGAGCCACAATACCCCTAGCCCGGAGCCCACTAAGGCATCCAGAACGTCATACAGCTGCGCTGCAACGTTACAAAATCTTGAGCTGGGCTTGTGTCACTCTCGTCCTCGTTCGTCCTCGTCCTTGCCCTTGTTGCCGGCGTCACGGACTCATGCGGCTGGGGTTGCTGAGCTGGGGGTTCTATTGTCTTATCTATATTTGTTTTGGGGGACGTTTGTCGGGGATGATTTGTTGTTGCTGTTGTTTTGTGAGGACGGGGGGGTATATATCCTATGTACAGCCATGGGTTTCTCTCCAGACTGGTGTGTGCCAGGGTGAGTTCCCAGAATATGCTAGTGAAATTATCACACTGATGTACTGCATGGATAGGTATGATATACTATTCTACTTTGCCTTTTTCGTACTTATTATTACTTTAGACCGATCGGCACCCCACAGTAGGCACAGGGCTTAGATGGCCTGGACCGGTCCACCAGCAGGGCTTCTTTCTGCTCGGGCTCTGCCCCCCACGGGCTCTGCTTCCGGGTGGATGCAGTGCCGTGAGCACACGATCAATTCTTGATTCTCTTCATGTCCGATCTACCACTATCACATCTATCTTGGTGCCTGGACACTTTTCAGTTGAGTGGTTGTTCCAACACCTGCTCGAGATGTGGTGGTCAGGTGACCACCTGCGTTTGACTCTTTCCCCCCTCCTCTTCCTCTTCCTCTTCATCTTCATCTTCTTCTTCTCCTCTCATCTTCTGCTGTACCTGTTCATCCCATCACATCTCAACGGCCAAGTCCGTCCGTACAAAAGCCCGAGCCACGGACAGCCCACGGAAAGAAAGCCTTCCAGTCCCACCCTCAGCCATGGTTGCAACGACAGCAGTCACCTCGACCTTCCCCAGCACAGACAAGATCATCACACTGCCTACTCCAACTGAAAATGCAGACTCGATAGACTCAGGCCAACCACGGGCCTGATTATCTAGCCCGATGCTAGCCCATCGACTTGGCCCGACCGGCAGAGATACTCCGATCAGCATCAGGCGTGATGGCTGATCGCCCCCGACGATCCGCGCCGACTGGCCCAATCCACCCGTTAATTAACCAGCCATTGTTGCTCCATCCAGCCCGGACGGATGGTCCACCTCCCATCCTCGCCTGCTTCATCCTTCATCCTTCGTCCCTCGTCCCTCACTTCTCTTCTTTCCTCTCTCTCCTTTCCCATCCTCCGCCCTCGCATACCTGCATCCGCCCATCCATCCATGTCCTCCGGTCTCGCTAGCCAGCATGGTCCGACCCCCCGACTGCCAGGCCTGCGCCCACGCGCATCTCCAGGTGCGTACTGCCGTGTCTTTTACCTCTCCATCTAATTCCCCCAGTGTGAGGGGAAAGTCCCCTGCGCCCGCTGCAAACACCGCAAGCTAGCCTGCGTCGGTCAGCCGCGGACCTTTCGGTTTCGCAACGAAGGGCCCGGCCTGCAGCAGCGCTACCGCCCATCCGTGCCTCTTGTCGTCTCCGCGACCGACTCGCCTCCCCGCGGCCCGCCCGCCCGCGGCCGCGATGTGCAGTTCACTCCACTGCCGCTTCATATGGACGAGTCAATTTCCCCGTCGCTGACCGTCACCACCGTCGCCGCCCAACAGACCCATGTCTTTACGAATTACGTCCTCACCGCGTTCCCCTGCTTCTTCAAATGCACCGAAACCCGCGTCCCCGTCAACTGGGTCGAATACGTCGACCGTCGCCGCGGCGCCATGCACTCCTGCTTCGACTGGGCCATCCGCGCCTGCACCCTGGCCTACACGGGCCAATTCTACAACGTGCCCGAGTTCACTGACATCGCACGCTCCTTCTACGTCCGCTCTCTCCGCGGGCTGGCCAGTCTAATCACCGATGAGACGACCGCCAAAACCGACGAGGCCCTCTCCACGGCCATTGTGCTGGCCGTGTTTGAGAAACACCACTGCACCAGTCCCGACGCCTGGCTGACCCACGCCAGCGGCATCCGCGCGCTGCTAAAACTGCGCGGGCCCCGCGCCCACCTCCACGGCTTCGGGCGGGCCATGTACATCGTCTACCGCCCGATGCTGATCGCCGCGGCCCTGATCGAGGGGGAAGCCTGCTTCCTGGAACAGCCCGAATGGCAATCCCTCAACGAGGCGATCTCGAACGACAACGCCAAACTGCCCGACTCATCCCTCTACACGGACGTCGTGGACCGCGGTCTCCGCGAGATCATCAAAATCCCCGGCTATGTCAGTCGCGCGCGGGATCTCCTCTCCTCCCCGGTCGCCCGACGGGCGAAACTTGAGCCCCCACTACTCCAAAGCGTGCAGGCCACCCGCGCCGCCCTGCGCGGGATCTACACCGAGTTCGGCGTGTCGATATCGATGCTCCGCGCCGGCCAGGCCCAGCCACGCGGGTTCATCGGGCCCCTCCCGCAGTTCTTCTTCGAGGGGTACTCGGCGCACGTCACGCGGGGGGTGCGTTCTGCACTGCTGATCCTGAACTGTCTCGTCATCACCCTCGACCCGCCGCAGCGACCGACCCTGGAGAAGGAATACCGCATTCTGTCGGCGTCGCCGGCTTCCTCGGACGGTAGCTCGTCCCCTCCGTCTGACCGTGGGCCCACCACCCCGCCCAGCTCCCCAGGAAGCCCGCATTTCGTCGTCGAGTCGCTGATCACCCCGGAGTATAAGCAGGGGCCGACGACAGATTGGATGGATCAGCTGACGTCGAGCATGGGGATGGATGGGGTGCGGGTGACGATTGTTGACGATTGATGCCATCGGGTGGTATGCGGCGTTCTGGTGCGTTGATGGGCTTGGCTTGGTTTGGTTTGGTTTGTGATACCCCGAATGTTAGGTTGTTAGGATGGCTGTACATGGTGAAAGGTATATACAGGAATGATATTTGATAGATCTATGAGATGAGTAAATAATTATCTGCTGTGCTGCTGTGCTGGATTTACTTTACACCGCACCGCTTCTTCAGGTGCGACGGATGTCAGCTTGGTAAAATAGTAAGGCATCGGTTGGAGTATCTATTATCCTACTATCCCCAGTGTCTCATCATCCAGGCCATATAAAAGCAGTATACATCGACCCTGCTGGAAGTAAGCAGGATTGAGTAATATTTCCAAAAAGAAAAAAAAAATTTTTAACTTTTCAATTTTCTACATACCTTGTACGGATACTGAAATTGGAAAAGTTGCATCACGAAGAACAAAACAACGACCTTATGTTCTTGATTCTGCCCACCCACTTGATCGAGTCCATTCTGGCGATGAACTTAACTGGGATGACATACATCACAATGCCATATAACATTTAAAATAGTCAAATCTCAACAACAGCACTAGTGGTGTAGCGGTAACATACTTCCCTTCCATATCTTCTGATAGGAAGTGCTCTGGGTTCGACTCCCAGCTAGTGCACTCACATTCTCTTTTTCTTTTTGTTTTTGGTTGGTTTTGTTCCGCTTCCCGCTGTTAGTGTACGGACAATAACAACCCCACCATCAATGGTCTCAAAGCAGATCTGGTTATGTGGTGTTAGGGGATATTCTGCATTGCTTTCGTCATAGACCGCATACCAGAGCTTCGAAATGTTAAAAGTAGTTCCTCCTAGCGGAAAATAAGGAAAAACAATTCATCCTTGCCTGCGTCCTAGGAATGTATCAGACCAAACAGACCACTCGACTAAAAAGGTGTCCAGACACCTAAGTAGGTGTGATACTGAATGATACTAGGTTTGACAGAATGGCCGACTCGGGCTCAAGTAAGCTTACCTGGTGTTATTATTTACCTTGCAAGACCTTGCCGCCACCCCTTCTTTATCCACCACACTCATCCAAACAGTCGACATCAACTTCTTCATTCTTAGACCCCGTTTCCTTTTCAAGCATCCCATCATTCCTGTCCCAGCTTGACCAACTCTACCTATGAACCTCACTGCCTATTAACACCCTAGATCTAACATGCTTCCACCTGATGTAGCTCAACATCATAGCAACGCTTTGGCTCCTCCACCATTACATTCCGTCAGTGAGGACCTGATTAAAAGCCCGGCTTTATTTTTCCTCGCCCCACTTTACTCCATGGGGCCCTTCCTGGTGATAATCTAAAGATAATGAATCTAGATCGTCGCTGACAGTGATGTGCTCCATCCAAGCGAATAATAGGTGGAAGTCGCCCTAGACCAGAGCAGATCATACTGGAATCGTATAGCATCCGTGGCCGGATCTTATCATTGAACTGGTATCAAGTCACAATGGGCAAGCCCTGGTCGCATGCTCTAAAATGTCCCCCGAATGCGTGGGAAGCCAAAGACCACCTATGAAACTTATCTCGGTGCAGCGCCTACTCCCGCGATCTACCTGCAGGCGACCGCACATTGGAAATCAGACACATCTTCGAGCTGTGATAGTATGCTCAAAAGTCGAGAGGAAGCTGTGCTTCTTCAGCTTGGTACTAAAGCTGCGGTTCCATATAACCTGAATGGCAGTAACTTTGGTCGTTGGATAGGTACTAAAGACGAGACAGCCGTGGGTCCGAAATTTCTGGCCATTCTCACTCTGGGATGGTCCTACGTCCTGTCCGCTCAAATGGTGGAGATCCAAGGATCAGGTGCTGCAATGACATATACACAGTCGACAGCAGAAACGGAGCTCAACACAAGCCCTGAGACAGCAACAACCGCCATAGACCTGGGAGAAATTGATGAAGATGTATTTCTTTTGGTGGTATTCGGTTCTAGTGCCTGATCAAGGGTGGAGAGCTGTTGTGAAATCAACCGATGATGCAGGTTTCATTGCACCCTGGTCAGTAAGGCGGATGTGAGGCCGGTCCTTTTCCCTCAAATGAAAGAATAAGGGGTCTAGTCAAACAGACATTGCTGAACCCTTCTCGTCTCGCAAAGCATTTGATGCTCTTGCACAATTTGCTCTCACGCACAATCTTGGCAGCCAGTTTCTAATCGCATTCGCCACTGCCATGACAATACCGACGCATAACTACCACGGATCTACTCTCCAGCTACCGCACATGACACGTACAGGGGCTCAATGCCCGGCTACACCAGCCAGCTCAATCCCCGTCGAATGGACCGATTTGTATGAGAGTATGCCATACTTCATTACGTTAAGTTGCAAACCAGAAGCCATTATCTCTTCTCTTTGTGGCATGTTCTGGGAACCAGATGTACCATGCAACCTTGTCAGCCCGTGGTTGCACCCTATCCTGAAGGAAATCCCACAACAGCGGAATATCTCGGAGAAGGAAGGCTTTTACGCAGAGCTTCATGGATATACCCGGTACAGGCCCCTATCTTGACGGGAAGCAAAATGACCAGATCTGGAGAGCTGACATCTGGCGACTCCTTCATCCGCCCACTGCTGAGGAAGATGACATGTCTTACAATTACCGGCCCCGTACTCCTTGGGTTCCATGTGGCAAGATGCCCAAGGAAAACTGTTCTCTCCGTGTGGCGTCACACCTGAACTGCCCACGGCATCACCTTCAATACCATCATTTGACCTGGCAGTTGGAGGACGACATAATCATTGACGATCCAGGCTTGCCAAGGCCAACAGCCCCAGCACTTACTACGTTAGACACCGATCGCCTCCAGATAGGAGACCTACATCAGGCTCCTCAAATAGAAGTCGACCAGGACGCTTCTTGGAGTGCTTCATCGGATCTATTTCGGTGGTTCGTCACCAATGGAGAGGGATTTCCTCCAGAGAAAATCTACAAAGACGAATGGCTACAGGGTCTTGAGGATGACGACGACGACGACGATGATATCGAGGATGAGAAGGAAGATGATGAAACAGACCCAAAAAGACCACGACAAGAAGGCCAACTTGGTTTGGATAACTGGCTAGATACGATTGAATGAATGAATCCCGAACCTTGCTCTAGCCCTTCAATCCTGAACACACAATTGCTTAGGAAGTCTTATATATATCCTTCCAACAGGCATTGCCCTTTCAGATCTAACAAGCCACGACAAATTTGCACCCGTGCACTCGTCTAGGATGATGCGGCCTGCGACGAAGTCCAAAAGTCCGGTCTTCCCCCCCAGGATGGTCGGGGCAAGCCTTGCAGATCCTGTAGAATAGGCCGTCACAGTTAGCATGCATGGCCTGACATCTTTTCCAAAATCTCCCTGCAGTTCGGTGCCGCACATTGCTCGTAGGAGTGTGCGTCGTTGAAATGCCCACAACCTGGACATGCACCCTTTCTGCCTGAGCTGGTGGTCATATTCAACTAAGTATCGATGTCAGCACATAATTCCGCACGATTTACCACTACATCGCACAATAGCAGTGGGGCATGGCAGTGGTTAGGGCATCCATCCTGGGATAGTGGGTGAATGTGTGAGCATACCTGCAGAGACACAGTATAATCAAGACAGATTTCTCTAACAGCCCCTGGCAATGCAAAAGAACCCTCGATGAGAAGAAATGTAGGAAGATCAAATGCCACTGTGGTATGCTCCTGATGGATAATGTAAATAACGAAACTGACAAATGGACTTGGCTATTCCACGCTATGAAAAGAACTTCTTGATGTCCCCTATATGCAGTGTTGGAGCCCCCATCTCTCTTTTTAACAATCTCATCCATTCACCTACTCCGCCACCTCCACCACCAACTTGACACAGCTCACCCCCCGCTGCAACAGATCCAACCCCTCATTAAGCGCCGCCAACCCTCTCCCCACGACCCTCACCCCCGGACTCGGCCTGATCGCCCCACTGCCCAAGCCCCCCCTCATCGCCGTCCCCAACCAATACCGAAACTGCGCCTTCCTCTCCCCCTCCTCCATCGACGGCATCAAAAAGATCACCTCCACCCCCTCCACCTCTTTCACATCAACCGGAATCCTCGGCGCGGACGCAATCTTCCCCATCCCCATCCCCTCCCCCTCCCCAACAAAAGCCCGCACCACACCCTGACACCCCCCCACCTCCCCCGTCGCGAGAAAGCAACACCTAACCACCAACTCATCCTCCCTCGCCGCATTCACAATACTCTCCACAACACCCGGCGCATTATAATCAAACACGCGATCCGCGCCCAGCTCAGCCACATACATCTGGTTCGCCGCACCAGCGGTAGCGTACACCGCAGCAAAAGACGAGGCGGGGTCTTCGCGTAAGAGTCGCGCGGTTTGCACGCCCATGCTGCCGACACTGGAGGAGGCGCCCCAGATGAGGAGCGCTTCGCGTTTATGGCTCGGTTTTTCGCTACCACTACTGGGATAGGCGGGGTCGGGGGCTGATCCCACCCGCGGAATGCCCATAATATCCCACGCGTTCAGGGCTACCGCTCCCGCGACGGGGAGGGTGGCTGCCTCGTTCCAGGAGATATGGTTGGGAACGGGCATCGCGTGCTGCCACGGGACCAGGCAGCGCTCCTGGAAGGCGCCGTAGTCCGGGGAGCAGGATTTCCAGACGAAGGCGGAGTAAGCGGCGATGCGGGTGCCGGGGGGGAAATATGGGGATGGGTTTTTATCGGGAGTTGCGGTAAGGGTGGTGATAGCAATTGGACCGATGGGGACGTTCTCGCCGACCTCGAGGACGACGCCCGAGATATCGAATCCAACGACCGTGGGGTACTGTGTGTCCGGGATGAAGAGGCCCTCGTCACGCATGATGGTGTCTGCCGGGTTGAGGGCGACGGATTTGACGGCGATGAGGAGCTCGTCTGGTCCGGGCTTGGGCGTGATGCGGGTTTGCAGCGTGAAAGGGGCGCCTTTTGCGGGGGTAATGGCGGCGAGATGATGCGTGGGTGTGGTCATTGTTGATGGTTGGGAGTGTGTGGATATATATAAAAGCTTTTGAGGGGGGTTTGGTGGGTTGCCTTGGGTATTTGAGTATTCACGGTAAAAGAATGAGGATGTGAATGGGATGCAGGAGATTGACGAAGAACCCCCTTTTTATAACCAATCGTCCTGACAAGTTGATTATTATTTTTTCCTGCAGTGACGCATTCCCTACTAGATATCCATCTATAGATGCGGACGGCACAAGGCATACCTCAGCCAATCAGAACCCCCTGCATCCGAAGCCCAGCTAGCGTGGAAGGTGGAGACCCGGCAGACGGTTAGCGTCTGTGCCTATCTGTTTAGCGTTATTGGGGGTCGACTGACCTCCCATCATCGAACCGGCTATCTAAACCTCTCACCTGAAGGCACGAAAAGCATGCCATCCACTCATCCAGAAAAGATACGGGAAGGTAAAGCGCCGCGAAGATCGCGATACGGCTGCCGGAATTGCAAGCTCCGCAAACTGAAGGTGAGCCCTCGCCTCGAATGATCCGGTCCTAGGTTGACCTAACCCTACCTGCCAGTGCGACGAAGCCAAACCGCAGTGCAAGAGATGTTGTTCCTTCGGGCTCCTATGCAACTTCGTCTCGAACGTCCCGGATCTGCAGCCCGTCGCTGCAGACACAGGGCGAAAATGGGTGGACCGGGGAAGAGGAAACGTCGCGCTTCAGCCGGCTCTCACCCATGCGGTTTGGACGTCCGACGCATCGACGTGTTATCACTTGGACGCAAGGTCTCAGGATCTAGTATATCGATATCTGGGATGCAGTCTGATTACACCGGCCGATCCGGGTATGAGGGAGGTTAATCGTGGGCTGCTGGGGTTGGCGTTTGATGTAAGTCTTTCATATTTGCTTTATATCCATTCTCTGCCATCGGAAATAAATGGCTTTATATTTATCAACGCAGCCCTATACGCCAGAATACACACCTAATTACCACCCACACCAACACCCACACCCTCTCCGCTAACAACCAACACCCCACAGCACCCCTACCTAATGCACGCCTCTCTAGCAATAGCCCTCACCTACGACCGCCACCTCAACGGCCCCCTGACCCACCACCACAAAATAGAAGAATACTACCACCGCTCCCAAAGCACCATCCTCCTAAACAACCAGCTCCAGCTCCAGCTGCAGTCCCCTCTCCCGCTTTCATCCAAAACCAAAGACGCAATCTGGGGCACAGCCGCCGCCCAAACAATCCTCACCTTCTCGTCTCCAGACGCCTGCACCCCCGAACAATCATGGCCTCTCAAGCCCTCCCCACTCCCCCCCCCCTCCTCCTCCTCCTCCTTCTCCTTCTCCTCCACTTCCCCCTCCCCCACCCCCACCCCCGAATTCAACTGGATCCACATAACCGCCGGCAAAACCACCCTCTGGCACCCCCTCAACCCGCTCCGCCCAGACAGCATCTTCCACCCGCTATCACCCACCTACGGGCAAATGAACACCCCACCCCCCTCCCACGGCATCCAAGATATCCCCCGCCCCTGACAGCACTATGCGCCCTCACGCCCTCCTCAACCGCAGAGTCCAGTCCGTATTTTCTCCCCGCGCACGCGCTAGCCCAGATCCTGCGTCCGGATAATCAGGTCACGGTGGTCCACGTGCAGTTGTTCATGGGGAGTATACATAACCAGAAATTGATGGATTTGCTGCGCGGGAAGGATCGGGTGGCGCTGGCGTTGCTGTATTTGTGGTATCGGAGGGTGGGGAGGTGCGTTTGGTGGGTTGGCATGAGGGCAAGGGTGGAGGGGAGGGCGATTGGCGAGTTTTTGATGAGGCGGGAGGATGGGGATGGGGTGGTGGGGGCATTGTTGTCCTTGCTGGGGGGGGGGATTGGTACTAGGGCATGTATGTAGGCTGAAATAGTAGGATAGCCATTACCCGCAGCAACTGCTGTTGCCCGACTAAGGTCAACGGGATAGAACCAAGTTGAAGAAAGATGCAGCGTTTCTAGATAAACCCCCCCCAGGCAACATCAAATCTGTAGATACCAGAAAATACAATTTAAGAAAAAAAAAAAAAAAAAAGAATCTGCGCTACACTCATGCCATCATCTACCGCCAGCACGGCCGTGACTTCTATCATGTACAAGGGTATCGGTGAGAACCTCAACCAGGGGCCTCTCGTAACATAAGGCTGAGAACAGGACTCCATCGAAAGTAAAGTGCCCGATCTGCAAGAAACAACATTCCCCCTTATCCAAGATCAAATATTTTCGGAGAAGGGATAAAAGAGACAGCAAAAGAGAAATCGTGGATCATCGTCGATCAAAGAACCAGCTGGTGCGCTTGCCGGACTCCTGCGACTGGACGCCGGCGACGGGCGCCGCCGCGGGGCCGTCGTTGCCGCCGCCGCCGCCTCGCAGCGGCTTTGCAATTCGCGAGCCGCCAAAACTGAAATTGCCGCTGCCATCCATACTTGGAAGACCGCGCGTCGAGCCCTGTTTGGCGGCTTCCAGGCGCTCTTTGACCGCCGTGAGTTGTGCTTCGAAGCTGTGGCTGTTAGCTACTGCCATCCATTTTCTCAGACGCGGGGGGAAGACCTACCGGTGATTCGCCTGGGTCAGCTTCTCCTGGCTCTCCTGGAGCAGGCTCTCCAAGCTGGCAATGCGCTCGTTGCGCGCGATCAGCTTCCGCTCCGCAATGGCCACCTCCTTCTTCAGGCTGCTGTTCTGCTCCACCAGCTGCCGCTGCACGTGCGTCAGCTGCTCCAGGTTGCGCTCCAGGAATGCCATCTTCTTCTGCTGTGCGCGATTGTTCGACGACCGCAGCACGTTGTTGTACTGCTCGCGCGCGTCGTCAAGCGAGATCTCCAACTCCACCACCCGCTCGCAGCGGTTCTGCAGATCGCGCATCAGCGACTTCTTCATCGCGTCGAAGTCGGCGATCTGCTGTTGCAGGTTCTTGCCCGCCGCCCCGTTGGTCGACACGCGCGTCTGCGAGTCCGTCAGTGTCTGCCGCATCTTGCCTAGCTCCTCGTCCTTCCGCGCGATCTCGCTGCGCAGCTCCGCCACCGCCTCCATCTCCGCCTCCTTGCGCGTCACGTACAACTTCTCCAGTCGCTCCCGGATCTCCTCCGCGTCGCCTTCGCCCAGGTTCCGCTCCAGGAGGTTCTCATAGTCCCGCTTGAGAGTTGCCAGCTTCTCCTCCAGCTCCACGCGACGGCTGTCCTGCAGCTCGCTCAGCTCGCCCCGGTCGTTCATCGTCAGCTCCGCCTGCCGGATGAACCCCTGCGTCTCCATCAGGCTCGTCCGCAGCTCCACCAGATCGTCGGGCGCGATCGTCTCGCCGGCCTCGCTGACCTTGTGCAGCGAATCCACCCGCTGAATCAGGTCCTGCAGCTTGCGCTCGTTGTCGGAGAACACGTCCCCGCCCAGGTCGAAGCCGGCCATCATCTTTGCCATCTTCTCCGCCTTCTTCTTCTCCTTCTCGTCCAGGGCGGCGCTGGTCTCCTTGGCCTTCATCCGCACGTCCAGAAGCTGCTGCTTGACGTCGTCCAACTCAGTCGTCAGCTCGGAGTTGGCTTCGCGGAGGCTGTCCATGGTGATGCCGGCCTCTTTGCTCTCGTAGGAGACCTTCTCCAGGTTCATGCGCAGCTCGTTAACTTCGGTCATCAGCTTATCGTTGTCCTTGCCCGACCGTGCGGAGTTCTCCTTCATGTTCTTCAGCTCCTCCCGGGCCTCCCGGAGACCCCGTTCGATGCTCGCGATGTGCGACTCCTTCTCCGCGATCTGGTCCTGCAGTTCATTCTCGCGGCGTAGGAACTCCTCCCGCTCGTCCTTTTCGAGAACCAGACTCGGCGTGCTGGAGCGGTCGCCCAGCCGGGAGTCCGGACGCGGAGTCTCGGAGCGCGCGGTTTCCTGCAAGCGCGAAGGCGTACCGGGGCGGGGGGCGCGGGCTTCCGCCTTGGTCGCGCTGACGGCGTCGCCGCGGGCGGGGGTCCACCGGTCCTTGGGAACCGCCTCACCGCTTCGCCATACCTGCACTTCGGTTTCCAGATTCGAGATGTAGGACTCAAAGTTGGTCACCTGGCTCTGGGCCTTGCGGAGCAGCTGCTTCAGCTCCGACGGACTCAGCTCGGCGTTGACCTTCGCCTTGTTCTTGATCGCCTTGGCCCGCACACCGAACCGCAGAGTGGAGATGGTTTCCGCGTCGTTGTAGCTACTGGGGGAGCAGTTGATGATGAGCGTCGTCCTCGAGTTACCTCCCAGACTCTCCTGCAGAATTCGGGTGAGCTTGGAGTCACGGTACGGGATGTGCGTGGATTTGCCGTCCGTCAGCGCGTTGATGACCATGCCCAGCGCACTCAAACTCTTGTTGATCTTCTTGGCCTCCTCCAGGGTCTGACCGCTGGCGCCCGTCTTGCCAACTTTCTCACTACCCGCCAGATCGACCAGGAACAGCTGACCACTCTTGGCGGATCCGGTTTCAAGGTTCTTCTGTGTGACGGTGATGACGAAGATGGAGTGGGATCGGGAGGATTCCTGGTTCATGTTGGTGGCCGAGACCGCTCTGGCCGCACCACCCCGCCGCATGACCTCGTACACCTCCTGCACGCTCGAGACGTAGACCTCCAGCAGGCCCTTGACGTAGACACCGCGCGACTTTTCCTCGTGTACGGGTAGATTGTCGTTCTGCGGCACCAACAGATCGCGAATCCGCTCCATGTAGATTTCCATGTAACTCACTCGCACAGTGTACTCCATGTTGCTCGGGCTGGTGAGGATACTGGCGAAGATCTGCTCGACAATACGGGGAATGATACCCTTGCCGATGTCGTCGTCGATATCGGAACCCATCATGGTGTAAGACTTTCCCGCACCGGTCTGACCGTACGCGAAGACCGTGCCGTTGTACCCATTCAGGATGTCGTCGACGGTGGGCCGGATCGAGAAGTTGAAGATGTCCTGCTGCTTGGAGTCCATGGGGAACACCTGATCGAAGGTGAATGCCCCCCCCGAGCCATCTCTGGCCTGGTTGGGTTAGCGGGCGCCCGGTGCGACGGCGATTCTCCTCTCACTTACGTTGATGTAGCAGGACTGCTCATTTTCGAACTCGACAATCGGCTCTCCGCCCGATGACAACTCAATCTTGTTTTGCGGTCGGAATCTCGCAAGCACTGCACCAATGTCAGTCAGACCAGGCCTTCGAATACACGAGCCGGGAGGGGCGCACCCTTAATGGTGTTGTTCGCGGCGCTGGGGCCAGATGACCTGTCCAACAACAATCAGTCCGACCGCCGTGAAGCGGTGAAGCACAGAACTCACGCCATGATCACTCTGACCCGAACAGACGGGTATGAAGATGGGGAAGGACAGAGAAACCCCGAGGGAGGGGAGAAAGTGAGGGAGGTCGTGCAGACCGGAGAGAATGGCTGGGGTCGGTCGGTCGGAGGAGGAGGAGGTGGTGGTGCAGTGGTGTTGGTGGGCGGTGGGAGATGTTTGGGTCAGGGGTCCACGTGCACTAGGCCGACACAACACAACGTGGGGAGGAGGGACACCGCGATCGGCACGCCCGAGACGAAGCAGCAGTCGGGCGTGAGAGGTCTTGGTAGAGGCCGCAGACGCAGAGGCAGCAACTGGGGGGAGGGGGAGTGGTTGTGACGGTTGTGACGTGGACGCGAGAGAGGGTGGTGGCTAAGTAAGGTAGGTGGGGGGAGAGAGGCATGCAGCATTGTTTTGGCGGTCGTGCCGTCGCCGAAGCATTTCGTTCTCCGTTGCTGTTAGGCCGCCTTGGCGCGGACGGCCGCCCGTGCCTACAGAAGAGCCTACACAGAACGCGATTTAATCCAGACACAACAGACTTTCTTAATTTTAAAGTTTTATGTGACACCTTGATGGAAGCACATTTAATGCATTATGCAAACCAGACTGAAATGATGCAGCTATCAACAAGACCGAAGGAAATATCATAAGTATGTACCAGGCGCCCAAACCCCACGCTGTGCACGTCATCAAATGTGAGAATCCATCAGCCCAAGATAGTCCCCCACAACGCATGAACGACCGCAACTGCCGTAGCTCCCGATGCATGACAGCCGGCGTCTGCGGTCGCCATGTGCCCAAGCCAAAACCATAACAATAGCCCGAGCCGGGACATGGTCTAGTCGTCCCAGCTCTTTTCCACCGTCTCCCGCACTCGCTTGATGTACTCCTTCCGGTTGTCTTTGTAGAGGTTTGAGGCTTCCACGTTCGCGGGGGACGAGGTGTTGGGGTCGTTGAGGAGACTGTGAAACCGATCAGCACGTTCTCTTCCGCACGGAATTGCCACGGAGTTTCATACCTCTGGATACTGGTCAGGATCGCTGCCACGTCATAGGTTGGGCTCCAACGGTTCTGCAGAATATCCAGGCAGAGCTCGCCTGTGCCGTAGACATTGGGGTGGAACATCTGGCTGATGAATTTCACGCCGGGGGGCTTGTTGGGGTACTGCTCTTCGAAGTGCATGACCAGGCGGAAGGTGCCGTCTTCGAACGGAGTGTCCGCGGGGCCGATGATCACGGCGTTCCTACAGGTGTCAGATCATGACAGTAGACTATGGCGAACTGCTTACCAGGTCATGACATTATCTGCCACAGGAGATGCCGAGACTCCAGCGGGAGGATCGGTTTGCATACGCTGGACGAGTTAGCCTAGCTCGCTACCTTCTCCGACAAAACCTGGACCGTAGTCCAGGGATTCTCGAAGGACGAGTGCAAAGCGCTAAACAGACGCAACGACAAGAGGCTGGTGTGATGGACCTACCTTGAAGTCGCGCATGAGACGGCGGCGGGCAGAGGTCGACATTGCGGCGGGGTTCTGGAGTCGGGAGCTATCGATAGCAGAGAAGGACCGGGTCTGGAGGTTCGCAGGATTAAGTAGATGGGGATTAGTCAGGCAGCGATGAGACGGAATCCCACGAAGGTGGCAGGACGAGAGGGTGAAGAGTTGAGGAGGAGGAGAAGGTGACGAGAGAGTGAGAGTGGAGGTGTGACCGGGTGGTGAGGAGCAGAGACGAGACGATAGCAGCGCGGGCGAACGCTGATTGAGCACAGTAGCAGCAAAGACGGTCGGTGTTGGGCCGTGCGGGTAAAGAGAGTGAGTGACTTGCTGATGACTCGGACTGCCGCGGTCGCTGCGGTCGCTCGCTCGCCCGCCGTTGGGCCTGCAGATGCCCGCTAGCCACACCCGGTATGGCGCTGCGCCACGCGCTGATGTAATTAAGCACGTGACAGTCCTGCACGCCGGGCCAACGTGCGCTAGCCCGAAGGAGTAACCCCGGATAGAGCTCTCGCGATGCAGCCCAGCTCCTTCGGTGGATCTACAACAGCAAAGCACCTTGGGGCGTAGCCTTCCAGGCGATATTGATATGGGACACCGGTAAACGCATCGAATCACCATGTTGGGTCCCCTGGAACTACCCGTCTTCCCGTCTTGCTATGACTGTCTCGCATGGTCCGCAGACGGGGAGCTGGCCATCGCGGCCGGAGAATACATCCAGATTCTGGTGAGTATCGCATCGCGGACTCTCTACGCAACTCATCCTGACCCAAACAGACGCCCAAGAACCCCGCGGAGCACGACTCCACCCAAGCCATCAACAACTGGCAATCGACGCGCTTCCGCGTAAACGTGTTCACGAACAACGAGTGGCCGACCATCTTCCCGCAGAACCGCGACAACTTCTCGCTAGGAGCGGAGCAGTCCCTCAGCACGGTCGTCGCACTGGCCTGGTCTCCTCCCGGCCTGGCCAAGTACAGACGCTGCGTGTTGGCGGTCCTGACCTCTAACCTCCTGCTTTCGCTGTACGAGCCCGTGGGGGCCCAGGGGAAATGGACCCGGGTCACCATCGTCAACACCATTCTGAAAGAGCACTTCCAATCCGTCGTGAAAGAGGAAGCTCTCGGTCTAAGGAAGTCTAATATTCGATCTTTTGCATGGTCTCCGCCGCTCAAGGTACCAGTCACAGATATCGGTCCTCACGCCATCGCGCCGGTGGAAAGTCGCTGGGGGTTCCATCTTCTGTCCATTGCAAACGACGACAACGATGTCATTTTCCTCCGCACGCAGAGCGCCCCGACAGAGCCTTTATCGTACACGGCGGAGGTTTTGTCCGTGACGCCTATCCATGACGACTCCATTTACCCGCAGATCGACCCCTCGTCCATCTTCGCGACGGTCCTGAAATCCAAGACCAAGATCCTGTCAATCGCCTGGGGGCCGTGGCTTCTTCCGTCCACCAAAAAGCAAAAGTCCGTCACGGGCAATCTGGCGGTCGTCTACGGCACAAAACTCAAGGTTATGCAGCTGGATGTAGACCTGGCCTTGCTCAGCCAAGGGTCGGATGCCGGATCAATAGCCAGCTCCAGAGAAAACACCGCTATATGTCACCCCGATATGGATGGGTACCAGATCACGGGACCGTTGAAGTGGTTTCACAAGGTAGGCTTTCACTTACGCTCCACCGGGTCACCCAGCCATCACAAAAGCCACCATGGAAGCCTTTCACGACAGACTACCCAAGACTAACTTTCTACCCAACCCAGGACCACTCGAAAACCATATTCCTATCCGCCGGCTCCCTCACCGGCCTCCTATCAATAAACCTCCCCATCGACTCCTACCGCGGCAAAAAGTCAGGTTCCCGCCAGATCCAGCTCCAACAACTACCCTTTCACGAGACCCCCGCACACGAAGACGACGACGCACCTCGACACCTAGAACCCATCACCGGTAACCATCCCAAACCCCTTCCCTCCTTCCTCCCCTTCTCCCTCCCTCTTCCACTGACGTAGAAAGCAATGACCATCACAATGGACGAATCCCAAAACCCCGTCCTCCACCTCGGCACAGCGGGCGGCTACACAGCATCCAAGCCCCTCGACCCGGGCTCCGAAGAACAACTCTCCGAAGTTCCCTGGAACAAACACCTCGACGACATCCGCGAGAAATACGACTTCGACCGGGACCTTGGCGGGCTGGCCGTGGCTCGCGTCTGGGGAATGGCAACCTACAGGGAAATGTCAGCGGTGGGGATTACCGTGCACCCGGGCGACATGGTCGAGTACCGTACCGCCGCGGAGGAGCGACTAACAATCATTGTCTCCGGACCGAACGAGTCCCAACCCGATGTATCGCCCACCACCTCGCAGGATAAACGCGAAGCAGCCCTGTCATACATCCTACACTCTGACGACGAAGAGCAAGATCGTCCGCCTTTGTCTCATAGAATCCTCTACGCTGCTGCGTGCGCCACGATCATCGATTCGGATAACGAGGATCTACAAGCCCAGGCGCATAAAGTCCTGGTTCGGCTGGCGACAGTCACTGGCGCGGATCTGAGCGAGGAGCTGTCGAAGTGCGCTGGGCCTAGAGGTGCCATTGCATCGAAATCGGGGGACATGCTTCAGGGCCCGGGGATGGGGATGTTTGAGCGGTGTGATATCTGCGATGCGGGGGTTGGGTGGTACTCCAGCGAGGAGGCGCAGTGTGCGTCGGGACACGTCTTTGGTGAGTGGTCTATGTCGAGGGACGGTAGGGTGTTGCTAACGGTTTCCAGTCCGGTGCAGTTTGACGGCGTTGGCGATTCAGGATCCCGGGTTGTCGAAGCTCTGCGCGTCCTGTGGGCGGGAGTATTTGAATGAGGACGAGATTGATTCAGCCGATACGGATCTACAGAGTAGTTGTCGGATGCTGTTTGATGCGTTCGATACGTGCGTCTACTGTGATGGGAAGTTCAGATGCTAATGCTAATCTGACCTTTTTTGGGTTGGATGGAATATGTTCTTGTTTTAACGCTTGGTATCTTACACGGCATCTGGTCTATATCAGCCCGAGCAACTTGCCCGCAACAGGGTCCCACTCGCCGTCCCACCGACGAGAACTCTCCTCGCGCGCACCAGCACGGAGGGTCTCGAGTTTCGAGGAATCCCCGAAAAGCTCGACAAGCTGGTCGACCAGCTCCTCGGCGCTTCCGAAGCCCCGCCCGTTGCGACCTTCCGTGACCAGCTCCGGCCACGCCGGGAACCGGTTCCAGCCGACGACCGGCAGGCCCGCGCCGAACATATCGACGACTTTCATTGGCAGATCAACGCCGCTGCTACTGGTGTGCAGACTGACGCCCAGAGCCGCGGATGCCAGCAGCCGCGCATAGTCTTGCATCGTCAGCCAGGCAGTTCGGATGGTCGCTTTTCTGAGCTTTCCGGCTTTTTCGAGCTCGGCGATCTGGTTCAGATACATCTCCTTCTGGGGGCCTTTGCCGGTGATGATAGCCAGAACGGGAGGAAGGTCAGGGTTCATGGTCTCCGCGAGGTTGGAGTAGCGGACGAGTGCGTCGATGAGCAGCGAGAAGTCCTCGTCGGCGGTCCACGAGGTCGAACTGACCAGGACGCGGAGGTCGTTGGATTGGATGAGCGGGCGAACGGATTCCGTCTCCGGCAGCAAGAGGAGGAACTCCCGGCGCACGTCATCGTCGAGAATAGGCTGGAAATGGTCTGCGGGGCGGTCGTGTAGCGGGAGGATGGGGGCGCGCAGGCCGAATTCCTCCTTCAGCACTGTGGCCATGGCATTGGTCACACATAGGTGTGCCGTGGCGTACTGCCCAAACTTCTTCTCGTACCACTTGGACAATCTAACCAGGGGATGGGCGTCTCCGAGCTTGAGGGCCAGGATGGTGTATCCGAAGTTGTGCCAGTCGATGAGCAGGTTCGTGTGGCGGAGGAAGCAGACGAGGGACGCGATGGCCAACGTGGGTATGGAGGGGGGGTTCTAACATCGTCAACAATCCGTCCGGTGGGCAATCAATCGCAGCGAACGAACCTGGACGATCACCCATTTCACAGCTTTTGTCCGATACGCCAGCGTCCACCACAAACAGCCAATCTGGAACAGCACCTTCAGCGGCCCGAACAGGAGGAACAGGATCTTGTTGCTGGTCTGCAGGCAGGCCGGGTGCGGGGGCAGAGGCACGATGGATATGCGCGGATGGGAGGCGATCTCGGGATGTACTTCGGATTCTATAGGGCACGGCTAGTTAGCATATCGAATTATATTATACTCGGACGTCAAAACATAGTCGCATGTCCATGGGGGAGCTGTTGCTTGCGCACCATGATACCCGATAATCTCCACCTGTCCGCCGTGTTTCGCGACGCTAAGCGCATGATACTGCATGCGCGGACTGCGCCCGATATCACCTAGCACGAGAATCTGGGCGGTTGTTTTGGGGGCATTAGGGTCGGAGGAACGCTTCGATGCGTATTGGGAGGGGAGAAGGAAGATGAGTAGCGTGAAGGCGGTGGAGATGCAGAAGGCGACGGTGATGAGTGAGTCGAGCATGGTGTAGACGGTAGGAGGTCGGGGATTGGTAGTTAGGGATTAGGGAGTCAGATTCCGCAGCATCATGGGTATTGGCAGGTCACCATGGCAGGACAATGGCTGTCGGGGTCGAGATTCCACCTTTCGCGAATCGCGATGCCAGGTGGCTGTCTGTCTGTCCGACTCTCCGCCCGTCACGGAGAAGCCGGGCCGATCACCCCACCGGATGGCGCGTCCGAAGCTCAAGCGCGCGGCTGAGTGGTCTGCAGGGTTGGGTCATGCAGAGCTGATGGTGAGCCAGGGACGCGGAGTTCAGGGATTGTCTATATCTAGCTGTAGATAAAATATGAACACTGAAATGGGTACTACAATGGGGGAAAGAAGGAATATAGGAGTGCATAAGAGTTGCATACAGTCGATTGAGGACCCGCGGGCCATCACGTGCCGTCTTCATCAGCGTGGATGCCTTGAAGAACGGGGGCGCATCTGGGGGCCATCAGATCGCCACAAGCGCCCGTCCAGCTCCCTTCTTCCTCCCCTTCTGTCTCTCCCTCCCTCCCTTGTCTCCTTGTCTCCTCGTCTCCTCGTCTCCTCGTCTCCTCTCTGACTCCCCTCCTGACGCGATGCTGCGTTTGCTGTCTCAATCCCCCGCCGGTCATCTCCCCTGAGCTGCTGAGCTCCACTCGCATCTGAAACCACCGCTCCCGCCTCGGCTCTCGCTTCCACTCGCCTCATCCTTCGTCACGAACGCCTGGAGATCATGTCGACCGGGGCCCCCGTGTCCATGGTGGACACGATTCCTCAGGTCCATGGTCTCGGACATAGTCGTGGCGGACGGGGTCATTCCCGTTCTGCGCGCTGGTCCCAGGGGCCTATCTCCTTCTCCGCCGATGCGCAACAGCCGGTGACAGGTATACCGTTTACCAATGGGGCGAGCGACCATTCGCACGATTCGCACGACCATGCCCACTCACACTCACACTCGCATTCCCATTCTCATTCGCACTCTCACTCGCATGACCACGACCACGACCACGCCCACTCTCACTCCCACTCTTCAAACCACAATCCATGGGAACAGCACTCCCACCTGGGGAGCTTCGACTCCGTCGCCCACAGCAAGAGCGACAGCGTGACGGGGATCCTGGCAGCCTCGCTGAGCGCATCAGAGGCTCCAACCAGCACAGCGTGAGGATCCAATGGAGCTTACAGATACGATACTAATGCCGTCCAGTCAAGAGATCCTGTTCGGCCTCCTCCTCGCCCTGCCGTGGGTCGCCCTGTCCTGGTACCACCAACAACATGCACATTGGGAGAGTTCATCCCCACTAGACGCAACCACGAGCGCTGCATCAGACCACGCTGCCAGCAAAACGTCCTTGGTGACCGCCGCTACAATGATCATATACGGGTGTGGACGGCTGGTCCGATCGGTTGGAGGGGGCGACTCTGTTGGTGCACCCAAGATAAACACCAGCGCCGCGAGTGGGGTTTTCCTGCGCGCCTCGTCTATTGCGCTCCCGATCTACGCGGTGTTGAAGGTGGGAGGTTTCCTTACCGCGTGTAGCCTGCTGCTTGCCATTGCGTCGGGAGTGCCGACAGTCGTTCAGGGCTACGGTCTTCACAGCAGTGCCCAGTCCCGGCTGAGCCAGAAGAAAATAACAGCGTCTCTACTTGTTACAATCGTTGTTCTGAGCTTCCTGGGGTTGAATGCGACGCGGGACCCCCACCCGTTCTTGGGTTACGTGTCCCTTCTGGTGTCTGTTTTCGTGCTCCGCCCCCCTTTCGCGGGGGCCGGGCTTGACAACTCGTCCAGTTTTTTGAGTGATACGGTCTCCCAGAAACAGCTGGAGGAAGGCTTGAGCAGTGGGTCCAACGATTCAGTCTTGGCTGTAGTTTCAGGACTGCTTCTGGCACTTGGTACCGTCGTTGTGTCTGGCAATGTGTTTGGGTCGGATTGGATGTACCAGCTTGCAGCTGCTGGTACCTTCGCTGCTGGCCTAATATTCCTGGCCCCCTCTCACCTGCGGTCCCCGCACAAGCTTGGCCTGATCATTGGAACTGGAAGTGCCGCGCTTTTTTGCTCACCACCGCTACAGGAGAAGGTACACCTGGCTTATGTCGCCCGGGCCATGGCGACTGCGGCCTCGTTCCTTGCGGCCAGATATGAGGATAGACATCTGCGGAGTCTCGCGGCGCACTCGACCCACACCGTCTATTCTGGGGACGCGACTGGAATCACCAAGCTCATAATCCGCTCCAGTGAGCCATATCCCCTCTTGTACAGTATACTGAAGGAACGTGACTCGCGGCGCATCTTCTATTTCATGTGGTAAGTCACGCCCATCTGCCTTCGTGGGCGTGCTAACGAATCAGTCTCAATTTTGGCTTTATGCTGGTCCAGTTGTCGTACGGCTTCATCACGGGATCCCTGGGACTTCTCAGCGACAGCATTCACATGTTCTTCGACTGCCTGGCGCTTGTCGTGGGTCTCTGTGCGGCGGTCATGAGTAAATGGGCGCCCAGCGCTAGGTTCCCGTATGGTTATGGAAAGGTGGACACACTCTCTGGCTTCGCCAACGGCATCTTCCTCATGTAAGACGCTCCCCATATGCGCCTGCGTCGTACGGTTCTAACAGCATCCAGGATCATCAGCATCGAGATCATCTACGAGGCTGTCGAACGATTGTCGTCAGGCAGCCAGATGCACCGCCTGGGCGAGCTACTCGCAGTCAGCTCCGCCGGACTCCTGGTTAACCTGGTCGGCATCATGGCCTTCGACCACGGCCATGCACACGGCCACGACCACGGGCACGGGCACTCGCACGGTAACGAGAATATGCACGGGATTTTCCTGCATATTCTCGCCGACACGCTTGGTTCCGTCGCCGTCGTGATCTCGACCATCCTCGTGCACTACTCGGGCTGGGCGGGCTTCGATCCGATCGCCTCGTGTCTCATTGCCATTCTGATCTTTGCCTCGGCTATTCCGTTGGTTAGCAGCACTGCCAAGTCACTTTTGCTCACGTTGCCGGCCGATGTGGAGTACAATGTCCGCGACGCGCTTTCGGGTGTGAGTACCTTGCGCGGGGTGGTTGGATATACGGTGCCGAAGTTCTGGCTGGATGATACGGGGAATTCCGGTCACGATCATGGGCATGACCACCACGACCATGACCACGGACACGACCACGGACACGACCACGGACACGACCACCACGGCCATGATAGCCATTCTCACAGTCATGACAGCCATTCTCACAGCCATTCTCACAGCCACAGCCATGATCACCACGATCACGACCACGACCACGGCTCTCACACCCCCAATGTCCTCGGAGTCATCCACGTGATCGCATCTCGCACCGCAGACCTCGACGACGTCCGGCAACGAACGCACACCTACCTTCGCGAAAAAGGCATGGACATCCTGGTGCAAGTCGAGCGCGAGGGCGATGGGCGATGCTGGTGCGGGGGCGGGAGCAACAAGAGCTCTTAACCTATCTTGGTAGAAGATATAGACGTGTTCTACTATAGTACGGCTCTCTCATTCTTCTTTACCCCTCTTACCCATTATTGGCGTTCATTTTCTTGTCTATACATAGTTGGTTGGCGCTGCCATATCGATCCTTGGTGTTGGATTGGGCTTTGGCTGTATATGTAGGATGCGTGCAAATATGTTTCTTGTTTCATCTGATAGGGCATGTGGACCTCGGTTGGTCTGGTTGTATTACTTGTTATCACCTACCACTCTCATCGACGAGGCAGCAGGTAGTGGGTCTTGCAGGTGGATGTCATACACCGGTTCTTTCCAGCGTAGTACTTGTACCTCTCACGTCAAGCATGTATCACGGCCAAGGCGTTGACTTGTCTGTAGGACAACGGGTATCTGTTTATGATTGTCCAGATTTATATCTTTCTCAGCGGTTATACAGTTTCACTTACATATATATCCCTCTGACCCATATACATTTATCCATGCACCTACACCTCGATATATACATCCTTCCCCTCACACACTACGCCGCGTACATCAAAGTTACTTTACTCTCCAGAATACTCCACCAACCATTCTAACAACCAATAATGGGATATCAGTTCATACAGTAAACCCGGCCCAATAATCCCCCGAACCAGGCTAGCTCCCTGGTAGCACACGCACAACGCCTCGAATACAGTAACGCAGAGCAAGGCTCTCGCGGGCGTTACATGTGACGATGGTGTGTATATAGATTGCCTGTCCTATCCCAAACCCTCATAATCATATGATGTTAGTTGGATCTCTTCCCCTTTCCTCTTCCTCACCCTCATATCGATTGATATACTATCCAACATACATACCTCACCACCCACAACCTCCCCCCCAATGCAATGCCTCCCCCCACCCCCTACCAACCTTCCCATTCCCCCCTCCCCCCAACCGGCTACATGACGCCCTACACGAAACACACCGTCCTCCTAACCGGCAGCACCGGCTCGCTCGGCGGCTGCCTCCTCTACAAACTCACCCTGCAACTCCCCTGTCCCAAGATCTACGTTCTCATCCGCACAACCCCCGCCATCGCGCAATCCAAATGGCACAAGACCATGCCCTCGCACGCGCCCGCCATGCTGCAAACAAACAAGATCCACTACGTGGCGGGCGATATCCGACAACCCAACTTCGGGATCGACCCCGGCACGCTGCGCGAACTCCAAGAACAGGTGACGCTTGTGATCCACGCCGCCGCGAAGATCAAACTCGATGCGTGGGTGGTCGAGGCGATTGAGAACAATTGTCTGCCGGCGTTGGAGTTGGCGAGTATGGCGGGAAGATTCCGGAGACTCAGGTTGTTTGTGCAGATCAGTACGGCGTATGTGAATAGTTTCTTGGAGGATGGGTGGGTGGGGGAACGACTCTATACCGTCCCATCCACCACCACCAGCAGCAACAACATGAACAACCAGACCCAGACCCTCACCGTCACCCTCGACCCCGTCCCCGACCCCGAAGAAGAGCTCACCACCATCCTCACCACTTCCACCTCCCCAAACACCCCGCTCTTCAGCTCAACCTACACCCAAGCCAAACACCTGATGGAACGCCTCCTTCTCTCCCGCCACCCGACTCTCCCTCTCCTCCTCCTCCGACCGACCATCTTCGGCCCCGCCCTCCGCACTCCTTACCCCCTCTACGGCCCCGAAGACAGCACGCCGCTCCGCAAATTCGCCACCCTCTTCTTCTCCGACCTCCACGGCACGCAAACCTGGCACGCCGCGTCCGGCCACACCTCCGGCGCCAACATCCTGGACGAAATCCCGGTCGACTTCGTCGCGAACGGGTGTCTCCTCCACGCCGCCGCCCTCACAACAGGCATCGTGCACATCGGCTCGCAGCTCTACGTGCCGATCACGTTCGATGACGTGCTGGAGTTGATCCGCAAGCATGCGCCGCCCGAGGTACGCGGCTTGTTGCCCAAGGTGGTGTTTGTGCAGGATCGAGCCGTCGAGCAGAGCTTTTTGGCGGAGTTGGTGAAGGTGGGTACGCGGCATTGGGTGTTTGATTGTGGGAGGTCGTATTGGGTGTTGGGGGTTGGTGGGGGGTTGGGGTTCCAGGCGTGTGTGGGGGAGGCGGAGAGGTTGAATCGGTGGAGGGTCGAGCAGGTGGTTGAGAAGGCGTTTGGGGAGGGGGATGGGGATGGATTGAAGGGGGAGGACGAAGGGAGGAAGGACAAAGGTAGGAGGGAGGGGAAGTTATAGAGAGCGAGGCGAGTTTGGGGTTTTAAGTGGGGTGGGGGATGTGCATAGGAATCTGGATGGAATTGGTGTTCATGTTATATTAGTTGGATTAGTTATGGTGGGAATTCTGTTGCTTGAAGGGAATAAGCTCCGTGGCGTGGGAGAGGAGAGGAATATTGCACGAGGTATTTTTTTGAATTGCTGATTAGAAATGCGAAATATATCTCAAGAGAGTAAGTAATATATCAGCCCAGAGACTTTGATCTTGAATTTCAGGCTGGTCATGATCCAGAAGCTATCGTTCATTCCACCAGGGGTGTTGGATTCGTAGAAGAGGTCGATTCGGTATTCTTCACTACTTCATAGTGAGTCTACTGCTCTTATATCACAAGGGACGAGCCAGAATGTACATCGATAAGTACACTGCATACCGGTGTCGGGTTCGCGGGGATGAAGCGAAGGCAGGCAGTCCTGTTTGAGTCCAACAATCGAGACTGTTGTCCGTAACTCTGTTGCTGGGATTGATTTTAAACCACCATTTTGACGGGTAGTCCATTCCAAAACCCTGCCAGGCTTGGGTTTGGTAGCCTTAATTCCTGCTGGCAAGCTCCGTACTGCCGAGCTTGGATGCGAGGAAAGTGTACACCATGACGCAGGTATTTGTGATATAAATCTGACCTTGGAAACTTCCAGAGATCAGAAGTCCAGTTCAACCTTTAATACCAAGGCGATGAGTGCTAGATGAGTTAGCGTGGCCGCCATCAAAGGCCCAGTTTCCGTTTCGGCCACTGCAAAGCCCCCTCCCACCGCACATCCCCAGGACGAAGGGCCGTCACCAACTCAGACACCAGCGCCGTACCCGAGTTCTTCGCCCACCACACCTTCCCGTCCAACTCATGGAGAAGTGCACCCCAGTGCATAATAACAAGCAACGCCAGAGGCTGCCGACACCTCAGCGCATGCACAAACTCCTTATCCGCAGTCGCCAGCCATGCGAGAACGGAGGCAATATCCCGGGACTCGTTGTACCTGCAGAAGCAACGGCGCAGCAGAGCAATTGCTTCCTTGATGATGCTATAAGACTTCGGTTCAGCGACAGCCAGCACATCATTATTCAACGCGGTCAGTCGATCCAGGGCAGCCTCGGTCTCGCTGTCGAGTATAGCAAGTGGGGTCTCCGCAAGGCCTTGTCGAGAGGTGAACAGCTTCGCCTGGAGCCAGGGACGACTGATGGTGAAGATATTGCTGACACCATGCAGCAACTCAAACACGATGATGATGTTCTCGGTCATATTGTTGCTTTCTTCTCGAGTGGCTGCCAGCTGTGGCAGCGCGACGCCGATGATCGTGGTAATGACCGAGTGGGCGAGTACGGCGTCACAGTTCGCGGGAGTGAGGTTATCGACCGCATGCCGAAACGGCGCGAATGCCAGGTCGTGGTACTCCAGCGCGGTATCGATGTACGAAAGCGCCTCTGCCGGACCCAGTGCGGATGCGATATGTAGTGATGCGACGGCCAGTAACCCGCTCATGAGAAAGTCATGCTCCAGAGCTGTTCGGGGGATTACGCTCTGCCAGACATGATGGTCTGCGGGTTCATTGCACAGACTCTGGTACGTCTCGGTAGAGAACTTGTGCATCAGCTCCAGCTCTCGCAGACTGGCGAACCTGGATGGTGGCGTCCGGGACGCAGGCTGAGGAATGGGGAGTGTCGGGGGTGTTATCTTGGGATATGGCACAGCGACAGGAGCCGCCCGTGCGACAGGCACCTTCAGGTAGGAACATGCCAGCTCTCGACTAATGCAGTTCGAGCATGGTGGACCTCGTTCGTCGCACTAGAGCTGTCAGATCGGAGATTATCACAGAAATTGGCGATCAAGTCGGCCTACCTTCACGCGTCGCTTCTTGCACTGGTCACAGCCAGTGCGCGACTTGGTATGGGTCCTTCGGGGCGGCATCCGTCACGTCGAATCATGCTGGTTGGCATTCCGTGATTGTTCGAGAATCATCGGAGATTCGATCCGGAAAGAGATCCACGTGTTGACGTGCTGACTAAGTGACATGGTCACGTGGCGCGTCGTACAAATCTTCGCGTTTGACAGTCGCACCTCACCTCCATCTTCTTGATATCTCTCAATTTTCTGATCGCGCATTGTCACTGAACAGTCAACACGCGCATTGATCGGGGTCGTCATCTCGATGTCTCAACCCCGACCACGAAAGGGGCAGTGGGTCACCCCCACAACGGCCACTACAGGTTCGCTTCAACGCGATCTCGTCATCAACATGGATGAATGTCAGGACAGATATATCTACCGGATCCTTCAATATTGCCAGCCACAAACTCTAAGTCGCTGTTCTACGAGTTACGATCAAGTCAATTCCTAAGCACCTTCCTTAGACCAAACAGCCAGACTCAACACAACACAGACCTCCATGGCCAGGCTGCCCCGTCGGCGCGACCCGCCTTCACCCACGGACAGCCAGTGGGGCGGCACAAGACCGAAAACGAAAACGAAAACGAGAGCGAAAACGAGAGCGAGAGCGAACACGATCCAATCAGCACGCCCTCCGCTGACGGGTTTAAACTGTGCCTTGATCCACCGGCCATGGCAGCCATCCGCCGGCAAATCGGGGGAGGAACGGGGTTGAAATTTATTACTAGCACTATTAACCCGTCTTATTCTTATATTAATGGGTCTGATCCCATCTCCAGGCTGCGACGTGACAGCAGACAGACATATGAACACTTATCGAGGTTGAGGCGGATCTCCCTCTTGCTTTCTTTCTTTTTCAATTCTCTGCACAACTTTCTCTGCATATAGTTTCTCTGCACATATTGCGTGCATTGCATATAGACAGCTTTCGCTTTGATTACTCTCTTTACACCCCCTCTCTCCTTATCTAACAACCACCCACCGCCAAAATGAGCACTCAAACCTGCACGCACGTCACGCCAGAATGCCCAGTCACAGCCACGACATACGGCTACTACCCGAACCTAGGCGGCAACATCTTCTTCACTGTCTTCTTCGGCATCTTCGGCGCCTTCCAACTCGGTTTCGGTATTCACTTCCGCTCCTGGACGATGATGACCGCCATGGTGGTGGGCGCATTCATGGAACTCGCCGGCTACGTGGGCCGCATCCTCATGAACCACAACCCCTGGTCGCAAAGCGCCTTCAAACTGCAAATCGTCTGCCTCGTGCTCGCCCCCACCTTCATCGCCGCCGGCATCTACCTGACCCTTAAACACGTCATCCTTTCGCTCGGCCCGCAGTACTCCCGCCTCAAACCCGAGCGCTTCACCTGGATCTTCATCAGCTGCGATATCGGGTCGTTGATCCTGCAGGCTGCGGGCGGAGGCGTCGCCGCGGCAGCTGGAAGTGAGAACCAGAGTCTCCTTAAGGCGGGCGACGATATCATGGTGGCCGGTATTGCGTTCCAGGTCGGCACGATGACGGTTTGCGGGCTGTTGGCGCTGGATTTCTTTATCCGCGTTGCGAGGAAGGGGCCTGGCTTAGGCGGGGAGAAGATCGTCGATGGGAGTGACAATCTGCAGGGCGCGAAGAATATTCGGTGGGTTATCATTGCGGGGATCGTCGCCTATTTCACCGTGTTGATTAGGTGTATTTATCGGTGAGTCTGCCCCGACCATCTCTGAAATAAATGTTTGTGTGGAAATACTTATGGTCGGATGCGGTCCAGTATTCCCGAAATGGCCGGTGGATGGGGAAACCCGCTCATGCAGAAGGAGGATGAATTCCTCGTTTTGGACGGAACGTGTGTATCCCCCCTCCTTCCCCCCACTTTACCGAAGCTACACCAACTAACATCACCCAGGATGATGGCCCTCGCCGTGAGCAGTCTGACGGTCTTCTACCCGGGCTTCTTCCTCCCGTCGATACGCACGGGACTGAAGAACAAGGCTTGAGAGCGCATCTCTATAATAAACCCAATCCCTACCAAATAGATACCCAACCAGAGTCAACACAGCGCGCGCTCATTCAGTATATACGCATGCATATGCTACATGAATATAAACCATATCACATCGGATCCAAGGAAGCAACCGGGATGACACATTAAGAGAGGAATCCCTGCGAGCGAATCACGAGATAGATGTATTTAATTCAACGAGATTCCGCCGCCCGAGCCAGGAGGATGCAGGGGAGAATGAAAGAAGAGAAGAAAGAGAAAGGGAGAAGGGGAGGTAAGTAGTCAACCATAGAATGCGATAGATAGCGTAATGGAACAAGAGCAGCGTAACTCCAAACCATGAGACGAGACGAATGACATCGGAGAACTCCTCGCGAGAAACCGAAAGCAGAAACAGAACAACTCAAACATGAGAAAGAAGAGGAAGAGTGAAAAAAAAAAAAAAAAGAGCATGGATCGCGCAGTCTATCATGCAACGCAGCGCAGCACAACAACCACAACCATATCCACAACCACCATATCTCCACCCCATCCACACCCTCCTCCCCACGACCACAACCCACGCAACATGTCAAACCCAACATCAAGGCATCCCAGCCAGTCAGGGACAGAGGACGATTACTCCTCCCCCAGACTATCCCTCACACACTTCCTGACCCTCTTCTTGAACTCCTTCGGATCCTCCCTCCACAAGCGTGCGGCCTCGACATTCGCGGGACTCTCGTCATTGGGGCTGGAGAGCATGGAGATCACCGACAAGAGAATCGTCTCGGGGGTCTGCACGGGGGACCAGCGCTCAGCGGCGGACTCGTAGCCGTATTTGTCTTCTTCGGGGGGGTGCAGGATCGAGATGCAGACGTCGCCGTTGGGGTAGACTATTGTTGGAGAAAGGGTGGTTAGTGTGTGGGTATGCGGTGAGGAGATCGAGGGGGGGGTAGTAGAGAGGGGAGAGATGGGGGCAGGGGTTTGTACTGTTGGGATGGAAGAGTGGCGACTCGAATTTCATCTTCGGGGGCATGTGCGGGTAATCCGGGGGAAAGGTGAGACGGGCGCGGAAGAAGCCTCCTGTTTATGAGCAGTAACAGTTAGCAAGTGAACGGTAGTTAGGGGGTTGTGATTTGGTTTTGTTTGATTTGGTTAGGTGTGGTGGTTGTGCTATACTCGAGGGGGACCTTATCAGTCACTCACCGCCGTACAACTTGACATCATCGGAGATCATCAGCATCACCTCCCACTCAAACACATTGCTGTCGTCGACCAGTCCGCAGCTAATTCCCGGGATGTCCTTGTCGGACTGCATCTGCTGCAGTTGCCGGGAGAGCATGCGACCTGCTGCGGTGGTGGCCATTTTGGCTGGTGTCCGGACTCTGAAGCGGGGAAGAGGGGGGACGCCCGGAGGGAGGGGTGATAAGGGAGGGGGCTGTAGTGAGCGCGAGCGTGCGGGTGGGTGGGTAGAGGAGCTGGTATGGGGGGGTGGTGGACGGAGAAGACGGCACAAGAATAGATCCCCGAGACGGAGGAGGACAGGAATAAGTAGCTGTTCACAGCGCGAGGGCGAGGAGATCAGACCAGGTCACGAAGGAGAAAGAGACCGTCAGTTGATGAAAGATTCGATCAGCGCGGGCGGTGAGCGGGTGGGGGTGGGGCGATAGCATTAACACCCACCCTGGTGGATACTTTTGCCTGTCCGCTGTGACTGGTCACTGTGAATAAGTACTTACCCTGTGATCAAGGTTGTGATGAAGTTATTCTGGTGAAGATGCTGTGATTGCATGTACAAAAGTGATGGATGATTATAGGGTCATGTCTGCACCTTGCGGGCACTGATGTCATTGCTGCTGCTTTTCTTTGAGATTTTATCCTATTGTTGATGCCTCATCTCTTCGTACCGGGTAAGTTCATAAAACCGGATATAACACTGCCTCGGCTAGCTTGAAGTGCTCGGAACTGATTCATATCCTGACAAGTCTAGAGGACAAAGCAGAAGCTCAAAAGCCCACATCAGCATCGTCAAGATAACTTTAATCTTCATATAAGCTGTCTTCTTACCATACTACCAAGATCTCTAGCGTCGGCTGTTGGGAGCCTTGGTAAGTTGATACAGCCAAAAGAATACAAATGAGAGTGAATTTGAACCCAGTAGGTGTCCAGACCCTACAGCCACGTCAATGAATGCCAAGTCCCTGGCGTGTAATGGATACACGCATGGCTGGTTCCTATCATAGCCGAAATCATTCCATCATTGATGACTCGAGGTGATTATAGTGCCGACATTCAATATGATGAGAAACGGATGATGTACTTATCCAACAGAAAGACTGAAATGCAGAACACATCGAGTTATTTTCTTCCTTGTACCACATCCTTGCTTTTGATACTCATTCTAGGCAATGAAAGTGTTAATTTGGCTCATGTGGATGCAATCCCCCCGCATCCTCTTTTTACCCTCTTTATCCTGGAATTATGATACCGACTCTAATTCGGGAGTATCTTCACCATGAGAGTTTCGAAGAGGCTGGGACAGCTCTTGGGTGGAAGACCCACCGGGCTGGGTGCTGTGGGATACGGACCTCGGGGGGGGGGGTCATCTTCGGTTTGGGTTAAGGGACTGGGCAAATACTATAAACACCCTTGTAGACTTAAAGGAAGGGAGGGGCTCAGTATGGGAAGACTGCACCGATTGTGTTGGAGTCCTGGAAAACTTGGCACAGACAGTAGTAAGGATAGAAGGATAATATGAGTCTAAGTTTGTTTAACCCACTCTGTCAGGAAAGAGTCCTGTGTGGGTGTTCGAAATCGAGGCAGCCAGTGAATGCCTCAGGCCTTGTAGGTTTTGAACAAACACTCCCAAAGAAAGTCCTTGAGCGAGTGCTCAAAATGGCAGCCACCGTTGAGCATGATCAGGTGATTGTGGAACAGCCACGCTCCAAAGGCGCAGAAAAGTCGGACTCGTCCATCTTCATCATCAGATCTCTTGCTATCATTCATCTACGTCTCAGAATTTAAAACGGTTCTAGCATTGACATGGAGACAGCTTTGACTACCAGAGCCTAGTGAGTATGCAATTGATTGAATTCCTGCCATTGGGGTGTCTGAAAGTGTTGAACCTAGTGCACCTTTAGGACTAGAAGGATGTCGAGCCACCTTTTTAATCAAAGGGGGGTACCGGGCGACTTCCAACAGAAAGAGTGCAAGTAGTTCAAATCTTCCTGGGGGGCACGATAACCACGTCTGCCAATATCATAGCTAATCTGTCTACCCTGCCACCCCTGTGATATCCACGGAGGGTTCTAAGAAGATCGCTTTGCCACCAGATTGGGAAGCAGAAGCAGACGCTAGGATACAAGCTTTCCATGATCGAAATGCACGTTCAAGATCTGTCCACGCAGCTCTCTCAACCGCATCACCAGTCGCGAGAACTCGCTATGTTTATCCGGCTCCGTTAATGGCTCCATAAACTCAATCCCATACTCAGCATCTCGAGCTCGCTCTTCCTGGTTCAAAGCTCCCGACCCAGACCGTTTCACCCATAATTTCAGAAAAGGACGTCGCCACAAACAAACTCGAACCGTGTATGTATCATTGCTTTGCTCCGGTTGGATACTGGAAAATATTACAGGCATATCCCGATCGCGAGCAGTGGACGCAAACACTGGGTTTGAAGTGAAAATGAGAGCGATGTATCGGTCTGCCCCAGGACCGCCGTTGTCCGAACAAGGGCTACTGTTTTCCATGTGCACGACATTTGGAATACACAGCGCCACGCTGACAGCTTTCACGGGCGAATCACCGGTATTCTGTATTTGGGCATGAGTCACGACCCATGATGCCGTCGCCCATCCCCCTGGGGTGGCGATTCGAGACTCGAGACTTGGGAGGAAAGTATCCAAATATGCCTTGCGAGTGCGGAAGCTAATTTCAAGTGTACTGTTCGCGCCAGGAAGGAGCTGGGCCCATCTTCGTGGGAGCGGGGAAGGGGTGCCCAAGATGGCTCTTAAGGTGGTGGATTGCCCTGCCTAGGGTGTTAATCCGGGCCATTATTGAGTTGGAATTGGGTACCTTGGGCTTTTGCTTTGAGAAAGACATTTGTGGCATGGTCATATGCGTCGTGGTCAAAGTTGATCCGCATAAGTTCCAGAGCTGAAGGGTTAGCCGGTATGTTGGTAAGGGCAATGAGAAAGGCTTACAATCCTTAGTGATGCCTCCTGTATGGTCTATCTCCCTGATCCTGGATTCCAGCTGTCGCAAGAGACTTTCTACAAGAGATCTGCGCTTTTGGCGGCTCGTCATGTAGTGTTGCAGGCGATATGGGACCTCGTTGGGGTGAGTGCCCAGCGGGAGCAAGGCTGCGAGGCTAGCACCCTATGAATTGGTTAGTAGGACATCTTGCGGTTGGATCGACAGTGCAATTACGTCTTCGATAGCTTGTGCGCTGCCTTGGCATTGGTCTGTAGCTTTCAGATGCTATTCATTTGATGCTGGGATCAATACTAACAAGCGAGAGCAGGATGTGCGGCATCTCCCAGCAGACATGCCTTGCGTCGGACCCATGTACCACTAGGATCGCGGTCTAGCATAAGACACACTTTGATCGATGCAGGATCTGCCAGCCCGATAAGTGATTTCAGAGCCGGTGCGAAGGTCTCGTATGCCTGTATCAGACTGTCATGCCAGCCGACAACGTCCCGGCCTATGCATCCATTATTATTAGGTCTCTGTGAGCTCTAGTTATCGTCTCACCTTCTATATCATGCTCACTTTTAGTATATAGATACAGACACACAAAGTCCAGACCCGTGTTATTCCTGCAAATATCAATACCTGCCTCGACTTCCAAAGAATATGTCCACAGACCGACACGGATAGATGACGAGCTTTCGATACTCGCCCTTCCAGATCTGAAGCTCCCCTTCACGAAAGACAAGGTCTTTGGTTTTGGGGTTAGCCCTGATCTTCGAGATTGGGACGAGAAACTGCGTCACGCTGGCTCCAGATGGGTAAGGGGCTATGGTTTCTGAAATGATGCTGCGGAGAACAGACTGCGAAATTAGTGCGGAGCTATACAAATCCACTGTCATGAGATGTCCTTTCAACCCTCACTCACATGCACTCCATCAGCTCCAATTACCAGATCTCCCGCAAAAACGTGACCATCGGCAAGTGTTACCGATGGCACCGCCGGATCGCAATCCATGACCTTGCTGTCCAGATGGATAGTGACTGGGGTACCAGCGCCCTCCGAGGACATAGCCTCGCCTCTCAGTGCCTCGCGCAGGTCGACACGGTGAGTAAATTGCCAGGGCTAGTTCCGTATCAGGGCTGACTGGCTCGAGAAAGTGGTTGTCTGTAAGCCTCCTAGACCAAAATCACAAACGGATATTCCTCCCTCAAGCCCCGAACATCCCTCGATCTGACCGTTTCACCCTGGGAATCATAGAAGGTAACCTAACCCACGCTTGCATCAGCCGACCTAGCCATCCTCAATCGCGAGAATCAACATACAAAGTTTGCATCGGTGGCACGGAATTTCTCGGGAATGATACCGAACCGACGAAGCAGCCCATTCGCATTAGGCGGCAGCTGAATAACAGACCCAAGATCCCCGCCAAAGCTAGACGACTCAAAGATCTCCGACTTATCAGCCATCATCTCCACGGAAAAGGGCAGCAGCGGATACCTCAACGACGTGTCCTGTCTTTCGCAGCGCGATCGCCGCAAACAGGCCTCCAATTCCTCCCCCCGCAATCAGAATGCGTAGTGGTCTGGCGACGTCAGTTGACATGATTATGGCGGGTTAGAGCCTTTTATTGATCTTGGTGATGCTTAAGTGGAGATGGGGAGAACTAAGAAGACGAGTGAGGTGAGAGTCTAAGCAGGTGGTTTTAGGAAATTCCCCAGGGAAAAGTTTGTGGCGTCCAGGGAAGACTAACGCTGAGACTGCCTATTCACTGACCAGGTCTGGTGTACTTGATTTCGCTTATATTGATAGGTGAATGAACCCCCCCTCCCCCCCCAAAGAGCCTTAGACACCTTCAATCCATTTGTCACATTCTGCAGCCTCTCACCAATCAGAATATCTCCACCGCAAAATATCTAAAATATCTTCAAACCCATCTACATTTTCTGCACCCTGTCCATCAGACCCTGCAACCTATGCCTCAGGCCTACACTTCCTGTCTTGTTGTAACTTGTACTAGTAGTAGTAGTACTAGTAGTAGTAGTATTCGCGTACCTCCCCCCCGCTTGTCCCCGCAACAACCAACCAACCAATAACCGTTTACTATAAATGCGAATACATACATCCCCAATGCAAATGCAATTCTTTTGATCTGCACCCGGCTATCCAAGTCAGCATAGCCTCAACTCCCCACCATCTTGGAAGATTATGTGTGTCTAGGTACGGAGGTAGATATATTTTCCCATAGTAGATAAGTAGATGTACAGACAGAACAGGATTGATCGCGTATGCACGTATACTCCTCCAACCTAGCCCAGGGAGGGATTAGAAAGTTGCTTTACTCGGTGGGTGCCTATTAGGCAACCGTGAAAAAAAAAAAAAAAAGAAAAGGGAAAAGGGAGTATAGTACATTGATCGACACAAGTATTGTGGAGTATTGATATCCGAGGGTTTGCCCACAGGAAGGTTTCGGAGTGGTTGTTGTTGTGATGGATCATCGCGAGTACAAAGTACACTGCCACACTCGTGAAGATCTCAGTACGTCGGAGGGTAAAGGGAGGAAGTCTGGATGTAGATGTATGGGTGGGATGAACATAGGATATGATTTGGAGGAGAGCGAGGCGGTATGGTATGACTTGCAGCGTCGATCTACTACAAGACTTCTAATTCTGTGTTACCAAAATGGCAGCCATACCGGAATTCTACAAATGTACCACACACTGATGGAGGATCAATGCTAATATTCATCGCTGAATACCTGTATACCCAAGAATAAAGACAAACGAGTGAAGCTAACGACGAGTTCCTATACCTGGCCAACCATGCAACGCGAAGCGCTACCACCGGATGATAATCGGGGCTGGCGAATTATCTACTAGTCATTATGGTATGACCCATCATATTAACATATACAACGCGAGAACGTAGAAGTCGTAATCATGAGTAGTGAAACAGTCAGACAGTGATCGGGATGTTCCCACTGCTAAGCAGTCATTTAGATAAGCATCATGGCGACCAGACCGAAAGCGCCGACGGCACCGCTGCCAACAAGGGTCTTGGAAGCCGCGCCAGACGAGGTCGAGGAGGGAGCAGTGCCGGTTGCGGTGGAGCCGCTGCCCGAGGAACCAGAACCACTGCCGGAAGAGCTGTTGCCGGAAGAGCCGCTGGAGCTGCCGCTGCTGGTAGACGATCCGGATCCGCTGGTCGAGTCGGAGGAGCTGGATCCGCTGCTGGTGGCCGTGCTGAGGGTAGTCGGGCCAGTGGTGGTGGCACCGGTAGTCTAGAACTGTCAGCATAATCCCAACTAGCACGAGAAGGCATCTTACCGCGCCAGAAGTGGCACCACTCGTGGCACCGCTGGTGCTGCCGGTAGTGGCTCCAGCAGAGTTGGTCGCACCGCTGCCGCTGGCCGACGAGCCAGATCCGCTGGCCGACGCACCCGAGGTGGTTGCGCCAGGCCCGGCACCGCCAGTGGAGGAGGCTCCGGTGGCCGAGGCAGAGTTGGCGCTACTGGAGGTCGGGCATGAAGCGAGAGCCGACGAGAGCACGGCGCTGGCGTCGTCATTGGGGCAGGCCTCGGCTGTGCAGTCGCGGATGCCGTAGCTGTAGTTGGCGTTGCCGCACAGGCACGACATGTCGCCGCTGGAGCAGCCCAGCTCGGACGCCAGGTTGTTCATGTTGCTCACGCACATTTGCTGGATGGGTCAGTGGACACCCAGCCACATCGGGATCAGCGTCAACATACTGCGCAATCACTGACGGAGACGTCGGCACGGGCCATGGTAGCCACGGCCAAGAGGGCGAGGGAGATCGAGAAGGACTTCATTGTGGAGTGGGTTGGTGGTTGAAGATCAAGAGCTGAATTGCGTGACAGCGAGGGTATCAGTGTGAGCGAAGAAAGACCGACCGACGGGGTGAAGACGAAGGCGATGGACGGGGAGTTGTGGAGAGAGAAGATGGAAGATGGAGGGGAGGAGAGACGCGAACGAGGGAAACAGGCCGCCATTTAAGAAGGCTGGAAGGCGCGCGCAAATCAGAGCCCGGCGTGCCTTCCTCGATCGGCTGGGCTTTCCGCATCCCTTTCTTTCATTTGTTTTACTTCTCTTTTCTGTGTCTCGTTGATCGCCCCTCAACGTGGCTCGCGGGTGAAGTCATGCAGTCATGATTGCTCCACTGCTCTGGCTGTTGTCCCCGAGGCGTGGCTCAACTCACCCACGACGTCCCTCCCATAGGCTGCATGAAGCCCCTCATCCTGGCTGGTGGCTGAGAGCTGGATGCTATCTCATCAACTCTGTTGATCCCACTTTGGGGGCCTCCCCGCTAGCATCGGGCTACCACGGGACGTGGGAATTTGCCTAGCTTTTCGCAATTCTTTTGTTTTTTCCTCTTGGGCCTACAAGCAAACTTGGAATCATGGCTAGAACTGTGACGAAAACCCATTGCGAAGCTCCGATCGGTCGCACAAACGACGTCAGACGAGGGATGCTGGTGCCCAAGCTCGCAGAGGAATACCGGAAAGACCCTTGACCGACAGGATGCAGGGGATCGACGCGGAGGGTCCGATCCTCGCATCTCTGCGTCGTGATTTGCGCAGCCTCTGCCCCTAAAATCAGCCCACCGCTGGTGTGGCTAGCCGGCCATGACTCTTACCCTGGAAAAACCACAGCAACAGGCGTGGGGAGCTGCTGAGTTTTCCGCCACCCGCTAACTAGTCCGATCTATTGACCCCAAACAACTTACCAGCGTCCAATCCCTCGCCGACCGTGGGCCAGAACTCCCCAAGCAGCTCAATTTGCAATTGAGTGCGGCAGGACTACTCCGCTCGACGGCTGGGTGCCAGCCACTGGGTTTCACTGGTTTCCTGCGATATTGGCGGGGGGTCTGCATGCTGCATCGTCGAAACAAGCACAGATGAGGGATGGCTGCGATGGTCCAAGGCAGCAGCTAGCTAGCTAGCTAGCTTGCAGACGAGATTTACTCCGTTCCGAAGGCAGCGAGCAGAGTTTTGTTTTTCTGTGGCGCGGTGCGACAGCGCATCGCATCAGTCCATGACGTCATGGCCAGCCGGTGCCAATTTGAGCAAGGGATGCGCTGGCTCACAACGTCACTCCCTCATTTACCGTCTATGTGCCCCCGACCCTGATGTCAGGAGAGCTACCCCCAGCTTATGCGCTCCCATGATGCACTTGAAAGTAGATTGTCTGGGCAGGGTCCATAGAATCGCGGCAGAAGATTCGACCCGGGCGCATTGAGGATTCCTGCGGTGGCTGCTAGGGCTGATGCACCTGCCGTCCGCCCCAGACAGGTCTTGTTCTAATTCAACATGTCGCATCCTGCCATGTGTAAGGCGAGTCTGTGCTTAATCCAGTGACATGAAACGGTGTCCAGGGATGCAGGATTGGACTCCTCTCATCTACGAGGCAAGGGACGACTCAAAACAAGGACTCAGACTGATGATTGCATGATGATGACTGTTTCACCGGATACATTATTGAGCGCCAATCAATCTCGGCACTATGGTTGAGAAATTTGATCAACATGCGAGGAGACCTTATTTCAGATAAGATATGACAGGGTGTTTATAGACCCACCAGAAATGGGTTCGGGGTGAACTGCAGGGACTGAGACTGAGTGGAGAACAAATAACCTCGGCCATCTCATGACCTCGAACACTGTCTGCAACTCAAGCTTTGCTCTTATAGAACGCCGCAGCTTCGTCGCCGGCAACCCGGCCAAACACGACACACTCCAGCAGCGAAGATCCTCCCAGCCGGTTCTGGCCATGCAGACCTCCGGTGATCTCGCCCGCCGCCCAGAGGCCCTTGATCGGCTTGCCCTGCTCGTCCAGCACCTGGCTGCGCTCGTTGATCACGACGCCGCCCATGGTGAAGTGCACGACCGGTGTGACCTTGCCCACATACACCACCGACTCCGGCTTCGCCTCCGCCAGCGTCCAGTTGCCGAAGGCGACGCGCCCGAATGCGTCCGGCTTCTTTCCAGCGACGGTGTCCGCATAGTCCTGGAGCGTCCCTTCCAGTCCTGACAAGCCCGCCTCGGCCACAGTCGTCTTGCGCAGCAGGCCTTTCCACAGGTAGAAGCCCATATGTGACTCCAACGCCGCGGCAGCCCCCTCGTCCAGCACGAGCCTCACATCCCACTGCCGGGTGTGAGTCTGGAGAGGCTCCGCGCGATCCATCACCGCGTTAGTAACATGCTCCCTCGTCTCCAACTCATTCACAAACCGCTTCCCATCCCCAAGCACCAAGATGCCGCCCTCTCCTCTCAACGCCTCGGCCGCGAGAAACTTGACCATCGCCTCCCCATCCTTCTCATCCAGGAACCCAGTTGGGTGCACCTGCACCTGCTCCATATCGACCACCGCAGCTCCCACCTCCTGCAACAACGGCTGCGTCCCCGGTCTGGCATCATTTGTCGACGGAATTGCCGCCAGATCGGGGCGATACTGCGCCAACAGTCCGCGCGCATCACCCGCAAACCCACCCGTAGCCATCACGACCGGCCCATACACCGTCTCCGTGACATTACCCTCCCCTGTATACTCCACCCCCACCACCTCACCCCCCTCTTCTCCCCGCACCAGTCTCGTCACCCTCCTCTCCGTCTCCATCCTCACCAGCGGCTCCTTATCCAACTTCCCCAACAACGTACTCACAATATCATACCCGGGCGTCTTCTTCCCCGCCCCGCGATGCGTCCTCGCCACACTATGTCCCCCCAACATCGCCACCTTACTCAAATCCACCCCGCACTCGTCCGCAAGCCAGTATACCGCCTCTGCTGATGAATCCACTAGTGTCCCCATCAGCTTCTCACGGCGGACGCGCTCGTCCGCGGTAGACACGCTGAACGGCGTCCCGGCCGACTTGATCGTGTCAGACAGGAAATAGGTATCGTTCGCGTTTTGTTGGAAACGCGTTGGCGCGCCGTTTATCCCAGACGACGCTTTTATGCTGTTTCCGCCCGGTTTCGCGGCTAGTTCGAGGAGGAGGACTGGTAGGTGGTGCGTAAGGCTGAGGGTTGTGGTTGCTGTTAGGCCCGCGAGGCCGGTGCCAATTACGATTATGGACTTCGAGGGCGTCATTTGGGATGTCGCGGTTGGTTTTGCTTTCTTGGAGGTGGGGATTGAAGTCAATATGGGAAATCGTAGACGATGAGTTCAGTTGGGTTGTAAATGTGAAGATCAGCAATGGTAGTGATTCAGAGAAGAGGGAATGCGAATAGAAACGAAATGGAAATGGAAATGGGGGGTAAGATAGCATGGGTGGTAGGTGGCTCGTGAAAGACGGCTGGCTGGATCGTATGATCTGACCCGGAAGGGGGGGGGGAACAGGGGATGTTGCACGATCGGATCACCTCATCTCGTCTCGTACATCCGAATCCGAGACTGGGGCCAATCGGAGTAAGTATGGAGTTTATAAGGGCGTACAGAAGGACCGAAAGAAGGGATTGAACACTTTTGTGAAGACTAACAATGTGCTCGCGGCGGCCATAATAATAATAGAATGAAGAGCTTGGGAGAGGGGATGAATCCGGGCACCAATCAGATGCGCTCTTCCTTTCTGTTAGATGACGTCATAGGATGGTGTTGTCATCTTGGGAGGGAATGGATGAAAAGCCCAACTACGACATGTTTTGTCCCTATCATGGTTAAGATAATTTTGTCTTGATGGTTTTGGATTTGGGATGCACGGGGTGCTTTATTTTAATTGGTGAGGTGCTGGATATTGCTAATTCCCATCTACATATATAAGTACATGCGGACGGAGGAATGGCATCATGAAAGGAAAAAATGAAGCGTGAAGAAGGGAAAAGGAAAAGAGAAAAAAAAAGTAGTAGCTATATGGACCTGGTTCGAATCTTTTTCGTCAGGCCTGGACGAGCGCCCTCACTCAGATAGGGGAACGTAGGCGCGGAAAGCAAAGACAGACACACTAAGCGAAAGTCTTATGTGGATACGCCGAGGGTCAGTCATGGCGTGTGTAGAATTCCTTCCACTTTTGTATGGGGGAATTGTCAGAATTCGTCATTCGGAGGGACAGATATGGACCAAGGCGGTTGAAAGCGGCATGGCCTTGGTGGCTTTAATAAAAGACTTGCGGTGTTAAGAGCGCAGACACCATGAGAGAGAGATTGGCGGAGATGAATGTCTAGCTGCTAGATTATTATCCAAGATCAGATAACTAGTTATTATTCTTTGTCCGTCATTGCGGACTAGAATGTGAAATACAGATCAGACAAGCCCAATCACATCACAGCCTTTGCCTGGTTCGAAACCTGTATGTAATCAGGCTCATATCGAATCGAGTCGAGTGTGGTGCTGAGATACTTATCACCCGTATGTGTACTGCCAGACACCAAGGGCAGATACTATATAACAATAGTGGCGAGGACCGAGATAGCCGGCAGACTTTTTACTATCTTCCAAATGGGCTTCGTCATAGAAAATGATGATTCCAAAGCCGAGTCGGTATAGTCGAGATGGAAGGGCTAAATACTAATATATCGATGTATAGCCGGCCGCTATCATGTTTTCATCAGTTATGCTTCTGACAATGGACGTCCATTGGTCCGCTTGGTGTGTCTCCATGGATTGAGACAGTTGATCGCCGGATATTGTCGATTTCGTCGTTGATATTCATAATGGTTCTGTCGATTGGGCCCCTCCCTTCGTGGGCTTCCTGGACGCGTTACTGGATATCGTTGGGATGAACAATTGCGTAGAAAGTAAGTTCATCATCTCCGTCCTTCCAGTAGTTACCGGACGATAGAGCGCGCGGTTTTGATCGCTAATATAACCGTGTCCCAGTGTGTTTATGCACACATCGGGCTGGTCTTCCTTTTAGTATTTTGGACGCAGGTCATTTCTACCGACTGCTTTCCCTATTTAATGTTGGTATGTCCCACTCGCTGTATGTGCCGGAGAAAAAACTCGTCGAATGGACATCTGTTCTCCACCGGCTTTGATAGTAAAAAGTTGTATTCTGGCAAAATGCGACATGAAAAGGTGTTTGGCGAGTAGAGCACCGCAGCAGTCGAGTACAGGAGTAGACGGGTTGCTGTCCACAATCTCGATGCAGATCGGAAGAATATGCTAATATATCTCACTCCAAAACTGATAAAGCGAGAGAGCACCAGTAAGCAGAGCCTAATGAAGGCATCGATAAGCACAAGAGAGGTCGAGTAAACCACACGCCGCGTTATCAGTAAGACAAAAACAACGTAGCCTATATGAAAAATCCGGGGAGGTTTAAACTGTCACATGATATGCGTCCTTCGTGTTCGATTCCAAAGAACTTAGGCTGGGATCCTCTGCCGAGAACCTTTGTTCTGTAGGGTCTTGTTGTTCGGGTGACAAGAGAATAGTACGATGGAAAGATGGATGACGGGACGTGTATCTTGGTCTATAGAGTCCTTGGCTTGCGTAGTGGATTGTTGTCTCCTTCAACGGACTTTCTGATATAGGTATTGGATTTTGGATAATACCATGTTGTGTAGACGCACCCGGACCGCCCTTGGCAAAGGTGAACGACTACAGGTCCCCTAGGCCTCTGTCTTTGGACGGTATCCCGCTGTATGGACGGAATGTAAAGCTTCGTCAGAAGTAAAAGATTGAATGCACCACAGGGTAGATGTTGACCGTATATCGTGGCGGACATTGCGATTCAGCCGGAGGATGCACAAATGCAGCCCCCCCGCCGGCATCTATCTCCGGATATTTTTGCAATGTATGGATGATATATGGCGTTTTATCGCAGAAAAAAACAACGATTAAAAGGGGCTATGTTGCTCTATCAGTGAATATTGACTCTGTATTGTGGTAGAAAATGTTCATTTTGCCAGACCACGCACCAGTGCAGGCTCCTCACGCTTCACCAACCCGATGTATGGATAATATCTGCCGTTTTATCACATGTCGGACAATTAAAAGCGACACCATTGCTCTGTCAACAGATTTTAACTGTGTATCGCGCCCAGAAATGCCATTTTGCCGGACGACAACGGGTGCAGGCTCACGCTTCATCCTTGCGTACCACCACGATGCCTGGACGGAAGTTGATAGTTTCCAACTTCTGGACTGCCGCAAGCCCTCTACCACGGTTATAGCAAGTGGCTCAGTGAATCGCTGAAAGCTGCTGTTTCATTAAAAGACGCAGTTGCAAGTCCGAGAATTGGAACTACTGTACATCCTGGATAATCCAGTAGTCTCTCAGACGCCAGACGCCTGCAGGTGCCCCAGAATACGATTTCTGTGTGTCGTCCAGAAATCGTGCCGAAAGTGGCTGATTTGTCACACCAGGGACAGTGATGGGCGACCATATGGTCTGCCATTTTGGATCATCCAGTTTCAGGCATTGCATTGAAAAACAGACAATTGCCAGGATAGACAATTCAATGTCCTTGTCTGCTCTGTGATTGGACGTTGGTCACCATGTGAGTGATTCGACAAAAGGTAAGATGTGCCAAGAGATGGACAGTTGCACATTCCTCGCTGGTTGGCTGTTGGATATTATCCGAAGAACCGGGTTCAAATTTGCACGGTAGCTGGTTTAACTATCAGAGTGCAGCTGTTTCCATCTTGTGTGGAGACTTGGAAAGCGTATCAAGAAGGATAGACTGTCCTGAGATGGAACTGATCAAGGCAGTTTGTGTCCAAGGACAATGGTGAAGAAATTGTCCCCGAGACCCTGATTGGTTCGGAAACGGCCTAATATAAGATAGCCCAAATAGGAGAAGCAATTGGTCAGTCTGATACGGAACCCTATGGTGGAGCACCATCGCGCGAGTTTGAATGAGGTGCTCTTCATAGCATACAGAAGAAAGGTCTTATGTGTCATAATCGGGTAGATGTATGACAATCCCTTCTTCTTTCTGGCAGAAGTGCCACCATCAACCACACGTTTATGTAGCGCAGGAGATATGCGAGACCTGATATATTGGTAGCGGCTGGATAGACCGGTTCGTACCGGATTACCTTGCTTTAGAGATGTGGTTGTGCGGAAGAAGCTGCCGGAGACCCAGAAACGCAAGGCCATGATGAGAACCAGATTGGGAATCGTGTTAGGTCACGTAGGGGCGGTACGACTCTTCGATGGAATTGGAAAGCCGATGTGAAAATCAGAGTGTGTGTCCCACATGTCCAAAGAGGGATGACCATTACATTGACCAGTTTGGACAGCGATAGGCCCCCGCGGGCAAGCGGCATGCAACGGGTGTCTGACACGTTGGAGCCAGAATACCTGGCGTACCACGTCGAAAGGGTACAAGGTAGTACCAGGACTTGCTTGTAAGTGAAATCCGGATCTCTCAGACCCTTAGACGCGAAATTAAGCTGAGACGCGACTCTTTTCTGAGGGACGTTGAAACACGAAGGCTATGACAACAGCTAGTGTCTCGTCAGTTGGCCAGGCAAGGGCCTTTCGGTAGATTTTGCGATCAGCGGAGTTGCCGGTGCTGAAATGAAAGGGAGCGAAGAATGTAGCTTCTACATGTGATGCGAGTAACATTGGACTTGGATTAGTTTGTTGGTGTCTCATAATTTAGGCCAGAAGTAAATGATTTCACGGCGAACGTGGATCTAAGGCAAAGCGCATGGTTTGCTTCTGAGCCGTTCGTTTCCCCTGTCCGAGGGCGAACCATGTATGTCGGAGCAGCGAGACAACGGTTCTATCGATCGTCCCAAACACAGAACATTGCGACTTTGCGTTTGACTTCTAGAGAACTATTCCCTCGTGAGGGGAAAAAAAACAAGATTCGTAGCTAGAACGAGTATGCGACAATACTGCTTCCGGAGTCCCAAATGATGTCGGGATACCTGATCGGATGAAAGCCGAGCCAACACAGCCATCAGGGGGGTGAGAGATCTTGTCTAATTTGGCCCCGATTCGAAAGAACGATGGGCATTTATTCCCATTTATCGACGCCAGACCCGTTCTATGCGAAATGTTTTCTCAGCGACAGGATCACCCGTGCCACGTCCACATGATTGCTGAACTGCGTGTATGTGACATGTATGCCTTGTATGCCCTGTCGTTTCCAAGCTTCGAAGATGTGACTCAGAGACAAACGAGAACGGCCTATAGAGCCCCAAGAAGGACTGGCATCTCTGGAATGTGCGTACCAAGGACACAAGAAAGATAAGAGGGATTGGTGGTAGCTTTGATAGCCATGACTACCTGGCCTGTTTTGCCACAAGCAAGATCCTTGAATCAGGCTCGGCATCCAAGGCTGGAAAGAGACCGCAGAGTGTTGACACCCGTGTTGCTAGTAGATGCGTACCATCGACACTGCACGCCGTTTTGGTAAGTTCAGATAACGGGACGCTGGATAATTTAGGCATTCAACGTGGAATAGCTAGGCTCTGTTCATAAGAGAGTTCGGCACATCGTATATCGTTCAGCGAGCACATGCAACCAGGGATATAAGTGGCGAACTGAAGCCTCGGTGTGCAGGATCCCAGAGGTGCTTAACAGCTCGAACTCAAGTGTCTATTTGTGATGCACGGTGGTATTTTCAATTGCGTCCCATGAGACACTAAAGGGGTCCATTAAGCAGAGCGAAGGTGGAGGCAGTACACTGGTCTGTCCTGAGGACTTCGTCCGGCATCAGATTCGGGTGATACATCGGACTATGGTGTTACGTCCACCTCATTTTGTTTGTCCTCGCTTGACTAACAATCGCCCACAAAGACGATTTGTGGAAGACGAAGATATGGATAGGTCCCAGACCGAGTCGCGGAAACAATAGACCTGTCAGATGAGAAACCCCGTTGTCTTTAGCAAATACAGCTTCCGCTCCCAGTCAGGATGTTATAATGTTTGTTGTGATATTGGCCCAGGGAGAGTGTCAACAAGTCTGATGTGCTGCGCTGCTTTTGTTTTAAGACGATGCATGTGCGCGTCCAGTGCAGAACCTAGCGGGTATCTTGATCGACGGGTTTTGCAGTTGCTAAACTGCTTCCTTTTATCGAAGTCGGTGTTTTCTGCTTGCTGGATGGCGTCATGCAGCATATGATGGTAGGATTCGGGTTTAGCCATGTCAGGCGTTCGAAAGCAGCCGTTCGAATGAAGCTGAACATTCTTCCACCATTGTTTGGAGAGTGTTGGAAAAACCGCCAGTCAGCCACGAAGAGATAGCAAAACGCATAGATCGTGGTGCACCTGAGTGAAGCGTCATGTGGTCTTTGGCTTTGACTTGGGCTATGGGAGGGCGATGAACAGGGTCCATCTTTGGATAGGAAGGTGGACTGCTCCCACAACAGCCTCCAAGGAAGCGCAGATCATGACTCTATTGCATTCGCCCCTCATGTCGAGTGGTGCAAAGATTGAAAGCGCTTCCCCTTTTAAAAGTGCAATAAAATAAATGGAGTATAGACGACCAAGATGGGTGGCCTGATGTGGTAATTGGTTTTGCTGTGGGAGAAGACAGCGACAACCATAGTGTAAACGAAATTAGTGAGTCGCGTGTTACCATGTTACCACGGCGCCTTTGACCCTGCCAAACACCGAATGGATGAAGATGGAAACATGGGCCGGCGCATGCTTTTGCCATGCTGCCTAATCGTGCGTAAAGTATGTAAGTGGTCAAACCGTGCAACAAAAGTGAACAGCGCATCGAGCTTGGTCTGTCATCTCGATAATAAAGCCACCAAACTTTCTCGAGAATCCGAAGCGCTTGAGCGAGATTCCAACCGTCTGCTGTTGATGTCTCCTGGCATCGAGGACAGCGACGGGCCAAATTTCGTTCGTTGTGGATAGAGTACGCTCGCACATTCCGTACATCCATGCCCCTTCGCAGTTCAGTAAATATACCGCTATTCCTCAACGGAATCTTCGGCGGACGAGCTGCTTGTCGCGCGAAGGGCTAAGCTGATCGTCCAGCGGATTGTACTTCCGCTTTTTCGATTGTCAGAGCAACAGAAGCAGAATTCTGTTTCGAACTGTGGGAGAGTTGGCACAGACGCGAAGCCCAGATCACGCAGTCCAGTGACAGCTAAACGTACCATTTTCGTTGGAGAGAACCGTCCTCGTCCCCAGCAGACAGACAATGCCCAAGAGATAGGCATTTCCGAGTAGAAGCGACCGGTGCAAACCCAGTCAAAAAGTAAAGCGGCATATGGTCTTGGTTTCGACAACGAGACCAGTATGACGTGTAAAGGCATTCCCTGTATCTTGTAGGTACTAGCAGTATAACACCGTATCCTGTGTTTTGAGCTTTGTGGCTTGAAAAGGGCCATCTGATGAGGGATGAGCGGTCCGCACAGGTTAATCCCCAGAGTATATGTTCCCGGCGGTTGAGACGCGGTCGAAACGACAAGCTTGAGGTTTCGCATTCGTGGCCTCTACCGCAGTAGAATGCACGCTTCGGGTGCGTCGAGTCGATAAGCAGTGGTGCTTTGCCAGTCTGCCATTCTTATGGCTCGATGGAGGAAGTAATATCCGATGCAGCGACGGTGGCAAGTGTCTCCCAGCAGTGCTGGAGAATACCGCAACTTGTGACAGGCTAGTCGGATAAATGAGGTGATTCCGCCCACGTAATCTGTAGTGGGCAAAAGGCAGCATCAGCTGGGAGGCTTTTGGTCGATACGTGATACTCCTAGTAGATGTACGAAGTAATGATACATACTAATACCAGTTGAGGTCTGACTGAGTAATGACCCAGACCAGTACTGGAGGTAACAAGTAAGAGACAAGATATGATAATTGAGGATAAAGATATGAGATGGATGGGAGGAAAGAGAAGAAGAAGAGAGATAGAGATGAGGAGGGCGAGAGCGGGCTTATATATTCAGAATCGTGCCTTTCGTGAATCGGGCTTCTACCCTCGAAGTGACGCATTTGGCGCCGTTAATTGCGGTCCATCAGCCAAATTCACGTTTTGTCATCACTGTGTAATTTTGAAGACGTGAATTTGCCCCCGGCAGAGATTTTGATGATCTTGATAATGATTACATAGGATTTATTACTAAGAGAGGGGGGGGGGGCATTCAGATTGATTCTGTGGCTACTAGTGCCAAGTGACGGCGATACTATCTGTCAAGTCGGACTTCTGATATTCCTTGTAATAAGATGTGAATTATATACTATTTTTACAGTCACGGACAGAAGTCAGTGACGTGTTCTCCACTAGCAGTGAAAGAACTAAGACTAATTCATGGCAAGCACTCACATGACAATGCTCAAACTGAGCTAGGAAGGCGAATGTAGTATGGCACTCCAATGAAGAAGAAAATAGCTTCAATGGCCAATATCAGCCTCGAAAGAACTGTAGACAGAATAGCTCATGGTCGTGTTGCGCTATATAGATGAAGGTGGCCGGGAGGAGCCCGATGGGGGCCGGGATGTGTGGAACCTAGAAGATGATAGTACAAATCCCCAACAAAGCACAGGGTCCCGGGGAAAAATCAATTCATGGCAGGTATCCGGAACTGCCCGTGCCGCAAGTCCACCGCCCCAAAGATCATCGTATCATCGTCGTATGATTCGCCACTTTCGAAGCGAATCGCAACGAAGTTGACCTCCGCGGGGAGCATCCGTCAGCGCTAAGCAAGATGGCAGCAACGGCCGGCGGCTAGATAGTCGCAGTCCGTCGAATCGGCCTCGACCTGGCCTGCCCCGGTGTGCAATCAAATCGCTGGTCCCAATTCCAAACCCTGATCCAACGATAAAGCAGTGCGGCGCAGGGGTCCTTATATCTTCTCGCGCGTCTGCACCCCGCTGCTGCCTCAGACGTGGATTTTCTCACATCACCCACATCCTCCCCGCAAGTAGAAGTTGCAATTGCCCTCAATCCATCATGCCAGCTTTCCAAGCCAAAGAAGACCGCCCAATCGAGGTGGATGATGCGGATGTACCTCACCGCATCTCGACAACAATCCAAGAGGACGAAGGCACGATCGAAGTGGACGCGGATGAGCCCGATCTCGACGATTTCAACGCAGGTTCAGGCTCCACAACAACCTCAATCACCTCCAGTATTATGAAATATGAATTCAAACACGGGCGTCGCTACCACTCCGACAACATCGGAAGTTACCCGTTCCCTAACGATCAGGCAGAGCAGGACCGTCTGGACATGTGCCATCACGCGTTCTACCGTCTGATGAACAACCGCTTGTTTCTCGCTCCCATCAACCCCGACGGGATGAGGATTCTCGATATCGGCACGGGAACCGGCATCTGGGCCATCCAGATGGGCGATGAGCACCCTGGGGTCGAAAGTATCGTGGGGAACGACATCAGTCCCATTCAGCCAGCGTGGGTCCCGGCCAACGTGAGATTTGTCGTGGAGGATGTGGAAATGAACTGGATCGAGACCAAGCCATACGACTTCATCCACTGTCGGTACATGGCGGGATCGATCCGAGACTGGCCGCGACTGATCAAGCAATGCTATGCGAATCTCAAGCCAGGGGGCTGGTTGGAGCTGCAGGAATCAGTCAACACGCTGGTCTCGGAGGATGGGAGTCTCCGACCGGATAGTCACATGGTCCGGATGATGGAAACGCTGAAGGAGGCTTGCAATAAGATCGGGCAAACTATGGACCCGGCGCCCAACTTCGAGCAGTGGGTCGAGGGCGCTGGATTTGGCACAGTGCATAAGGCCAAGTTCAAGCTTCCGGTTGGTACCTGGCCAAGGGATGAGCGGCTGAAGGAGTGCGGTAGCTTCATGCGAGTGAACATGGTTGAAGGTGTGGAAGCATTCACGGCTGCCCTGTTACCCGATGTTCTGGGCTGGGATCATCAGGAGGTGATGGATCTCAATGAGGCGGTTCGCAAGGAGTCAATGAAGAATGACATGCATCCGCTCTTTGAATATATTGTTTTTGCCGCACAGAAGCCGCTTGAGGAGTCTTGATAGATATTGGACATATTATCGATGTTTGGAGGAACACCACCTCTTTTAGGAACTGCTGTCTGTTGAGTAATTCGCCATTGGTGATTGTAGCTTTTATTGCAATGGAACGTATCGCAAAGAAATGAGGCGGTAAGATTGTCGTATATATGATAGGCGATGTCTAGCAACCTGACTGCCTCGTGAGGAAGAGAGATGGTCACAGGTCGTGCAGGGCCCCAAAAGAGGGGGTTGCCAACCTCAGGCACCACCGACAACGATTTCCATCATTTCCGGTGACTCCTGTTCCTCGCTCTTTCCATAACCTCAACCCAGTTCTTTCAGTCAAACCGCTTATATCCGCTCTATCTGGCCGAATCTGACGGTGATGGAAGACCACTGCGGGAACGGAGAACTCCCGGCCGGGCCTTCCAAGAAGGTAGTTATGTCAACAGATGGACCAGCTAACTAACTACTCCGTGGGGGATAGTAAATTCTGTCACCGTTCAAACGCCGATACAACGTCGTCTCAAAAACAGATATAATACAACCCAATCCCCTACAAACCCAAAATACGGTTCGACTCCTCCAACACCCAACGCTGTCCTTGGTTGAGATTATTTTCCTGCGCATCCCACTTCGCAAATCCAAACGACTTCAAACCCTCCTCGTTTGTGAAATTCCGCAAATCCTCCTCAGTAGTCCGCCCGACATGCTCGCTCTCCCCCTTACCACCCGGGAAATTTGGCGGAGGTACACCGGCAAGGAAGTCCTGTTTCTGGCGCGGGACGTAATCCATGTTCGCCTCGGTCACAGGACAAGCGGGGATACACAGAACACTGGAATCGCCTTTTTCTTGGTGCACTTCATCGACAGAGTGGATTGCTGCGGTCGTTCGTTAGCTGGGTGGGTGATTCGGTCCAGGAAATGATGCTGAGAACTGACTGTCACAATGCCAAGCAACGTAATCGCCTGGAACAATCTGGGGAACATGGACCATCGTCTTTTCGAGCTCCATATGTGGGTGGAGGATATCGTTCAGCTCCTGCGAGAACCCCGGGGTAGCGCCCTCCAACTTGCTCGACGGGCTCGCTTCCAATCGTCAGTTGGTCGGGTCCAGGTACGTATCCCGTGAGAGACGGGATCCTCCAGATGGAGGCTTGGAGATGGGCTCAAAGAAAGGTCGCAGAAGATAATAAGCCGTCGCCATGGAGAGGATGGGGTTGACCAACAAAGTTCCTTCCTTGGGACCGACGTGCGAGATGCCGAGCCAGCCCTGGAACATCCGGAACATGGAGCATGCACCCGCACCGTTGTACCGATCAGCGACGGCGGGTACGCAGCAACTAGCCTCCCAGGGATCGTACTCCTCCCAACGTCCCTCCCAGATGCGCTGATCTACGTCGCCTAGACCATATCCGTTGTCTTCCCATCGTTCGCCGCTACCGCCATCGACGTGAGCCCCGAGCGCGAAGCCCGCGTCGCCCGGTTGGCGGATACGGACGCGGTCGGCATATGTGAGGGGATGAATGGGCGAAACCTTTGCATCGGCAGCATGCGATTGCCAGAAGCTCATGAGAAAACGCTGGGTCTCAGCCATATTGGGGTGAAGATGGGCTCTCATCTGGGGCTTGGACCAATAGAGCTCGAAGACTTGGGGTCGTTGGGCGGGAATGCTGCCGAAATATCAGAATATATGACGTGAGCATACTGGAAGCGATAAAACAACTTTTGTACTTGGGTTCGCCGGGAAATAGGCTTCGATTTCCTTCTTGTAAGCCCTTGCCTCTTCCTCGGGGACCACACCCCGGATAACAGCAACACCCCGTTTCCGCAGCTCATTTTGGAAAGACCGCGGAGCAGCCTGGATGTCCTTGAAATCAATACTCGGGATAACATCCGACTTCCTCTGATCGATAACCTAAACTTCATCGCGAAGTCTGCACAGAAGACGGGCCCAGCTTCTCTTAACCTGTTCCTGTCGCCTCGCGATAAGCCGCTTTATCTGATCCGCGGATTTGGCTGGTACTGGCGTTTGCTCCTTTCCGGATAATCAAACAAAGACAGAAGATATGTCGCCTTCTTTGCGCGCCGCCGGAGCAGATGTAGCCAAATGTCTTGTGTTGGGTTTCGTGAGAGTCTGCAGTGCCGGTCGAAGACCATGCATGCATGGTGTGGTTGATTTTCAGCATAGACATTATGTCCTGAATTTCGATTTAATCGGCAAACACACTAATTCAAAAAGGACTAGTCAGGTATCTTGAGCATCCACCCAGCAAACCTAACCTGAATAGGTTATCTATACCCGGTTTTAAAATGCCGACCTTCACATCCGATAAGGGAATCGGATAGATTTCTCCTTCAGGCACTCCGGGCGGGCGGGTAGATTACCGCATCTGGGGATCCCGTCTTTCCGACTGCCACAGTCATATATCTCAATAGATGAACGCTTGTAGCCACGTTGACGCAAATTTATCCCCTCATACACCACCTGTCGCATTGCATGATGTCAAAGGAAAACGTCTTATCTGGAGAGGCCGGGTCCCATGTGTTCGCCGGGGTTCTGTTGGACTTCGACGGGACTATCATCGACTCAACGGAGGGTAAGCTCGGCGCCTTTCCGTTTAATTATGCCGACAAGCTAACACTGAGCAGCGATTGTTGAGCACTGGAAAAGGTACGTTAGTACACATCTCATTCCAACTAGCAAAATACTTACGTGTCTCAGAATCGGCCTCGAACTGGGGATCGACCACAATGAGATCCTCCGCACGTCGCACGGCAGACGAAGCATCGATATTCTTCGCGATCTAGACCCCACAAAGGCAAACTGGGAATGTATGCACCCCCTTTCCCACTCGACTCCCTTCCGTTATCTCGAAACTCGACTAATAACCATCCACACAGACGTCAGCGCGATGGAAGCCCAAGTCCCCCTCCTGTGCACCACCCCCGCTGTCGAGATCCCCGGAGCCCGCAAGCTCCTCGAGTCCCTAGACAAATACCAAGCCCCTTATGCAATTGTCACGTCCGGAACAAAGGCCCTTCTAGACGGGTGGTTGAAGGTTCTCCAACTCCCACGACCACAGGAAGTCACGGTCGCCGAAGATGTCAAGCTCGGAAAGCCGGATCCGGAGGGGTATCGGAAGGCAAAAGAGAGGATGCTGCTATCGTTGGATTCTGAGACATACAGAGATGTGCTGGTGATGGAGGACGCCCCGGCCGGGATCAGAGCGGGGAAAGCGGCTGGGTGTTATGTGTTGGCAGTTGCGACGACACATGGTGTGCAGGAGTTGAAGGACGCGGGGGCAGACTGGGTGGTCATGGACCATCGGTTTGTGGATGTGGAAAGGGTGGAGACTGCAGGGTTTAGATTTGTGTTTCGAAATTTGTTGTAGATAGACTGAAGAAAATTTGAGATGGGGGAATAGATAGACGTGTTTGGGTGCTGAAGACTTCCGATTTAGGACGCTGCAGGGTCGCGTCTCTGGCATCTCTGCAGCCTGTTAGATTCGGGTCCTTCCGCCCGCACTGTGATATACCCACTATTTAGTGGGTCCAGGGTTGAGTAGTATATATGGTAGAGTGAGAAGAGAGGGATGTGGGTGGGAGAAAAATAAACTGAAAGGTTATTATCAAGATTAGTATAGAAGCGTGTGGGGTAGCAGTTCGAACTTGGAGATTACCTTCTTCTATATTATTTTTCTGGCCTCCTTTTCTTCTATTTTCTCTTATTGTTGTATCTTAGTGAAGAACAAGTTCGGTGTGGAAACAAGTACACTCTCAATCAATAAAGCCGAGTATATCTCGAATTCAGGCAAAGCATGATATTATGTTCGAAACTCCAAATCAATATGCACAAATCGCAACAATGCAGCCTCCAGAGGCCAGGGATCAACTATTCTCTTAATGCTTTTCGAATAATCGTGAACCTATTGTAGGAGAGGAAATATACACGCATATTCCTAGTATGAAGGATACCAACCAGTCGTCTCCCTGTTAATAACAGCAGCGATCTTATATTCCTCCGTCCCACTTGTGGGATTCATGACGATCTTAACAAGGATACTCCCTTTGTATATATTACCATAAGTAAAAGCAGGCAGATGCCCATGGAGAGCAGACGGAAGATGGCGCGCAAAAAAGTCAGATATCCACCCATGTTATGCCCGATCGGCCCAGATCTGCTTTGAATGGAGGGCGATGGCCCTGTGGAAGCTTTTCTCATTTTGGAAAGGGCCAGTAACCGCCTGATCATTCTTTGGGGACCAGAAGTAACGGTGCAGAACAGGTCCTTGTGCCACGATGCCGTACAATGCAGGTGAGGGTAGTGAGCATATATCTTCGAAGAGGGATCGGAGTAGACGGAGGTGAGAGGTTTTATTATTCTGATAAAGAGAAGACCACATATGTTGCAAGCTCACACTGTCGGGGATGTATTCCATGACCTACCGCTTGGTATTTCTTTGCAGGTTGCGTTGAACCTATTCGTTATGTCTAATTCGTCATCACAGCTTAGATTGGGATAAGTGATATAGAAAACTGCGGAAGTCATCAAGTCATGAGGGCAAGACAGCTGCGCGATGCGTGAGAAATAAGGTATCGTGATAGTGACATTGTCGATAGAGGCACGTCTTTACTGCCGACGAGACAGACTTCAACTATTATAGTAACACTCAGAATGGAAATGTCCCCCAGATCGCTCTCAATCTATATCCAAAACCACCTTTCCAAAATGCTGCCCCGTCTCAGAGTATGTATACGCCTCCTTCAGCTCGCTCAATCGGAAAGTTTTGGCGTCGATGATGGGTTTGACATCGTTTACTTCGATCGCAGTATTCATCTCTTCGTTGAGCTGCCTGCTGCCCACCAAGATCCGACGAGTCGTGAACATCGTGGTACCGTGAGACTCTCCGATATGTCCGTTTTCTTCCCGGGGACCGGCCCTGTTGCCGATAACAGAAACCTGACAATCGACTGCTGCTGCCTGAGCTGACTGCGCCATGGTGTTTGCGCCGCCAATCTCGATGATGAAGTCTGCTCCGCGTCCGCGGTGCGAGAGTTTCTTCGCCGTTTCTCCCCATTTCAGATCCTCTTTGTAGTTGATAATGTGATCTGCACGCTCGACCTTCAGTCGATCAGCCTTTTCTGGACCACTTGTGGTTGCGATCACTTGTGCGCCACCCATTTTGGCAAACTGCAAGGCGAATATGCTCACACCCCCGGTACCTTGAACGAGGACTGTTTCTCCCGGCTTCAGTTTCCGTGGGCCACCGTACAATGTGTTCCAAGCAGTCACCGCCGCACAGGGAAGAGTGGCGGCTTCGCGATAGCTCAGATTGGAGGGTATCTCGACGCAACTTTCTTCGTTATACACCGCGTATTGGCGGAAAACACCGTCGTGCTTTGCGCCCAAAGAAGTAGGAAAGTAACTTTCATCGAAAGAGCCGTAGAGATGTTTCAGGTGGAATATTGGCGATACGCGTTGTCCGACTGAGAACCGGGTCACCTTGGGGCCAGCTTTGACGACTTCACCGGCGGCATCAGATCTATGTATGTGGGTTAGTAGAAGGGGACAAATCCCGAGTAATGTGACGAAGACTGACCCTGGGACTATCGCGGTCCAGACATATTTACCCTACATTTGTGTCAGTCCCGTCACAAGGAAGAGAAGCTGTCCATGTCTTACATTCGCGATCACAATATCTCGGTAGTTCAATGACGCCGCATGAAATTTAACCAAAACTTCATAGTCTTCCGGGGAAGGGATAGGAACCTCCTGAAGCTCCAGTGAATCGATCCCCTTCTTCCCTTGAACAATCCACTGCTTCATCATTTTGTCAAGCTTCAGACCGGTGTGTACTCGAGAACAACGCAAGGGGAGGATGATGCCGGAGCAAAAACACAATGATTTGCCTCAAGTGCCGCTGGAAATGGCAGGAATACTTATAACCCCCATCCAAAACCTCGGAGCATTAACACCCAGACCACTGTACTTAGTCGACGTCGACTAGATAAGGCTATTGATTCTGGCCATTCTTGGCCCTCAACGCACGTCATGGGAGTGATTAGAAATCAAGGCGTCCGTCTGCAAGCTGGATCACCCGGAGACCCCAGTATATCCCTCGAATAGGGGACCATTCCGCACTCGACAGGGATCCAAGCACCACCAGCATTAGGCAACGTGACTTCATCCAGCAGCCTTGCCCCCAACGTCATTTGTCCCATCCCTGCAACAAACTCCCAAAAATTCGGCCTGCTGTCGGTGCGACAAATCCTTTAGTTCGAGTAGTCGGGATACCGCCGGAAAACCGGCACCGGGCTGAGGGTTAGATCGATCACTAGATAGTTGAGTTCATCGGATCCGTGAGTTTGCGTTCATGCGTCTCGTTCGACGGTGCCCGAGCCCCGAGGGGACAGCTGTGCGGTTATGCAAGGCATTGGATTGCCTTGCCAGAAGGTATATTCGCCAGGAAAACAAAATGATCAAAAGGAGACGATCGACACAGGGGTTAGCTGCGAACTTTCGCGTAATGAGTTAGATTAGAACTAGAAGGTGGTTGCTTAAGGCTGAGATGTCCTCCCTCCGCCTTCCGAATTGGAAGATGGACTGGCAGATTCTCATCTGACTGCCTCAATGACGTCGGCGATGCTCTCTGGCTGCAACGTGATGGAGGTTGGACATATGGTAGCCTTGTAGCCTTAGTGTTTTCCTGCCTTGGTGCCTTGGTGCCGGACCGTGCGGACTTTCCGCTCTCAAAAATATGCTACACGTCCCAGTCATCGACACAGTGTTTGTTTAACCTATGTGCTAAAATGAAACATAGCTTCCAATTACTCTCATCCACGTACACTATCAGACTTTCAGTTAAGAGGAATGTTACTCCACCCTTGCGAATCAGTATTGGGGTTTACATAATGCAATCTAGTGCCCTTGTCCTTTTCTTGTTCCTGCTTTGATCTCTTCCTGCCTAGGAAGTTATTTTATACTTGGTTCAGGGCCTTTCTGTGGTTTACCGAGTCTCTGGCATATTTAATCATATCAACCAAGCCAGTCCTTAACCCAAGCGAGCCTAAAGAGAGTCAGGATGGGTTGTGGTGCATGTTTCAGTCATCATTACATATTTATGCTACAGCCTACGTCACAGAAAGACAAGTATATCTTTGCCCCGCAAGCCCCCATAACAACAGTCAAAGCCAATGCTGATGTATGACAAGAAACTTTATTCACCAAGAGGCCCTCTGCATTTGCACACAAGATTCAGGGGAAACCTAGAGTCCCAGGGGAAAGACCTATTGAAACCAAGGACCATACCGGGACAAAAAAGTGCCAATGCCAAAAATAAACATGCAACTTCACTAATCACGATCCTCCTTATAAGCAAGCTCCATCTCCGCCTCACCGTAAAATGACCCATTTTGCTTCTTCATGGTCAACTTCAGTCTGTCTGCATGTGCAGTGCCCTCAAACCTGAATTGACGGTTCAATGTCCGTAGTATAAGGAGCAAATGCGCGTCCCTTACCAGTAGTATGGCTTTTCCGACTTGTAGATCTCGATATTGTCTCCACCAGAGGCTGACCCGGTATCAAACTTGGTGACAGTCCCGACGGAGGAGTAGTTTGCTTTGGGGGTTTCCTCATAGCTCTTGGTCCACTGGCCCACGAGAACTGCTGTCGTACCTTTTCTCAGATCGCCGTTGAAGCCAAGAGAGATGAGCTCATTCTCAGCTGTCTTGGATTGGGAATTGAGCTTTCCAGAGTAGACACGCATTGTCATTGAATGAGAGATAATTGAAAAGAGACTTTAGTCCAGGATGGATGAGTTGGCCGAGTGTAAAGTTTGAAAGAGGAGAACGTGAAGTCTGAGAGATATGGCCAGAAGGGGGGGAGAGATTGGTTTATATAATGTTTCGCATGGTTGACATTATGACAGAGTAACGGTTATGGGGTTCGGCATCATGCAAGATGATTCAGAAGAGAGAAGACGTCCACGTGAGGCCCAGAAGACCTGTCATACAAGAGTTTCAAGTCAGCTCAGGGATTGTAAGATGATGAGGGGTGGATACTTGTATTTTGATTTTTGTGGCGGTGATGGTATGGCCTGGACTTTCCTCTTGATTGCTTCATCACGATGGCATCAACCGCCAGGGTATATCTGGAGCCTGACGTGGTTGTACTGGCACTACCAAGCTGCTTGGCTTCTGGGTCCCCGTTAGCAAGCGACATCTTCTGCTTGACTTTCCCTGTCCAAGCGGACCGTTTTGGAAAGAACAGCTTGGCTAGTACTGCCTGCATCGTTAGAGGCCACTTCCCTCGCACTCCTCTTAAATACCGACTTCCCCACTATCAGACCAAACAGACCACTCGACTAAAAAGGTGTCCAGACACCTAAGTAGGTGCGATACTGAATGATACTAGGTTTGACACCCACGCAAAGCCTTAACCAGACCAGATAAAGCATGTCATAGATGTCGTTGGAGGCAAGGAAACAGGTACCGCATGACTCTCTTTTCTTGCCTCATCAAGCTTGCCTCATGGTGTCGACATGATTGAGGTATTACTATGACATGGCTTTCAGTCCACATCACGGGGTCAAGTACTGTTTTCCAAACCCGGACCGTTTGTCGCTCCGCAATGCATTCACTGGAGGGGGCTGCTGCCCGGTCGACAAACGAGCGCCCACAGAGCGAGCGATCACTCCTCTCTGACGCGTCTCTTCTCCCTGACACCTGGCCATGTCCGCTGCATTACCATAACTTCTTTTCCACCAAATTTGGTCTTTCTCTTGTTACGGAATACGTGAAATTCGAATTTGGGGAAGAGAGGTCCTGTAAGCCGTCTTCTGACCGTCCCCAGAGGTTCCACATTAACCAAAACCATTGCTAGACGCGACCTAGGACTTGAGAATGCCCAGCCCAAGAGTCCTAGCGGACACATTTCGCCACGTTGCCCTCCCCCCGAAACTTCCGGGAAAGCAAGATAAAGACCCTACAGAGGTGGACGGAGAGCTGATTACTCGCCTACGGCACGCCATTCAAGATCTCACCAGCGCGACCGACGAGGAAGCGAAGGGCGTGTGGAGCTCAATTGATCAGACTCTCGGCACATTTTGTACGGTCAATAATGACGGAATGGTCAATAAGGCGGCTCTTTTGGGCGCGTTCGGTAAGCTGCGTCCAGGAAACGCGGTTATCGTGTACGTTGCGGAGCAGAACGCAGCCCTCCTGATTAGATGCCCTCGGTAAGTACCCCACTGGCACTGTATACACTACTCCAAGCTAATGCAATGGCAGAGGTGAGGAATGTGACGATATTATCATCGAGGCCTTCGAGACTTCATCACGCATGGAGCAAGCCCTCGCTGCCAAAGGCGCCCTTGTCTGGGATTTCCCTTCCTCGGCAGTCTCACTTCCTATGGAAGAGTTCAGGAATTCCGGTTTCCAAGACAGTCTTTGCGACTTCCTGGAAAATGCCAGCACCGAAGCCCTCGACGAGTTTGCGGCGAAAACACGCAAGGCCGGAAAGGAAGTCGTCGAAAATCGAGATACCGTTGATCCATCTCTGATCACAGACTTTTTGATGACATTGCTCGAGGTGAATGGAAGCCGGATATGTCCGCCTTTGTTACGAAAGCGCGTCAAGGACGATGTGTGCTGGGACAATTCCGAGCTTCCGTGGCGACGCAGTCCATCCTGGCTGGTACTTCGGGTGTGTCTCCAACGCGTCCTCTATCTTCGTCTGGGTAGTGAGCTAGGCCGCCTATTTTATAAGGCTCTTATGTGCGTTGTCATGGCGAGACTTCTAAGAGATACCGTCCATATAGGAGCTTTGACGCCCGAAGATTGGGGCTGGCTTAGATCCAAACTATGTCGTCGTTTGGCTAAGCTGGAAGCAGAGAAAGTAAACTCGCCGTCCTCAGTGCAAGACATGCACACTCGCCTAGTCAAGACGCTTGAACCGATTTTTGAACAATGTATTGACGCTGCTCAAATGGCGATTGAGAAGAGCTGGGAGGCCTTCAAAAGAGAGACTCAGCGAAAGATACCACTGTTGCCCTCTAGAGCAGAGGAAAGCGATTACCGTCTGAGTCTGCCGAACAGCTTAGCATACCTCCAGGATATCCTCAAAGACCCTTGGATAAGTACCCAGAAAATAACGAACGTCGATCCGGCTCTCGTGGTGGAAAGCGCTCGTGGAAGTACTACCCAACAGTTCAGCTCAATCTTGACGCGTTACACATTGCTCGCAGAGCTTGAACTCGGTCTAGAATCAGGTACACGTAAAATTCCGGTCTCAAAAGATGCCGCAGAGGGCGTCTGTATACAGATCGCCGATAAAATCGGCCACTACATGGCTACCGTCGCAGACACATACGTGGAGGATCCGGAGCAACTGGGCCTTTTCATTCTCAACCTTTTTGACCTCTGGGTATACTTGGACAAGTGTGCCACAGTTGCATATCCGCTGCTAACGGAGTACCATACGGGCTTTCCCCCAGAGCTGCTGGACGTGCTTCTCGTCTCGAGGCTCGCCGACTTAAAACGACTGCAAAATGTCCAGACGTACCTCCATAAACGCTGCACGGGTGCAGTCAAAGCGAAGATGACGATATTTGCGGACCCATGTCCGGGCTGCCTGGCTGACCGGTATCTCGACCTTCCGATCGGGAACAATCTAGCAGAACTGCAAGAACGGATCGAGACTGCATCGCTGGCTGCGCGGGAACAGAAAGTGTTGGAGTTGTTCAAATTGAAAAAGGAATACGACTCTCTGAAGGAGAAGGAAATGGGCAACCCTTGCACGCAAAAACGGAAGGACGACGGCACTCATGACATCCGCGGATGTACCCATTGCTATTATGTCCGCTGTCGTGGACGAATGACGATCGACATCCACGAGGACTTTCTCCCACCAAACACTAACATGGCTGAAAAAAGGGCCATCGTTTTCGAACTGGGTATCCCGAAAGCATTTTCTGCGTACCGGACCATCACATGGGAAATTACTAATAAACTGAGCACCCTTACGAGCTTCAAGAGCGGGAGAGAACCGGAGATATTACTCCATGAATACAGCCTTCTTGCCGATCACAGAAAGGCCGGGTCATCTCCAAGCCTCTCACTGGCATCTTCTACTAAATCACATTTGAATACCCATTTTAAAACAAAGCGGCTGCCAACATCAACGGACAGTGTCTTGCGTCCCCTGGGGCTGACATTCTTTTACTACGACACTGGGCGAAAGTTATGGGCCAAAGACAAACCTCCGTTGCTCACCCTTGCGCATCATTTCACCTTATCTCTCCCAAAGACTTTACCATTTTCTGAGCTCTATTCATGTTCAAGCTTTTCCCCAGATGGTGCAGGACCTTCGTCCTACGAGGCTGTTGCAAACATTCCGGACTGCCCTTCTTCAGTGACCGTCCATGAGTTTATGGCGCATCAGACCCTGATGGCTGGTAGAAATCGGCGATGGCTTTCTATTCTGACTGAGTTAGGATCCTCAAATCTGAATCTCGGCTTGCATGATACAATGGTCCTATTTCGCCATCTTGCACTGCAAGCGGGTCCTGGACTGCGGGATAATCCCTTACGAGTTGTCCATGCCATCTTCAAAGATTCTGAGTTTTGCAAAAGGTTGATTGAACAACTTGACCAGCATGTCTCGATCGCTGCACAGAATTGGCGAGAGACAACTTATATGGATACGATTTTAACCTTGGCCATTCAAGTGTGCAATCTTGGGAGCCGCAAATCTTCTAAGGCAGCAGATGGTCTGCTTCTGAGGATCCGCCGCATTACCCTTCAATGGATTGAGCACATAAAAAACGAGAATCAAACCGTGCTGCAGGTGGATGCCGCAGAAAGAGCTGCTAACTATCGCTTTCTGGCCTCACTACTATGCCGTCGCACGTTCTCCCCGCAGAGTTTCAGCGGCCAGCCTTTGACGATGGAAGGCGTCCAGTGTTTTGTCGAAGCTACACTCGCCATGCAAGAGAGTGTAATTGGAGACGTAAGTAAGTTCAATAAGTCAACGCTCAGCATGCTTTCTCGCGACATCAAGATGTGTGTTCGGATTCGCGCTATGGTTCAAGCTGCAGTCGAGGTGTATCCTGAAGGCATAACGGGTGCCATAGACAGGGTTTTTCCGGGTAGTATATCGCGGTCGTACAGCCCATGGAGACACCTGCCTCATCCACACGAATGTTGGATTACAGCTACGGTCCGATGTGCCAATGAGCGAATGGTGCAGCAAGAGATCCATTTTCACATCCTGGAGGGCCACATTCTGGTAGACGGAATTCCTTTGGGCAAGCTTCCCTCTGATATCAGCAACTCAGAGACGTTAAAGGAGCTGTTTGGAAACCAACGTCTGTTTGCCTTCCCCTCAAATTTGCCTGGCATGAACTATGCCCTGGCAATTGACAAAGAAGGGTACCAAATCCATCTGGGCTATCGAGGTAACGACTTGATTATTCGGGCTTGCAAGGACATGAGCATTCTCGAATATGTACCGAGATCAGTGTTTGGCAGAGGTCGTAGCCTCGACTTGCCTGAACCCTTGGTGTTTGGCTGTGTTCACTGGATTGACCTTAGAACCGGAATTCTCGAGGCGCGGCGTATGCCGGTCATTTGGAAGGAAAGACCAGGGAACTGGAGAGTTAACGTTCCCAGTCGCAAGGCACAAAGGAAACATTCTTTGCTGGTCGATCCCCACTCCACTCTGGCGACGATAATCGGAAAGGCATTTCTTCACTTCGAGCATTCCTCGAGGCTTACCATCTACCAGCCCCGCTGTAACCCCCTCTCAGTGGAGATGAAATACATGAATATTAGCTTTCATGTAAACAAGAAGCAGTTACTGCAATGCAAAGAGCTGGGCGCGGAGCTAGATCCAAATCAGGACGCTGGTACGCTTTATGGGTTGCAGAGTATGCTGGTTCTCCGGAATGTCTCCAATCGCTCACAACGAAGTCTTATCATGACCCTAGGAGACATTGAGTATCGGAGGCATGGTATTCATGTCCTCGTACGCAAGATGAACGATAATAGTTTCGGAAGGTACATGATTGATGATGTGCTTGGCCGCCTCTCCTGCCCAGCTGAGCGACGGTTGCAATATACAAAGGCACAGTTACACGCATTCACATCATTCGTGCTACCTGATCTCCTTACTGGGCGAACAGGTGCAGAGGAAGCATTGGCATGTCTACATTCGGGTGGTTGTCAGCCATGGACCCCTTTGAACCAAGCTTCCGTGGATCTGCTGCAGACAATCTCGCACCTTACACCTACAAGGAGATATTATCCCCGCGATATGAGAAGCCAGCAGCTTATTGAGTGGGATGAGAAGCTGACTGTCTCGATACAGAATGAGGAATATCAATCAGCAATTGAATCTATTCTAAGCAGGTCAAAGAGACTGTCACTATTCGATGCTACGGCCGCTCCCGCTGCAATGGAAGTAACTTTCAATGAAGTCCATCTTCGCGAGCGGGCTCGCTGGCGGCGGTCCATCTACGCACGATCAAGCAACATGTGTCGAGTCAAAGTGAATACACCCGACAAAGTCTACTCTCCGGCCGGAACTTGCTTTTCTGACCGAGCTTCCAATGTCCTCGAAATTGTCTCTCTCCTCCGTGAACGGCCCTTTGCGATTCGCACCACCCGCAATCTTTCCGGTATTCTCCAAAAGTGGCCATACATTGGTGGTTACATGACGAAGTTCACACCGCTTGACCTGGAAACAACGCTCTCTGCTGACCTCGCAGTTGAGTGGGGTGGTTTGGTCCGGTTTTGTCGCGAGTGTGGACCGCAGGATTCTCACTACCTCATGTTTCATTTGGGACTCATGGCTTACAAAAATGCTGTTGATATGGATGCCATGAGAGTCTTGGCCGCTTTCTCTATATTGAGCGATCTAAAGGAACTCCCACTACCTTCATACCCATCCTTCGAAGGGTTTCCTGACACCGAAAAGCCTGACTTTGACTCGTTACTGGCTCTGATAAAACCTTTCTGGAAAGAATATGCAGAACCCTCCTCATCGAAGGGGGAAAGATCCGCTGCTGAAGTTTATGAGATGGAGCGTGCCAGAAATAAACACGACTGGTGCTGCGAAAATGCCAGTAACGATCTTGCTACTTTCATTCTTCAGCAGTGGCCGTGCGCAGAGCCCTCTGTATCGGGGTTTTCATCGCAGTTCCTGGAAATAGCCGGGGCCCATGAGATAATAAGCCGTGAATGGCTCCGACGGTACAAGAATCTCCAACTCATGAACCATATCGTCGGCATCCAAGAGGTCTTAAATAACCACGAAGCTGAGAGGAACCATTGGAAAGCTTTTGCAGCCCCCCAAGCGACCGAGGTGTTTAGAACCCGAGTATTGCAGCTCCAGGATGTCACGATGCGCCTTGAACGGGGACTTCCCAAATCGCAATCAGGTTCGCATTCAAGCTTACGGTTCGATCACAATACTTTCACATCAGATCCGCTGGGGGAAATTGATCCCAATACTGGTATGCGAAGGAGGAGAATGTATCCAAAAGAGGTGACCGAGATCGAACAGATCGTAGATCGCATTGCCAATTCAGGGTGTTCGGTTAGGTCTACATACGGTCAGGACTTGCAGCTGAGCATTGATGCGTTGAAGAAGAAGAGACGAGACCAGCGCAAAATACACACAGCATATCCCCGACTTGGGGGTGAATTTGAGGAGGGAATGTCGATCTATTTCAATGAGATTAGACGAGCTCGCGTTGAGTTGAGGCGCTCATATATTTTGATTTATGACAGACTTTCCGCTCGTGATGCACAGTCTCGTTGGCTACAGGAAGGACGCCTCTGGGGCTGCGTTACTCCAGTGACAGTATTGGAGCAGCTACGATCTGTGTCCTCTTTTGATCTTGGACCCAACATGAAACAAGCCATCGTATCTTACGCCCTTGATATCGTCAAGTTGCAGCGTTTGATCCGGATGAAGGAGTCATTCACCAAGCGCGATCAAAGCGGGCTGGACCAGGAGCAAAGCCATTGCGATCATGCAGTTTGGGATTATATGATGCATCCTGACTGGATTATCCTGGAGATTGATGCCAACATGCAAATCCGACAGGACCAGGTGACTGTGGCGATGGAGATGGTATCCCCCAGCTCAAATTCAAACTCTGTGCTGCAGATGAATATGGGACAGGGAAAAACTTCAGTGATTATGCCAATGGTTGCATCTGCATTGGCCGATGGCAAAATTCTTAACCGACTACTGGTACCCAAAGCCCTGATAGCCCAGACTGCGCAGATTTTACAGGCCCGTCTGGGAGGCCTCGTGGGCAGGAGCCTTGTTCATATCCCATTCTCACGACGTACTCCGACGACACCACAGGTGTTGCAAGAATATCGCGCATTGCATGAGGATATGCTCAAATCATCAGGGATTGTATTGGGAGTTCCCGAGCATTCTCTCTCCTTCAAGCTTAGTGGTCTGCAACAAGTTTCGGACATGAAGCTCCCTGAGGCAGTCAAGATGGTGGCTATCCAGACATGGCTTGACAAGGTTGGCCGAGATATTTTGGATGAATGCGATTTCACTTTGGCTGTCAAAACGCAGCTGATCTATCCGAGCGGATCACAGCTCGTCGTAGATGGACACCCCGATCGCTGGGAGGTCATCATGGCTGTTTTAGAGCTGGTGGCTCAGCATCTCCGAGACTTGGCACGAGAGCTACCGCAGAGTATTGATTTGGTGGAAAGAACAGCCACTGCATTTCCCATTGCCTACCTTCTGAGAAAGGATGTTGAAGTGGTCCTCGCCGAAAGAATCGCTGAGGATGTCTGTTTGGGCAGAGGCGCCATTCTCCCCGTCCGGATCTGGGATGCTGCAGAGATCGACGTCATTAAACAGTTCATTTGTCAGGATACGTTGGACGAGTCGGTCGGGGAACGCGCTGAGTACCTTCTCCGCGATGCGCCCAAAGTTCGAAAGCGGGCCCATTTAATACGGGGACTTCTGGTGCATCGCATTCTCTTGCTCTGTCTTAAGAAGAGATGGAATGTTCAGTATGGTCTTCACCCTGATCGAGACCCCATGGCGGTTCCTTTTCACGCGAAAGGCGTTCCCTCGGAACATGCAGAATGGGGCCATCCAGATGTGGCCATACTCTTCACATGTCTTGCCTTTTACCACCAGGGCTTAAACCAAAGTCAATGCCGTGAGAGCTTGCAGGCCATCTTGAGATCCGATGATCCTGCTACGGAATACGACAGGTGGACTCAGGGATCAACAGCTCTTCCAGAAGCTCTACGACACTGGAATATTATCAATGTTGACGATGAGGGACAAGTTCGGGAGATTTGGCTGAATCTACGGCATTCGATCATGGTAATTAATCACTTTCTCCGACATTTTGTGTTCCCGGTCCATGCAAAACAGTTTGCCATCAAATTGCAGACATCAGGATGGGACGTTCCAATGTTTAGCAACTCCGTCTCAAAAGCTCACAACCCGAAGATTAAGCGCTCCGGGCTGACGACTGGTTTTAGTGGAACAAATGACAACCGCAGACTACTGCCTTTGACAATTGAGCAGCATGACTTGCCGGAGCTTTCGTACACGAACGCGGAGGTCCTCACGTACTTACTTCAGCAGAGAAACCGGGGCTATAGGCCTGCAGTTCTCAACGGGAGACGCCTCTCCGAGGAACAACTTTTGATGGAACTGAAACAGAGCAAAATTCGGGTTCTCATTGATGCTGGGGCCTTTATCCTGGAAATGGACAACCAAACCCTTGTGAAGGCTTGGCTGGCCGTTGATCATGAAGCTCAAGCCGCTGTGTACTTTGGAGCCGATAATAAAGCCTGGGTCCAATACCAAAATGGTTTGAATACACCGTTGCTTGCCACTCCATTTGCAGATGACATGAGTGAGTGCTTGATCTATCTGGATGAGGCTCATACCAGAGGTACCGATCTCAAGCTACCCGCCAATGCAGTTGGAGCTTTGACGCTTGGGCTTAATCAGACCAAGGATCACACTGTGCAAGGTAAGTTATCTTTTCATCCCGGTTTCGGCCTCGAAGATACAATGCGGTTGCTCTAACACTTCAATTCAGCCGCGATGAGACTCCGTCAGTTAGGCACCACACAGTCCATAGTTTTCATTTCTCCACCGGAGGTGCACCAAAGCATCATGGATACCTGCGAAAAGGGCCCGGGTGACAGTATCGACTCGTCTGATGTGATTTACTGGTTGCTTCACCAAACATGCGCCAACAACAAAGATCTGGAGCCTCTCTTTTTTGCCCAAGGTGTTGATTTCTGCCGTCGCGTTCAAGCCGCAGAGAAAAATACCAATTTTCTTCATGATTTCTCGCATCGAACGGCATACATGCAGGTTCTCCAGCAGCCGGAACAGCAAACCCTGGAGCAGCTCTATAAGCCTCTCGCCTCAGGTGCCAATGACACAGGAGTCGGGGCGGAGAGCAATTCGCAGCCTCTCGAAGGAAAGGTAGCCGGATTCATGAAGGCACTTCGAGAACGACACCGGCAAACCCACACCACATCTACTTCAATTGTCTCGTCAGCCCTCGAAGAGGTTGAGCAGGAGCGAGAGGTTGCCTACGAAATCGAAGAGGAGAGACAGGTTCAGCGTCCCCAAAAGCTAGACCCCCACAAGTTCCCCGGCTTGCACCCGTCCCTGGAGCAATTTGCGAAAACAGGCACTCTGAAGGAACTGGGCGTTGTCGATGCCGCTCTTGCGGTCGACCTGACCAAGCTGGGACGAAAATACGGCGTTCGAAGCGCTGCCTTCCTCACTCGCTTATACGTGTCCGCGGAGTTTCGACTTACGGTCAAGCTGAAGCATGCGGAAAAGAGAGATGACCATCTGGTAAGTACATTGTCTTTTCCAGTGTATGCATTCAAACACTTACGACCCCAGCGCCCGGTCAACTGGATCCTCTGTAACGTCAAAACCGAGACCGCGGTTATCCTGATTCCCGAAGAAGCAGAGCTACTAATCCCAATCATGCGCACCAGTCCAGCACGCTCCATGCATCTGCTTACCTACGCCGCCCCAGTGACGAAACGAATGCTACACTTCAACAGCCTGACCTACCACGCAGTTCCCTCGCTGCCCGCCCAGCACACATTCTCCCCCCGCCTCACATTCGAAGTCGGCATCTTTGCCGGCCGTCTCTACTTTAAGTACTCCGAATACGAGTTTATCCTCCAACAACTCGGTCTAACCTCTGCTCGTCCAAGCGATAGTCTTGGAAACCGCATGGCCTTCTTGCAGGAGTGGCTGGCGTTGAGACGTCAGGGGCAAGATATCTCGCACACGCCGATGGGATATGTCTGCGAACGGAGAAATTTGCGCGCCGACCATCCGTTCTTTGCGATAGCGGATCCCGTGAATGGGGGAGGAATCCTTCAGTCTAGTGGGTTTGTGGCTGAAAGTAGAGATGAAGAGGAGTTTGATAGTGGGGAGGATGATACCGGATTACAGGAGAATGAGGATGGGGATGGAGGGGATGATCATTTTGAGGAGGTGAAGGGGTATACAAGGGGTGAGGTTGGGGATGAAGCGGATGATGATGAGGAGGATGATGAGGAAGACTGAATGTATGACGTTGCGGACGATGACTGATGTACGAGTTCATATTTCGGGGTTTCTTTCGTGCTGCGGGTGTCTTCAAATTGTGGTGTCTCTCCCATGGCTTTCCTACGGATGAAAATCATGTCTGATTATGAGATTGAAAAGAGTCCTGTTACTTTGCTGAGAAGAGGCTTTCTGTTGACCAAAATTGTTGTACCGCTGCGCAGTGTCTCGATTCTCAATGCAATTGCCTCTCTCAAACCCATGGCATCGTAGCTATTCATACTGATCAGATGGGGTACTAGCATACCTCTCTCGTTGTCTGGACATCTCGATGGTGGAGTGATTTTGTTTCACAGCCCACTATCCATACTCAATGAATTTCCATTTTCGGAAAATCAGATTGGAAGACACCCTTTGCCTTTTTGTCGTCCCGACGGAACTGGGTACATCGCTTACCCACAAACAGAATTGCCGCGGTCATGTGATACACTATATTCCCACCGGTCTACCCGGGACGGGCAGCTCCGTCGCTAACTACGGAGTAGACTCCATCAGCACGGCACGGTGGCGGCTACGCTGCTTTAGGAAGTAAGGCGTCGGAATCGCCGGGTGTGTCTCAATCACACCGCCCTTCGTTGCTGACTTTCTGGGTTGAAACGATGGGATTGAAAATGAAAAATGAACACTTGAAGACTATTGTCAACGCTATCTAAACACCTCGCCAAGTCATTCAACAAATAATGTAAATCATCGGGGAATTTTCCCTATGCACCCAATCCCACCCCTTGAATACTCCTAGGATTCTTTCCTTCCCCTCCTGCCGCAAAATATATATATACCAGACAGGCATCCTTCCCTCCAACAACCCGAAAGATCTATAAAACACACACAGCCTCACCACCCCCCCTGTCCCAAGATCAAAAACTGAAAGAAGTGACTTACTTCACATTCCTCCCCGCCCCCCCGCCCAAAATACCGAAATACATCACCCCATAAACCACCAGCCTCCACCACTCCCATCCCGCACCCAAATCCTCCACTAGTATCCGACGGACCACACCCACCACCCCCCTAACCAGAACCAAAAGGAGCCATCTCCCCACACACCCGCCCACAAAGGTATACACATCCAGCAGGCCCTCAAATCCAAACGCTATCCTCTCAGCCAGGAAGTTTCTCATCACGGCAGACACGTATCCTTTGCATGTATCTTCATTGAATGATTCGAGGACGAAGGTATCCAGGAATGATAAACTGAAGCCTTTTCTGCAAAGCGAGAGGGGGAATTTGAATTTCTGGCTTCCGTGTGTGGCTGGCAGGGTCTTATTGTGGGATGATGGTGAGGATGACGAGGATGCAATGATAGATAGTAGAAGATTGGGATCGGAAACGAGGAGTCGTTGGGCGGTCTGGTCGACCTCGTGGGATGTGGGTTGGGTTTCGCTTTGGATGGCGGTGGAGAGCGTGGCGTAGGTTGGGAGACGAGTGTAGAAGGAGGGGTCGGTGGGTTCGATGGTAATAGATTGCGTTTTGGGGGCGGAGTTGGCGGTGGCGGTGGTGGTGATGGTGGAGATGGATTCACAGGATGGAGAGCGGATGCGGATGGTCTCGGTTGAGAAGGAGCGGCAGGGAGGTAGGTTAGTTCGATGGGGGGCGGGTGTGGAGGGAGATGAGATGCGTTAGGTAGAATCTAAAGATGGGTTCTAGGGCTCTAGTTTTCTCTTTGGTTAGTATGTTGTGTGATGGTATGCAGGGGTGATGGATGTGTGGGTTGGGTTGAAGGATGGGAAGGGGAACGGAGAAGAGAAAGAAGAGAAGAGAACATACAACTCCGACCCCGTCACATGGCGCCCAATACTCCCCGTCCTCACCGGCGGTTTACTCATCATGCGCATCAGCCCGGTAAACCGAATCCTCAGCGCCGTCGACACAATCGACAACGTCGTAAACACCCCGGGCAGCGTCCACCGACACAGAAACCCCAACAACTCCCAGGTCGTCAACTCCGTCGGATCAATCGGCTTCTCCGCGCATGTCATTCTCGTGGTCATCCTGACCTCGCCTGCATCTCCGAGCGTCGTCATATTTGAGAACGGCGCGTTCAGCCTCCACGACTCAGGATGTAAGGGATCCATGAATCGCGTCGTGACTTGGATGTCCATCTGCTCGAAGGAGGAGGCGAAGATGCGTTTTGTGAAGATGCCTTTGTAGAATGTGGATTGGGGGTTGGAGGGGAAGGATTGGACTTGGTGGAGGGGGTCGAGGTAGGTGGGGAGTTGTAATGGGTGGGTGGGAGCGTCGGAGACGCGGTTGAGTTTGAAGAGGACGTTTCGTTTCTCGTCGTAGGAGTTGTTGATTTCGATAATCATGGCGTCGAGTTCACGGGAAGAGTCGTAGAGGTACCACCATGTTACGATGCCGCGGGCCCAGCCTAGGAATTTGGGGACGCCCAGGTGGTAGGCGTATGGCCAGTGGGTGGGGTCTTGGTTCTGTGGGGGTAGTGTGTGTTAGTGTGGTGCTTTGGGGGGGGGGGGGGATGCAGTGAAGAAGGGGTTTGTACCTGGGATATTAAGAACTCGTCAAGCTTCTCGCGGAGATCAAGTTCGTGGCTCCCACGGTGAAGATAGCGTTTTGAATCGGAGCTGAACCAGCAGCTCAGATGCGACAGGATCCGGTTCCAGGTGAGTCCCTCGCCTGGAGGACAGTCCAAGTCAAGAGACTTGTCGTCCACAGCAAGGATATTTCCGATCCGACATCGCAGTCCTACTGGGGTTCCTAGAAGAAGGAACCGGTTGCTGAATCGGTCTTTTGCGGGTGTGAAGCGCAGGTGGTTGAAGGTGAAGGGGAAGAAGAGCGGTTTCCCGATGACTGTTTGGGACTTGTCGGATAGGGACACCAACTGGCGGGAAACAAGCAGCACCCGGAGCAGGGAGATGGTGAAAGTGATGAACAGGGTGCATAGTGCAACACACACGCCCGCTCCCAGGGCTCTGAGCCAGAACGCTGGGGTGTGAGACTGGTGTCCGACATAGAGAAGAAATATCACAATATCTTGAAGAATCATGATAATTGTGGGAAATCAGAACATGAGGGAGAAAATGAATGCCCCCGGATCTCCTGGATCCGATGAAGTGTTTGGTAAACAGAAGAGGAAAACCTTCAACAGTCTGCAGAAGGAACAACAGTTTCCTTCAGACATTTTATCCTCGAGAAGCGCACTCAATCCATCCCCGGGTAGGTGCAGAACTCGGCCCAGCAAACCAGGCAAGCTGAAACCGAGGTGGGATGCCTGAATCCGACCCAAAGTTCAGCCAGCCTCATGTGAGACTTTGTGCAGAGAAGCCTCCGATATAGAACCCAGCGACTGAATGCCCGCCGTGGCGCAAACCATCAGAGACCAAGTGGGCGGGCTCGTGCTTCCTCTCCAAAGCTGGCTGAGCTGAAGAAGGCCAGCGAACTGCCCGGTGTGGGGACACAATGTCCATGGCCGAGCAAAGATCGGGCAGACAGCGAGCGCGAAGAACGTAAACGAGCCGGTAACGCCGAGAACGGTGGAGTTCTGACTGTTCTGGAGAGATAGAGTTTTCCTGACAGGCGTTCACAGGTGCCATCTGGCTGGGGTGTCCTGGGCTGAGCTGACCCGGACGAACTGGCAAGAATAAGCGAGCATGCGGATTGGTGGTTTTGGGAGAAGATGGGGCTCTCCGACAAGCCACAGTGGGTTTTGGCTTCATTCCGATTCCGACGGCCTTCAGGCCACAACCTCCCCCGGGCTGGCCGAAGGCGGTATGCACGAGGCGCAGGGGGGGTAGCCCTACTTATCTTGGATAGCAGTGTTGTGGGAGACAACGAGGTCGACTATAAATTATTGGAGTGCTGGTTGCGTCTCAATGTGCTTTTTGATCTCGGATGATTATTCCATCACATCTACTACTATTGTTCCAGCTCCATAAACGTCGTCATGGATCTCTCATCACAGCCACCACGCCGAGTGATCATAATCGGGGCTGGTATCTCCGGCCTCGCAATGGCATGCCAGCTGAAGAGAAACTTCAACACAGAAGATTACTGGATTTACGACCGTCAGACCGGCATCGGAGGTGCCTGGTGGGCAAATACATGTCCGTACCTCCCTCCCCCATACTACTCCCAAGACCCGAACTGACAGCCCTAACCCGTGCAGATCCCGGATGCGCCGTCGACGTCCCCGGATTCTGCTACACCTTTTCCTTCGCCCCCAACCCCGGCTTCACGAAAGTATTTCCCTCGCAGCCAGAGATCCTCGGCTACTTGAGCGATGTCGCGACACAGTATGGCGTGGACCGCCATTTCACGGGTGGAGTTGAATGGACAGGTGCCGTTTGGCAGGAGAAGACACAAACGTGGATTGTCACACTACAAGACTTGAGGACGGGTCTGTCATTCACACAGGAATGCCAGGTTCTGATCTCTGCTGTTGGGGGGATTGTCAACCCGAACAGTCTGAATATCCCTGGCGCAGAGACCTTCCAGGGCCAGATCATGCACACTGCGAGATGGAGACACGATGTTGATCTGACAAACAAACATGTGGCTGTTATTGGGAATGGAGGTACTCTCTTCTCTCTACCCCCCTTTCCAGGTCAATACTAATTGTGATAGCATCCGCCGTCCAACTCGTCCCAGCGATAGTCGACAAAGCTAAATTTGTCACTCAATTCATGAGAGTAATATAAAATCCACATCCATCTGCCAACCTCATCACGCACCATCTAATCTAATCGTATAACCACAGACACCTCACCACATCGTTGAAGCGACAAACTACGACATCTCACCACGATGGAGGGTTCTTTTCCGCCACATCCCCATCCTGCTTTATCTCCTCCGCCTCTTCATGCTTCTATACATGGAAACCGCCTTCTTCCAATTCCGAACCACCCCAAGCGGCAAACACGGTCGAAAGGCTTCTGAGAAAGCAAGTCGGGAATATGTGCAAAGCATGGCTCCTAGTACGCTCATACCTTCTTTCCCCATCTCAATCATTAGCGATGTTTTGCGACTAACTGCCGATGTAGAAAGATACTGGGACCTCCTCATACCCAGCTATGAATTCGGCTGCAAGGTACACACACACACCCCTCACCCAATGTATCCAACCAGCCCTATCCCCCTTCCAGCCAGCCAACTGACGATAGCATGATAAATCCAGCGCCGCATCTTCGACCGCAACTACCTCACCACCCTCTCCACCGCCCAAAACCTCCACCTGACCAACGACCCCATCACCGAAATCACCGCCAATTCGATCCGTACCCGCTCTGGCGCTGAAGTACCGGTCGATGTTATTGTACGTTCTCCCCAACCCATCCCTCCCCCTCCCCTTGAAACCCAAGTACCTAATGCCCGCTCCAGCTCCTAGCAACCGGCTTCTCCCTAACCCAATACACCACCCCCCTGCACGGCCGCTCCCACAAAACCCGCGACACGCACTGGACGCAATACGGCCACAAAGCGACCTTCAAGACGGTGGCGATGCACGGGTTCCCCAATTTCTTTTACTTGTTGGGCCCGAATTCAGGGAGGTTGTATACGTCGACGGTGCAGATTATTGAGAGGTATGTCTAACTCCCTTGCACTGTTTTTTTTTTTTTTTTTTTTTTTTTTTTCATTCTTCATTCCTTTCCATTTTGACCATCCGGGATGGGTTTGTGTTTGGATGATACTGATAAATATATATGTGGGTGGGTAGTGCGGTTGACATGACCATCTCGGTAATCAGACCGATTCTGCAGGATGAGATGGTTTCGGTGGAGGTGAAGGAGGAGAGTGAGCGGGAGTGGGATGGGAGGCTGCATCGGGCGATGGAGGGGCTGGTGCATGGGGGAAGGGGGTGTGATAGTGTATGTTCTGTTCTGCTCCCTTCTCTTCCTTTTTTTTTTTACTTTTTTTTTTCAAGATTGATCGGGGTTGTGGGTGCTAACTGCTAGCGTATACAGTATTTCGTGGATAAGGACACAGGTAAAAACTGGTTCGTGTATCCGTGGAATTCGTTTGATCTGTGGGTGTCGACGCATTGGGATGTCTTGAAGGATTGGGAGTATCGGATGTGGAGGTGATGGTAATCTCTTGGCTGGCTTCTTCTATTTTGATTTTATCTTTAGAGATTGGACTGGAATATTGGGTTGGTTTGCAATTTATTAGCGTTTTGGAAGCGAGATATAGATTCAGATAACGCGTGGTTATTTTTTTGTTTTTTCGGTTGTAATAGAGCAATCCATAAGATCAATTAATATTCAGGCCTGAGTTCCAGCGTAGTATGCATCCCACGAGAACCAGTCGAAGGTCGTATCGAACGCCCGCCTACCTCCTCCAGCAGACGGGCGAGTAGTCGGATTCTGCCCCTCTGTTCCAAGAAGTGACCATGTACTGTCCATATTGATGTCGGAAGGAAGCCACTCGAGATAGGTAGCGAGATCTAGTTCCCCTATATTAACAGGGTCAGGACTGTTGTCAGTCTGAGTGCAACAGTGAGCCGCGTCTGTAGTTTCACTGTCAATCTGTGGCGTAATTGAGAGACGAGATGGATTCGCAACATTGCTTGTTTCAGCTTGGAAGACATGAACCCGCGCAAGTCTAAGGAATGCAGCGGCAGCATGCTGGAGGCGGGAGCAGACAGTAGCCAGCAGGCACACCTGCGATTGCATGTCGGCGAAGTAGTTCATTGTTATGGCTAGAAGACCTAAATCTCGCTGGAGGGCTGGCAGAGGGCCACGGTGGTGGATTATATGTTCGAAGATCACGAAGAAAGGGGTGAAGGGGAAGTAGAGGAGTTGCCTGTAGAATTGTGAGTGAAATATCTTGGGGCAGAAATTGTGCACATACCACATGACTCCATTGTACACCGAGCTCCAGTTCGACACCATTGACGGCAGAATTCCAATAGCTTCGCGAGCAAACTCTAGGCACTGTTCCGAGTCCGGCTCACTCCCCTTGAGCAACAGAATCCTGAGGTGCAAGTACTGGAACCTGAGGCTATCGATTCCCAATCTCATCTCGTAAACATGGGTGTTTTTCGATGACGCGCTGACGAGATCAACGGTTCTTGATAGTCCCTGGACATTGTGTGAGTAATTTAAAGCCGTAATGACATCAAATATTGACGAACCCTGTTTGCTTCCAAATACCAAGTGTCGAGTTTTGACCCAATCCTATTCTTTGTGGGCGAGGCCGCCCCTGTTGCTAGAGCCTCCAACGCAGCTCCCATCAACTTGGCCAAGTCAAATGATCTTTGAAGGAACTGGCTACCGAAGTGAGAGGCATGTGAAACAGTGGGCGCTTTACTGGGTTCTGCGATATCATGGGGACGAAATAGGAGTAAGGAGCGGTCTGATGGGAGCGGGACATCGCGATACAATGTTGTCGGCAAGAATGCCGGACGGCCGAAGGCAAGAGCACAAGACTTGTCAATCATGAACAAGAGCCAGAATAGACACAGCCGTTGTTCCTGGAGTGATTCGGAAAGCTGGGGGGCCGGGAAATGGAATCCCAGGGCCTCAGCCTGCCGACACGCGTGACCCAATAGCATCCAGGATAGATTTGGTGCAGCATAATCCTCGCCATGCATGGCTAGCAAAGCAAACATTTGCACATTGGCCTCGCGTGGTTCAAGAAAGATGTTGCTATCGTTCAGCGCAACTTTCACATTATGCCGGAGGATCACTTTCTCTTCACTGTCGTCATGGTCGCGCGAGGTGTTGGATAGCAGCAGATAATTGATGTAGACAACCCACGCTTTCTCCTGGACGCTTTCTGGTTCGAATAATACCTGTTTTATCACGTCTTCTGAAGGCATGCGGAAGAATGGTTCGGCAAGCTCAGAGCACTCCAGGACTTCTAATGAGCTCAAAGTTAGTCATGACGCAGGTAAAATAGCAGCGAGACGCGAGCTTACGACTCAGTAAGCGGTATCCCATAGCCCTGGAGGGCACATAGAAAGTGTTCATGTCTTCTGAAGGATGGCGATCAACCCGCGCAGTGGTAAGACTTTTTGATAGATATTGAAGCTCCGAGTAAGCGTTTTGCCGACTTGCTTCGCTCAGTGAGCCAGGAACTGCCTCGATGTTGACTGACGTGTCACTCAGAAAGGAGAACGAATGCGATGGGGCGATGTAAAGCGAATCTTTATTACTCTCTGCTGCAGTTGTTGGATTGGAAGAGTCTCGCTTTTGAGTACCGCCTCCTCTCTGGGAAGTCTGTAGGTGGGAAGTGTGTCTGGGGGAGGTCTGTCTCTGGGGCGGTCTCTGGGGCGGTCTCTTGGATGATTCTCTCCAAAGCAAGTCTCTCTGGGACTGGAATGGCCCTTCTTCGGGCGGCTCTCTATGTAACCCCTCCCTATGTGACGGTTCTCTCTGAGAGACTTGCGCGATTGTCTGCAAGGCTTTCTCAACTGAGTCGTTCAAAGACTGAACCGTCCGCTCGAGGCGCTGCAACCGGTCCTCAATACTGCTCTCTTTCCATTCACTTCAAAAGCCCTCAGTCAGCCAATCAACCTCGGTCTAGTGATTATAATATTGACATTCTTACCGACGACTGAAGCTTCCCCGAGGAGAAGACGACCTGTCGCGCCCATACTCGCAACCACCAGGCCACGCCCGGCAGGTACTACATTTGGGTAGTTCCCGGGAGCATCTCCCAAATATCAGTAATGCCACATAAAACCGCTGCAAAGTGAGCCATACTTGAGTTTCTTCCGTTGGCAGTGGTCACACTGCAGCGATGTATGTGAGTGGCAAGCAGGTCAAATGATTGGCGTTTTCCTTACCGCAAATCGCGCAAGTCCCTGGCCTTGTTCCAACGACTTTCTGGATTCCATTCTATCTGGACTTCCGGAAGACCCCCGATCATCCCTAGTGAGGAAAAAGAGCACAGATGGAATTCGAGCACGTAAAGGCAGAAAGTCGGAGCCTGTTCCGGGGGGTCCGGGACCCGCCACGCCGATTGGCGGATTTCGGAGGGTTACCAAAAGCCGAGATCCCAATGGGCCAATGAGCATGAACTGCTCCGGGGAACCCTCCGGAGCCGTCCGGTGGTAGCCAGTCGCATGAAGCCCTAAACGATGAGCAAGTAGTTGTGACCAGAGGAGTCAAGACAGCCATGAGGTTATAAAGGTCGGCTATGTCTCTGGTCTTGGTCGATCATAAGTTACCGTGCCTGTATATTCTTCTATCATTTTCTTCCACATACTCAAAGACATCAACAATGAACCCGTCCATCGCCATCATCGGTGGCGGACCAAGTGGGCTACTGTTTGCCCGACTCCTGGAGGTGAACGGAATCACAGACTATGTCGTCTTCGAGCGCGACGAGTCACCCGTACCAGGTCCATGGCAGCAAGGAGGCACCCTTGATCTTCATGGCCCTTCCGGTCAGTTGGCGCTCAAACGAGCGGGTTTGTTTGACAGATTCAGTGAAGAGTTCGCCCGGTGGGATGCCTCGCGGATGCACATTGTGGACCCAAATGGCGAGACTGTTGTCATGTTCGGTGAAGATGACCGCAATTCTCCGGAGATCGACCGCTTGCAGCTTCGTCAGTTGCTGTTGGACTCAGTTCCGTCGGAAAAGATTCGCTGGGGTCATGGTGTGAGTGCCTTGGAGAGGAGAACGGACGAAGAGCCTTCGGATAAGGAAAGGGACAATGGTTGCATCATTCGCTTCAGCAACGGCAGCTCTGCATCCGGATTCCGACTGATTGTTGGTGCCGATGGCACCTGGAGCAAGGTCCGTCCTCTGGTAAGTGGACCAACGAAGCTCCATCATCTAGATAGCGACTAATGCTATGGCATTCAGCTCACGCCAACTAAACCCGTGTATTCTGGCAAGATGTTCATTGAAGGGAGCCTATCCATTGATAACCCGAGTTATGCGATGGCCAGGGAAATGGCAGGTTCAGGAGGCATGCTAGCTATCGGCAACAAGAAAGCGATCGCTGTGCAGCAGCTCGCCGACCGGACGTATCGTGTGTACTTTGGATTGACTGTACCCGAGAACTTCTATAGCCATCGCAGCAGTGTCATAGCCGACGATCTCACCGACAGAACAGAGGCTATGCGCAGCCTGTTGTCGTCTTCGAGTGATTACTTCGCGACCCACGGCCCACAGCTCAAAGCCTTTGTTACAAACGCTGAGGGGCCCTTCCGCTCTTGGCCGCTATATCGTTTCGACCCAGAGGTAGTCGGCTGGGCTCGTAATGTGTCTCGCGGGGTTACCCTTCTGGGGGATGCTGCACATGCGACGACACTGTTCGTTGGTGAAGGTGTCAACTGCAGCATGCATGATGCTGTCGTTCTGGCAGACTCTGTCGTGGAACACTGCGGAAAGGGCACAAGCTTTTCCAATGACAATGCAATGCTAGAAAGCGCTCTGGCTTCGTATGAGAAGGACATGTTCTTGCGTGGACGAGAACTCATCCGGCGGTCCACAGAAAGTGAAGCCACCATATTTTCAGACGACGCTCCTGCCCGATTCATGGAGTTTCTCACAGCTCTCATTGCGAAGAGGGATCATGGAAGATAAAGAAATGGTTCACCTTTGAAGGTGGAAGACCTTTTGTATATTAGCAGCCAAGCATGCCAGGTTATACATGTTGTATATCGTTCAAAGAGAAATGGAAAAAGATGGTCAAAAAAAAAGCGACGCAAATGACTAGTACACCCGTGTGGGAGAAGCAAGACTCAGGTAGCCACTACTCTTTCTCTTTCTCTTCAGCGATCCAGTCCTGGGCTTTCTTCAATGCAGCCTGGTTATCCTCGACTGACTTGTCAAGCCCCTCAATCTGATTGTCGGCCATTCCCTTAGCTTCATTAGCCTCGGGTGGAATTTGAGCAGCCCATTCTCGCAGAGCATCAAGCTCCCTTGTCAAGATCACATCGAGCTCGGTTCGTCTTTGGACATCTCTCATTGTATCATCCTGATCCAAATCCTTGATTCCGGCCACAGACTTTGGTGACCTGCCCGGACAAAGTCGGTCTGCGTCGGCTTTGGCAGCTTCGTAGGCCTTCTCGTAAGTTGCTACCTCTTTCTCCGCTAGATAAAATGCGGCCCGGTAGGTCTTCGCTTCCTCGGGATCGGACTCCTTGGATTTTTCAGCCCAATCGCGATGATAGCTCAGGTCGTTTTGTTTCCAGCCTAACTCCCGCTGAACGGCGACCAGTTCCCAGAGCGGCAAGTCCTCTGGTCTCTGACATACTCCATTGGGACACAATCTGTCGGCTTCCTGCTGCGCCTTCTTCAGTTCCTCGGTGTTTCTGAGTACAGATCGCTCTGCATTCCAGAGCTCGAACCGAGCCTTCCACGTCTCGTTCAAGTTTTGAGCAGCATCCAGTGCCTCCTGGGCCTTTTTAGCACGATCCGCCTTCCCATTCTTCCAGTCCGTAAACTTCTTGACCTCACCCAATGGGTTCTCTGCATCTCCCTTGGCTCTCAGCGCGCAGAATTCCCTCGCCTGATCGACCAGAAAAGCGTCGCCATCGAAATTGTCCGGCCACCCATTCTTCTCGAACAAAGACTTGAGATCCATATCCCAATGATCCCAACAGAGGTCGCTGTACTCAGTACCACCCGGTAGTTCCTTTAACTCACGATACCAGCGCACCATATCCCGAAGCACATCTCCGGCCGGACGGTTTGCAATATGGGCGAAGTAATTGCGGTTGATGCTGTCTGGCTCTCCGTCCTCTACGCCCTCCAACGCGGGGTCGGTGGAGGACCATCCCTCCTGGTCAATAATCCAAATATGGTGTTGTCGGGTATCGTAGACAATGGCGCTTCCGTGGTTCCCCAGCAAAGACAACGGTGTCACCCAAGGACGCATGTAGGGCCCATCTTCATCCTCGAAATTCTCTTCGGAGGGACTCCCATAGAACGGATCACGGCCTTGTTCCACGTCATCAGACTTCCGGAAATCCGCAAATATGCCGCCGTTGAAGAAAGCCGTGTTTGTCGCGAAATCTTTATCGATGTAGGGTAGTATGCTGTAGAGGTAGATGACTGCGGGGTCTAGACCATACAGAAGATCGGAGACGTTGTGTGGTCCGGGATTGATCGCCTGAGCATCGATGTAGCGCATTGCAGCGAGAGTCTTGTATATCTCCAGCATGAGGTCTGCAACTTCGTGTAGCTGAGCCTTTTGGGCCAGAGAGATGCCGTCCATCATGGGTGTCGTGGTGAGGGACCTCAGAAGGTGTAGAAACGGCAAGGTGTTGCTTGGCCAGAGAGGAATGAGCAGGGTCAAAACAAGACCCAGGAGAAGTTGGTATATAAGAGGCATCTTGACAGAGAACTGCCAAAGATCGCGTTCGACGGTGCGCGTCGACCTTCTCATGTTTAAAAAGTGAGTGTCGATACGAGAAGGTGGAAAATGGCGCCCCGTCGAGAGTCTAGACCCGCCCCGGATTGGCTGGCGGTTCGTGCCGCCATGGTTGCCCGGTTTCTGCCTGGATCCTGGCGCGGGTGCCTGGACTGCCTGAACACTGCCTGGATGGTGCCTGGATAGTGCCTGGATGGTGCCTTGGCGGAGGGTGCCTTGGCAGTTGGTGCCACGGTGCCTTGATGCCTTGGTGGTGCCGGGGATCGGCTGCCTTCCGGACGCGTCTATCATCGTCGCACTGAACACCCGCTTCATCAACTCAACACCTTCATTTCAGAATCTTAGCCAAACGCTACATATCATTTTTTGAAACATAAGACAGAAATTATTTCTTATCTTGAATTGAAAAGTTCTACGAGCAGGACTTGAATGTTTCCAGACCAGTCCTGCTCAAAATAAAGCTCAGCCAATATATATTATTGCCCTCAGACTGCGCTCGACCCTGTGCCGGCAACTCCACCAAGACCCCACTAAGTACTCTCCTTCTCCGGCGATGATTCATACTCGACATCAAATTCCTGCGTAAAGGTGATTGCATTAGGGGATTTATGATGCACCAGGTCCATCTCGTCTTCGTCGATCGTCGGCGTGGTCGAAACTGAGAGGTCCGCTTTCGATTTGTACCCTGTCCGAGGCGGCGATCCCACGATGACTTTCGTCCGCGTTAGCTCGTGGCTCAGTTGATCTGTCAAATATATCCCCCCCTCCTCTTGCAGGTGATCGACAGATTGCGGACCCGACACACCATACTGATTTTCTTGGGTGGAAAAGGCCTTGGGGAGCATGCGCGATAAGAATGTCTTAAGCAGCGGCATGTTGGCACAGATGACGGCCAGTTCCGGCTCCAGCACACTCCACATTATACCCATCTGCGCGGAATATGTGACGTCGGTGAAATCAATGGCTATGAGCGAGAAGAGACGAACGATGCTGATGGCCGATACCCTGGACCGTCAGATGAATTTCTCGGATTGAGGAGGATAACTCACAGTAATCCTAAGCAGAAAACGAAGCACAAAGCCAATTTCTTTGGAGTGCCCAACTGCAGTCTCCAAACATGAGGTAATGGAAGTGTCATTACCATCAAGTCCGTGAGGAGGTTTAGCATGCCGGCCACAATATACGCTGCGTGTCGGTTGCCGCAGACTCCATTGGGAATAGTTATATCCCAATTGTACGCGAGCGGGCGACAGGTCAGAAATGCTTCCAGGATAACGCTGGTGGCCCAAAGCCAGGAAATGACCATGACGATAGTGGTGCAAATCCTGAAAAAACGCTGCCTGCCAAAGATACGGCTGAAGAAGAGCATCATGGAGGTTTTGGTCACGGCCATGACAACTCCATAGACAACCTCCAGTGCGATCTCACTCTGGTTGTGTATTAGCCAGACTGCCATGCTCCTTCCAATCTCATTAAAACGGCATTCTGCGCACCTTGAGCGTGACAATGATTGCCACCGGGTCGATATCGCTAACATGACGGCCTGTTCCTCCACGAATAGTAACTGCATCTGTTAGCTTCGTCGTGTATTTGGGTCTAAATATCCACGCACAGATATACTGCAAAGCGATGCCGGCATAAACAAGGCACTGAGATGTTAGCTTGGAATATTTACTAGAGGAAATATCTTACCAAGGCCACTAAAATCAAATAGTCCGATGCTCCTGCTTTGATTCGATGGATTCCCAGAGCATAAAATCGCAACACTGTCGTAATCGTTGCAAGCACGCCAAAAAGTGTCACAACAATGGCTGGATTCCGAGACAGTGGTGTCCTGAGATCATACGTCACCGCCATCTTTTACTATTTACTTCAACCATGTACTCCATACAAGATCATGACATGGGCAGACATCTTATTTAAGTGTTTGTCGAGTCTGTCTGGATGACATGGTGGCAAAATCGGTCAGGGTGCCTCATGATAGGAATGTGTACAAAGAAAGTGCAGATCAGGCGCTAAAAGGAATCAATCAAAGAAAGCCAATCCCAATAAAGCTACACAGTATGAAATAGTGACGGCATACAGGAATTATATCCATCGAAGCTATACTTGAATGCATTTAGTTCCAAGCATGGCGTTTCCAATTCTGTAAAATGACCGTGCTGAAACTGGTCCCCGGCAATCGCGTCGTCAACCATGAACCGGGCTTTCTCCTTTATCTAGGCCCCCCAGGTAGATCGCCTACGTCACTACTCCTTCGTATGACTTGCATGAATAACATGACAGTCCCAGGCTGACTCGCAGACGTTGTTGGAGCTAACTGAACGGTGTGTTCACCAAGTGGAGGTTAGAGCAGCCTGCCCACCCAGAGTGCCTGGCCATCACACAGCCGCATGTGCCGTGTCAGTCCCACCAGTGGATCTGCACCTTGTTCCTGTTCGCTGGGTCGTGTACTTTGTTATATGACTAGTGGATCTGACCGCGATAACAAGTATTTAAAGTCCGTGACAGCTACTCCATTTGAATCCCCATGCACCCTGCCGCTGAACTCGTTGAACTCACCACAATGGTAGCCGATACCTCGTCCCTATATGACCTCCACCAGGTATATAACTATGTCGTTGTGGGCGGAGGGACAGCGGGGTCGGTCGTCGCGAATCGACTCTCGGAAGACCCGAGATTCAGTGTGTTGGTGTTAGAAGCTGGAGGCAATAGTGTCGGCGATCCCCGGATCACTCTTCCGGGTCTAGCTGCCAACACTTATTTTGATCCGGAATTTGACTGGTGCCTCACCAGTACGCCACAGGTATAAACTCAACTATTTTCCCCCTTGGCGCCTCTCGCTAATCATATTTCGAATAGGAAGCACTCAACGGCAGACGCATCGCCGAGCCCCGCGGGCGCACTTTGGGCGGTTCCTCTGCCATCAATCTGGGCATGGCCATCTACCCCAGTCGCAGCGATATTGATGCATGGGAGAGAGACTAGGAAACTCTGGATGGAACTGGGGATGTCTGTCTGGTTACATCCGCAAATCACAGACGTTTACTCCTCCTTCAGACGAGATTCGCGACCAGCTGTCGCTCGACTATATCGACCCGGCGGTACAGGGCACCAGTGGCCCCGTGCATGTTTCCTTTGGCAATGGGCCATTTTCCGCCTTCAACGCTGCGTGGCCTAGAACATTCGATGCTTTGAACCACCGATTGACAGGCGACCCAATGTCGGGTCGGGCAACTGGTGCCTTCCTGCAATCCGGGAACCATTCACGCCACCTCCCGCACACGCAGTCATGCCGGTGTCGCGTACTATGACGATGAAGCAGCCCAAAGGATAAACCTGAGGGTAGTCACGGAAGCATTAGTGGAGAGGATTATCCTTGACAAGACACGAGAAGGCGATGTCATTGCGACGGGTGTTCAATTTGTTGGCAAAGACGGCATCCGGCGTGCGATATCTGCCGCAACAGAGGTCATTATGGCTGCTGGTGCCATCAAGACGCCCCATTTACTCGAGCTTTCCGGTATCGGTAACGCAGACCTTCTTCAAACCCACGGAATCGAACCGCTCATCAACAACCCGAACGTTGGAGAGAACCTACAAGAACACGGCTTTGTCCCATTCAGCTGGGAAGTAGCCGACGGACAGGTGACAGGCGAGGCGCTCCGCGACCCAGAAATTGCCAAAGTCGCCATGGAGGCGTGGCAAAGCTCGGGAGCAGGACCACTCGGTCTCTGTCCCATTTCTTCAGCCTTTATGACTCTCCCAGAGCTGCGGGACGGTGAACTCCAGGGCCTGCTAAAACGGTATCTGGATAAGGAAGTCCCCCAAAGCCGAACCGCGCAATATCAAATCCTGCGCCAATTGCTCGAAGACGTCGACGAGCCAACCGGACAATACACAATGGCGCCATTCCAAATCACGCCCGAAAAAGGCCCCAGCCCCAAGGGAATCTATCTACGGCATGAGCGAGCCAGAATGTTTTGTCAGCATCGTGGCCGTGCTTAACCGGCCTTTCTCACGTGGATTCGTACATCTTTCCTCACCAGACCCGACAGTTTTACCAATCTTCGACCCGAAAATGCTGTCGCATCCGCTAGATCTGGAGCTCCAGGCACGGCATGTGCGGTGGCTGGAAACTCTGGCTGAGACCGAGCCCATGGCGTCGTTGTTGAAGCCGAATGGGCGGAGATTGCACCATCCAAAGCAAGTGTCAAGTCTGGAGACGGCGCGTGAGCTTACTCGAGACCGCATCGTGGCGCATTACCATGTTGTGGGCACGGCGGCAATGATGCCGAGGGATCTCGGGGGTGTTGTGGATGATCAATTGATGGTTTACGGGTGTCGCAATCTGAGGGTTGTGGATGCTAGTATTATTCCGCTAATTCCTCGGGGGAATATTCAAGCGACGGTGTTTGCGGTGGCGGAGAAGGCAGCTGATATTATCAAGGGGGCTGATAATGGGGCATGAAAGGAAAAGACTCCGATTTTGAACCGAGGTCCTGGTCTAGTTAACAACGTAGGTCCAGGTGCTATCCTAGACTCGTCTCTTCGTATATTTGACAGGGCTTTCTCTTTGCTTACTTTTGCTTCTGTCCTTCTCCTTTTTTTTTTATCTTGTTTCGCTGCTAAGGTGTTCGCATAACCTGGGAGACTCTTCACTTGAATCTCTTACATGATTATTCACATTTATTGATCGATATCTTTTATATTGGGTTATTGATGAGGAGTCTGTTCAAAATGTTTGTGGTAAACTATTCCTGCGTGAATACAGGTATGATGTCGTCCTGACAGAGGTGCGTTGCCCCGTTTATTTTCTTCCTCTCTTTCTATTTTCTTTCTTTCTTTCTTTTAAGTTTCCCTCCTCTGCCCTCATTCTTCCTCTCATCCTCCTTTATATTTTTTTCCTCCTAGCTATCTATTCAGATGCTTCGCAGGCACAAGATCTTTTGTCCGCAAGGCCTTCAATATGACTTCCCACACTAGCATCGTCCGGAAGAAGCTGAATTCCTTGTGGGAGAAACTGGTAAAGGACCGGGAATCTGTTCCAGATGGCCATGTGGATCTAGAAAGGTACAACATTGGCCATGTTTCTCAGTTTAATTTTGAAGATATGAGCATTGTGTCTCACGCCGATGCCCCACCTGTTCTGTTTGAACCGATGTCGCTGGAAGAGCTTCGGGCGTATCCTAGAGACCCAGCTACCATGCTTCCGTTCATCGACTATGATGCAGAAAGCGAAGATACGCTGGACTGCGCATTGGAATCTTGCAATTTCATAGAGACCTGTGTGTCTAGAGAGCTTGTTATCCGTCGAAGGATTCATGAGATTTGGTATGCTTGTTTTTTCACTACTAAGGGATTCTCTAACAGAAGTCTAGCTTACCCAGTCCTTTCGCTTTTGACCCTCCATATCGACCGTATCCACATGGGTACTCCTGGCACTACTCTGAAAGACTAGAGGTAGAAGGAGAGAATGGAGTCATCAATCCACATGTCATCGCAAACACATATCAGTTCTGCGACCATGCCCAAGAAAATAGGATACTTTACGGGGAGCTTGCAGCGTTGTTGGATTGCATGAAGCGTCGTGCGAACCAAAGAAAGGTTGAGGATCCAGAAGAACAAGAAAAGCTGTTCTGGAGAACGCTTGATGATGGAACCAGGATGGAATTGCCTGAAATCGATGTTACCAAGTACGAGTATCAGTTCCCAGCTGAGAAACATTTTCCTGTTCTCCTTCTATCATATGTGAGACCCAAGCATGCAAGAATCTTATATGCATGCATGGGTGGTCCGCAGATTACAATTCGCCAGTCAAAGCTCTATTCATTCGAGACAAGAGCGATTGCGCCCGTGAATCTCTTTGCTCGATATCTTTTGAGCACTGCTCTGATGACTGACTGATAAAATACTCTACCCGACTCCCAGCGGAAAGGGTTGGCTTGTCTCTTACTTGCTGATACTCCATTCCTTGATTTCCTGGGACCCGGGTTGGGAAGTTGACTTTCTTTTCTGAACCTTTCAAGACCTGCTCGATTAATGGGTGTCTGGCTTTTCTAGAAGGCAGGGTACCAGTCCGCCAGCGAGGGTATTGAGCCTCACCTTGGAGTGGGGCAGCCACTCGTTGGAGAAGATATAAAAAGCTCAACTATGTGGTTATCATTTTCCAAAATTCAATATCTTCTTCAATGGTTCTTAAGCCCTCCTCTTTTGAGAGGCCCCGATAGCAGAATTTACAATCAGATGAAGAAGTTGAAAAGTTTCCTGCGTGTGTTTTTAACTGCTTTCCCAAATGCCGCCGAAGGAGTAGGTGCCTGAAACATAGACGCGGACCACGCCATCTCCAACACGCGTTGATCACAAACTGAACCTCGCTGCTCTTCCTCCCTCTCTTCTTTACTTCCTTTCCCTGCCTTGCTTCTTTCATATATTTTTCCACTCGTCCCCCCCCCTCCCCATCCAATCAAATACCACTCTCAAAATCCTCTCTTTCCTTTGTCTTTTTCTGCAATGGACACGATGTCATCTCACTAGCCGATCAATCAACCTCGATTGGGTTACATCGCATAATCGTCATGTTTATGGTCAAGAGTTACTCGCCCATCTCCATCGCTTCTCTCTTCTCCCTCCCTGACATCTCCCGTTAGTAAATGGTCGAATACCTGACGGATTTATCGTGATCGAAGTTAGCTTTCTTTTTTAGTCTATCTTGTTTTCCGGACCACCCCCGACTGACTTTCTATGGGTAACATCTATCTACGGTTAGGAAACGGTCGAAAGCTGACTGATTTATCACCGTTGAAGTATGTTTTCTCTTTTTGCTTTCGTTATTGCTTTGTCTCTACCAGTACTGACAGACTCTCTTGACCAAATTAAATACAATTTAGGTCTCCATGTCCATCATTTCCCTTTCCTCTATGGGTGATACCTGCCTACAATGAGAAACGCGTCGGATATCTGACGAATTTATCATGCCTGGATCGGAGTTTCCATTCTTTTTACAGTCATCTTGTGAGGGACCCAAAAATGTCACACGTTTGCCTTTGGCTCTTCTTCGAAGTCATCATACCGAGGTGCCTGAAAATGGCAGCCATCAGGCACCGGCGTTTTCTACCTCTGCCCATCCTTGACGCCGTCATTCCGAGATGCTTGTGCAAGGAAATCTTCCCAGGGAAGATAGCAAGAGCAGGTGCTACAAGAAAAGGCGCAATAACAGTCGCAACGATAGTCGCAACAACCGGCATGACACTGGCCGTTGGAACACCTCCTCGTCCTCCTGGGCATAGCCCTCACCAACCAATCCTCTCCTCGCAAACATACCACTCCTAACCCAGAACCTTCCCGAATGATAAATATCAATGGAAAGCTCTCCACGATCAGCAATCCGGTGACACAGTATTGAATCGCGTTAACTGCGCGGTTAAGCACTGGCCCTGCGCAGGATGGATCGGCCGCGAACAGACACTCCCCTCTGTTGCTACTCTCGTACTCACCATCAATTACCCCAGTCTCAGAAAAGTCCTCTCTTGAAAGAAAATAATCACATGCACCGACTGGCCGCGTCAGATGACTGCGAACCGAGGGTTGGTACAATAGTGACGGCAAGCGGTCAAACGTCTACGAGGAGGCCGACTGGAGAGTCGGGGCTATGGTTATTGAAGCGCATTTGAATACGTTGAAGATCTTCATCACTGCTTTTCAATCTGCCAAGATTATCATTTGCGTCATCTTGATTTTGAGGAGTTAACCTGCGGCAGACGTACACTGGTTCTCGATGGATGAGGTGTCGCTAATGCCTATGTTGGCAATGTATGTCTGCGTGCTGGGTGCAGCCCGGTGGACTACGTTGCATGTTCAACTGTAAGAGGGGATGGCATCAATTTGGCCTTCTCTGCCAATGCTGAACTATTACTTCTTACACTTGCAGTTATCTACCTAACTTCAGATACCTTCTTGCCTGCCCGATTAGCAAGCCGTCGCTAAGGCATTAGTTTCTTCTACAAGCTTTCTAGTCGATACATGGAACTCTATCATTGAACCACTTAGCGTCTCAAATGCAGCATACCCTCAAATACAAGGATACCTAAAGGTAAACTCACATATGCCAGCAAATTGTTGACACGGAACAAATAGTGCAGGAAGGATCACCCTGGACGGGCCATAATGGCGGTGCCACGTCCGGCCTGATGTCACCGCAGATCGGCCACCAATAATCATCCCATCCTCCCGGGCTTCATTAATCGGACGGCACAAATATCAGCCTTGACATCATCGCGACACAACGCCGAATTCCCATTGATCCTCCAACCGACATATCGTCATCCCGTGTCCCCTGGTCCTATCTATCGTGACCTCTGGAGAAAACACCCCCATCCATCACACGTGGGAATGAGGCCACAACATCACACCTCCAATGATCGACACCACCTATCACCCTACTCTAGCCACACATTAAGCATTGATTAATTAAACTAACCCCCAGACCGTTTTCTATCATCCGCCACTGACGTACCCATCGCTCTTCCCCAACAATAAAGGAGATATATACTCACTCCATCCCATCCCAGCCACCAGCATTTCTACATCCCATCCATATCCCCACACATACAATACAAGCATCCCGAGCGACCAAATCCACTCCCCACACCCACAGGAAGATCAATACAAAATGCCCCTCTTCCACCGCTCCTCCGTCTCCAGCTCCGACCGCAGCAGTATCGACGATCCCAACACCCACCACGGCCACCGATCCTCCCACCGATCCTCCGGCTCCCACTCCAGCCGTGGCTCCGCTTCCCCTTCCTCCCGCCACAGCCACAGCCACAGCCATTCCATCTTCGGCGGTAGCAACAGCTCCCGCAAACGTGAAGACCCTTCTGTGAGCGCTGCTAAGGAGCAGGTCTCGCGTGCGGAGACTGCCGAGCGCGAGGCTGATCGCGCCCTTGTGGCTTCGCGTCGTGCCGTGCGTGAGGCTAGAGAACATGTCAGGAGGTTGGATGAAGAGGCTAAGATTGAGTATTTTTCCCTTCCTTTGATCAATGTCGTCATCTTCTCTCCTTTACTCCCTCTTTCCTTCCTTTTTTGTGGGACTTCTTCTAACGAAGTCGTACCTAGGGCTCGTGCTGCCAAGATGAAGCAGGATCAGGTCAAGTCGATCACGCAGCGGGCGCGGCCGCTGGGACGTAAGTGATTCCTTCGGACGTTGGAGATAGTTATCGCGATGGTGCTGATGGACCTAGGGCATGCGTGAGAAAATGTAGATTTGGCATGTCTGCCTGCCCGTCTATATTGTCGGTTGGGGTGTGCGAGATGGATTTGAGCGTTGGACAATGTTTGTCGCCGCCATTCGAGATGTACTTTTATTGTGCTGTTGTTCTCTCAGGTTAGCGTTGTTTTCTTCGATGTTTTACGATTTATGATACCTTGGTGATGTGTACGATATGAATTTGTAAGGGATCAATTTGTCATAACCTTCGACATTACCGAATAATTACGAAAGGGTGCGAAAATTTCTGCTGATACTTATTCACTGCAGTTGACGCCCTTGTGATGCCAACTTCCGGTTTAAGCCTCCGGGAGGGAATGCCTTTTATGCTGTCACCCTTTCTTCTTTCCAATCCCTCCTCCTTCGTTTTTACACTCCTCACCTCCCCACTCCACACTTTTCAAGTCCGCTTATCAGTTATTATCTCCTCATCAGTCGTCCCCTCGTCAGCCATCCCTCGCCAGTTTTTTTCCCAGTTGTCGTTTTGCTAGTCACCTCCATTTAGCTTCACCTGAAAACTCAGAACCAGATCATTCACGATGTCTGGAAGCTCCCTCGACATCCCATACTGCTTCAAGGGTGCCCACTTCCCCCAAGTCGGTTTTAAAGACTTCCCGGATGGATTCTGCACTCTGGACAACAGAAACCTGTTCCCACGCGAAAAGTTCATAATGCTCCACGGGGAGGAGGAAATCAAGCAAATCGTATATGGCAAGCTTGAACCAGCTTTGCTCTTGATATCACGCATAATCCTCCACCATTGGGCAAGCTACAGCGTTTTCCTTCGGCGGAAACAACCCGATGACAATGACATCTTTATCACAGAAGACCATTTGGTCGATGTCACCAAGGATGAAGTTGTCAGAAGCATCCAGAACCTCATACCAGATTTCGATTTCAATCCCGACATGAATATTGGTTCGTCATGCTGTGCAGAGACTGCCTTACGTCCCGATTCGCCTCGCGACTTGGTAGTTCTAAACTACGATCTCATCAGCGTTCTCTTATCCATTAGGTCCGACAACGCCAAAATATCCGCGCTTGTGTTTCTTGCAGTCTGCATCGGTCACGGAATCGCTCATGTCCTCGAATTCCGCATGATCCGTGGCGGGAAACTCAATGCACAATCTCGAGCTTTTCTTACCCCACCCGGACTGACCTGTCGTGAGGCAGGAACTGCATGGGAGAGCAATGTCTTTGGTGGAAAGGTTGTCCCCATTTGCAGTCGCCCAAGTGATCTGCTTCGTATCCAAGGACTTTGTATCAACGGAAGCGCCGTGGGTTACAAAATGATGAAGATAAATGAGGAATGGATGCATGGCTTGTTTAACGAAACCCATTGGCAAACCACTAAGCGACCGACACAAGCCCCGCTGGACGTGTATGCTGACTACGCTCATCTCATGCCCGATGATCCAGAGGAACTGTCTGAATCACGGAAGGAGAAGACCCATGGCAATGATGTGCGCGTCCAAACCGGAAGTCCTACGAAAATGCCGAGATTCCTAAGACCCCAAAGACGTCATGGTTGCAAACGTGTCTTGCTGGCGGGTGATTCTTAATTGCTGATCACGCGTCATTTCAATAAGTTCAAGCTAACCTCTGTTGCTTAAGACTTCTCTTGCTTCAATCATTCCGGCGATTTTACGGCCTTGTTTCCCTGCTTTAGGCTCCTATTGTCGGTGGTTAACTGGTATAGCTTTATTGATGATCAGGGGTAGGCAGGACCCTATAGTTGATGATGACTGGTATAAATTCAATTAAGAGGCAACAGGATTAGATTTCAAATGACGCACAAGTGCCACAAGAAGCTAAACCTGGGTAACACGCCGTATCTACTACTCTAAGAGTAAGCCCGGGCAAGTTTAACCGAATCATGCAGCCCCAGAATTCTGCTAGCCCAAACAGTCTTAGCAATACGAGATAATATATTCTGTGTACTATTCAGCCGGACAACTTGTGATTCAGCAAGCGACCATCTGCGACATCTCGGTCAGGCTTGATGGACTCGACAAGTTTTCAATTCTTGGCTCTCCTCCGAGCATAATCCCCCCTCACCCCCCATTATACCTCCGATATTGCCTGAATACGGAGTCCAGGCCGTCACTCCGCAAAACTCAATGCTAAGCGGGTGCAAGATAACCCGCCAGTCTAGCCCACCTCGGCACGGCCCATGACTGCTGCCAAGAATGTCCGCTCTTCTTGGCGTCGGTGCCCGAGACCACGGGGTACATAGCCCACTCATCTCATCACTGCTGGCTTGGTAGTGTCTAGTATGATGGATTCTGCAGAGAATAGTGTCTAAACAATTTCCTAATGCGGGCTGTGCTGCGTTCTTGCTAGCAGGTGGCTTCTCCGGAATGCGAGGGAGTGGTTAGGATGATTCCGGGAGAAGGAGCAGGTCAGGCGGACTTCTCGAGGGGGCCAGGGTCAATGATTGATTCTATTCAAGCGGCGCACTCATATGTCTTCACTAGAACTACGCAGTCTCCGAAGCCTTTGTCAACTACGGGACCTAGCAGACAACGACCATGACTCCCATCCAAGCCCGCAACATATACACCAACTTACATCAAAATACATGACCTCACTTTCCAAGTCAGGCTAAGCTTTACATGCAGGCATCAAAACGACCCCATCGCTTACGATCCGCTAGACCAACTACAGCGCATCCATCGACCTCCGCACCAGTAATCCATCACGAGCTGACAAACACCTCCACAATATTACTCAAAGAAACATATCCCCGTAATCATTGACAAATTCTCCATCATCATCATCTATCTCATCTATCTAAGTTCTACCCTCATCCCTCCATCCTTCACGAAAATCTCAGCTTGGCTATATAAACCACCCAATCACCCCAAACTACCACCGCCACTTATCACCTCTTAAGTTGCTAGCCCAAACTCATCCAACCCAACTCATCCCACCATCATCAACCCAATCCAACCCACCACGCAACCACCACAACGCCATAGTACTATAGCCTAAAATGCCTTCCCTCCTCACACTCACGGTACCCCCCCTTAATCCAACACCCGTATCATCCCGACCTAACCCGTCTCAACAGTTCCTCCTCCCCCTCTCCCTCGCAGCCACAACCCCGATAATCAGCTACGCAAGCTACTCAACCGCAAACTGCACGGCCCCCATCATCACAACCGCCAACGTCGCCGCCTTAGCCTGCGTCAACATCGAGGACATCCCCATCAACTCCTTCTCGGCGTATGTATCCTCCGGGGCGTGCGAGGACGCGACTACGTCCCCTCTGTTGAGTCTGTATACCGAGGCTGGATGTGTCGATGGGACGGTGGTTGAGAGTGTGGGTCTTGGTGCGGAGACGGAGTGCTTTCAGGCGCAGGGGGTGACGGTTGTTAGTTTGGGGGTGGAGTGTGCTTGAGATTCAGTACACGTCTACTATCATACTACATATTAGTACTACTATGAAGAAGTATGAACAGAGAGTGGGGGCGGGGTGAGGGTGGGGATGAAATTGAGGTGGTGATGAGGTTGGTCGGTTGGGTGGTTGGGTGGATAGTTCTTTGTCCATTGTCAAGTGGGTTAGTGATAAGAGTAATATAATCAATCGGGTTTTGAGCAAATACTATGGAAAATAATAATAATAATAATAATAACCGAGTGCGAGGGAGGTACAGTTCGGTTATAAGGAAGTCCGAATTTTAAATTCCAGACTCCCTTCAATCAATAACCACCGAGTAGATATGATCGCCTCAATTACATCAACAACACCTCGGAAGACAGGATAGCGAACAGCATCTTCCAAGCTCTGCAAAAATCTACCTCCCTATAATAATAATGATAATAATAGTATTCAAAAAAAAAAATTGAAACCCCATAAACCAGACCAAGCGGAGATCACATTCACAGTCACATTATTTTGAGTTCAATCTTCCGATCTATGTAAGTAGTACCTGTCCCGTCCGTGCTTCCGTTGTTCCTTTCCGCCTTTACTGTTGTACCAGCGAGGACCCTACCGTGGATCCAACACATCCCACTGATGTATTTAGTACCTTTGACAGTACACAGTAATAGAAACTGGCCTCTGTCACTACGTACTAGAAATCTACTACATACTCACTACTAGATACTATGTAGGGTAGGGACTATCTAGCACTGACCTGGGTCTAACTGAATAAAGGTCTCGCCAGAAGAGGGCTAGCGCAGTGCGTTTATTCTCGGGTGCAGCCTAGAGTGGATCCGGAATAATTGCCTTCTGAGGCAAAAAATTATGCTATGCCCCACCCCACATCACCAACCCACGATGGGATCCATGGAGGGTAACCGAAGAAGAGCAAAAATTTGACCGACGCAGGATTCGAACCTGCAATCTCTTGATCCGTAGTCAAGCGCCTTACCATTGGGCCAGCCGGCCTTGGATGTTTATTCAGTGAGAAGAGTGGATTATGGACTGGTCTGGTCTAGTTGTGATTGTGGTAGTGGGTGTCACTTGGATCATGCGATTCATATTTGGTAATCAGGGTATGTATGCTACATTGGATATCATAAACATGGAATCAGAGAGAAAAAAAGAAAAAGAAAAAGAAAGAGGGAAAGGAAGAAAGAAAGAAAGAAAAAAAGACAAGACGTAGAGATGCATGAGAGAAGATAAGGGAAATCATTCGAAAGATGGATGAGCGTCAGGGTCCTGATCGCTGTATTTCTGGATGAGGGCTTCTTTTTCGGAGACGACGGGCTCTCCGTCCTCGATCTGGATGATGGGGATTCGTTGCTGGCGGCGGGCGACCGCGCAGAGGTAGACGGAGATGACGAAGCGGCCGAGAAGAAAGCCCATGACACAGGCCAGTCCACCGGCTAGGATGCCCATGAGGGCGGGGAGGATGATGGGCCGGGCAATACGCATGACGCCCTCCTGGCCGGTCCACAGGAATTGTCCGTTCTGGCGCATCTTGAATGCCGGGGGGTATTGCGTGGAGGAGTGGTGGTGTTCCTGGAGGTTGGGCTTGGGGGTGGGGGGAGCAGCGTCGTGCATGTGCTCGTGCTGGGTGTGTCCGGTTTTGATGCAGTTCTTGACAGCGTCCTTGACGGCGTCCTTGGCGGTCTCGTAGTAGGACTCGAGCTGCGACTTCCAGGCCTTCATCTGCCAGATCTTGTTGCCGTGGCCGTACTCGCGAGTGCCGTTGGGGTCGATGACGGTCAGATGCAGATTCCTGTCGGCATCGCTGACCAGACCGATCGCAATCGAGTTCTGGGTGGCAGGGCGACCGTGCAGGTCGAAGAGGCGGAGCTTCAGATAGTAGATATCGCCTAGGCCGGCGCCAGGACGAGCGGGGAGGGGTCGGACGTCGAGAGAGTAGGCCACCTGGACGGCTTGGATGCCGGTGTCCCATTTGCGGTCTGCGGAGAATTGCATCGGCACGGTGGCGGGGAAGATTGATTGCTTGTTGGCTGTGAGTGTGCCATTCTCGGTGGAGAAATCAATGGTCTGTGGGGGGGGGGGGTTAGTGTTGCGTACATGCCATGCCAGTGCGGCGGGGTTGGCATGCATACCAGGTGGGAAATAGGGTCGAGGGCCTCAGAGCAGCTGGAGTCGGAAAAGGCGCAAGGGGTGGCAGGCAGGTTGATCTGATGCGAGTGTGCCGTGGCCCGGAACTGGGGGTCGGGCAGGGCGAGGGCCGCGCAGCTGCTGATGCACAGAGCACCTGTCAGGGACAGGCCGCGGAACAACATGTTGGTGGTTGATGGTGAGTGGATAAGTAGATGAGTGGATAGTGGATGATGGAGGATGGGTAAAATGGGTGGAAGGGTAAAGACTGTCAAGCGTTCAACTGGAAAGAAGATCGCGGGGGAAAGTGGTATGTTATAGCAGAAGAAGCAACGAGAGACAAAGAGCCACGGCTGAAAGGCTAAAGTCGAGGGAGCGACCGGCGAGGCATATAAAGGCGAGCAAATCACCAGCCATGACAACATCCACGCTAACGCTAACGGAGGGGCCGAAAGAGAAGAAATGAACTGGAAGGAAGCACCAGGGCCATCACTGCCAGGATGACTGAATCCGACCCAGTCGCAACCGTAGTGGTACAAGGCTGAGCGACCCTGATTGCCCGGATGCGAAGGTAAAGCCAGCCTAACAGACTAACAGTGAACGAGCTTCTCCGCCGGAAGCGATGCCGAGTTGGTCGACGATCCGCGCCCCTACACAGCCTCTTGTTGGTTTGTTTCACTTGCGCTTTTCCCAGCTCCGGTCTTGGGGGCCCTTCTCAGTTCACCTCTCTTCTTCTCTCTTCTTCTCGTTACATTCTTCCTGTCGCCCCCATGGTGGCTTTTCTCTCCATCCTGTTCCTGCAGCCGACCAACGCCTGAAACCTCTAGAAGCTGATTATGACAGGGATTGGTGCAGCTCACATCAACAAACCCAATTCCGTCTATTTTCCGTCTACTAGGTCAATTGGGGATTCTACAGTGTAGTGCCTGATCCATGGAACAACGGCGCCTCTCCGGCTACCACCGCACCGCCATCCACCCCTATCGACATCCCACTGGACCACTAACCACTAGCATTGCTTTAGCATCTATTCCTGGCCTCTCCAAATATTAGCGCAAGACATTGTCTTCCCCACTTGGTTCACGATGAACCCTTTTAGCGTCTTTTCACCAACCAGAGCCTCCCTGATTGTCACCTGCCAATGGAAGAGCCTGACTGGCCCCCACGGGCCATGAAGCATGCCAGAGTCAACCTGCAATTGCCACTGGGCCACTGCTGCGGTCAGGGCATGGGAAGCTTAGCAGATGAGGTTATCGGCTTGGTTCGGGGCAGAATCAGAATCAGACCCGGCTGACCAGTCGAGTTTTTTTTTTTTCCCTTCGCATGTTAATAGTCCATTTCCTTTGACCCTCCCCTCCGCCCCTGACACCCTGCCAATGGCTTCCCTCGCTGCCACGGCCTCCGACCGTGGCATCTCATTTCCCTCATCCCACCCCTCGCCAGAGTCCAGACAAAGGATTTTAAACCACTCCCCCCCCCCCCCCCCCCACCGATCAAGCCAACGGACTCGGGGCATATCTGTCTCGCTTGTCTCCCCTGGTCCCTGGCACCTGCCGAACCTCTGTCCGACCATCTCCCGACCTGCCTCCGACCCATTCGATCAGGTTTTTCCTCACACTTTGTGACCCGTAGACTCGATGCGGGGTCCGCGGACTCCGTCCAGGCAGCGCCGATGTCTTCTCACTGATTGGCCTTCTTTTTCACCCGAACGGCCGGACGGTTTCCGATCTCCAGGTTGCTTTTGATCCGTGACTTCATCCCATCCGTTGGCCCACACTAAATCATAACTATCTCGACGGGTTGCACACAGCACAATGCACCACCTTCACTCTCACCGCTAGCAGCAGGCGGACCAATTTCCGTCCGGCAAGTCCACCGACTAGACATCTACCATATACTCGACTTCGAGGACCGACTCAAATAGCGCGCTCGCCAATATGTATCTATATATAAACGAGAACGGTGCCAATTTGGCAATTCGCAAATTGCCAAGCTCTGCCGTCTTGCATTCAGTCAAGCTCATCGGGCTTGGCGCTCGCTGAAGTCAAGCCTCTTTAGCTCCAGACTAGCGGGATCGCTGCTATTAATACCGTGACAAATTGGTTCGCCAATTTCCTGTCGCTGCGATGTCTCGGACCAATTCCCGGCACTTCATCCACGATGGGTCGCTCAATTGCCTGAATTTTGGATCGCTCGAATATGACTGATCCCTGCGCCGATCCTGGGCACGGTGTCACCTTCTCGTTACATTTGCCATTCGACTCGAAAATATCATGGACAGTACAGCGCACGCGGAATTTACATAATTTCCGACCCGGACCTGATGGATCATGGTGATGATGCTTAATTTAAACATATCACCCACTCCACTCCCACCATAGCCGGCACCGGCTGTCGTCCACCGGATCAGGGGCCATCGTGATGTTGTTTGATTCCAGACCCAATACGCGCCCGTGTTTCTCATAGGTCTCCCATGTTGTCCCCTGTCGGGAAGACGGGACACCGTCACGCACAAATGAGACAATGTGATCCTGGATCGTCAGGGCGAGGTCCTCATCGAAGAGCCCGGCTTCAATATCTGGCTGTGAGTGATTATAGAACGTGAAGGGTATGTCTTGGGAGTGTAACCCCGGTGGAACGCTGAATACCGATGCGTACGCGGTATCGAAAATGGTGTTGAGATAGCGGTTCTTGCACTGGAAGAATGCATCGTTCACCGTGAGGGAAACCCTCTCCAGTGGACTGCCATATCCCAGACTCGTCGAGGAAGAGTTGTACACGGGCGGATAAAGCGTTTGAGAGATGTTTTCTATTGTTTCAGGCGACATGCTCGGGGTGTAGGCCTCGACAATGGATTGGTAGGCAGAGGAGTTGGTGCCTGCTGGTGGGGTAAAAACTAGGCCTTCGTTGGACGTGTGACTGGTCATGATGCGGAGATGCTTCCACTTGAAGCTAGGATCGCGCACAGTGCGGCTCGGTAAGTCCGGGGCAAATGCACTGTCAACAACCGGTCCATATGTGAAGGTCCCATACACGGGCGTGCTGGCAATCTGGTGGGCGTTTGCCGCGATCAACTGGCTCGATGGGAGACCACGTGCCTCCGCGATCGAGCTCACGTTGAGCAGTTCCAAGAACCGCCGTCGGGCTGAGTCCTGCTGCTCCGTCGACTGCGGATACCACATTGGGCTCTGGATGATGGCCTGTCCAAAGGGCAGGTCTTCTGTTTTGTTTCCGCCGTACGCTGCGAGCTGATGGATGACAGACCCTCCACCGGCAGATTGGCCCATGACAGTGACGCGATCCGGATCTCCCCCAAAGAGAGCGATATACTCCCTCACCCACTCCAAGGCCAGACGTTGATCATACAGACCTGCATTGGCAAACCCCTCGCCTTCGACATCAGCCAACCACCCAAACGCCCCGAGCTATCCACCCAGTCAGTCAATCAGCACCCAAAACACAACCTCCTCACGTCGAAATCAACTCACCCGATAATTCAGCGCCACATAAACAAGCTCCACCTCTCGCTCCTCGCCCATCTTCAACAGACCCCTCGGGTCCCTCTCACTCTTATCCCCAGAGATATACCCCCCGCCATCGATCCAAACCAACACCGGCGCAAGCGACGCATTCGCTTCCCGTCCATCAAACACCCTCTTTGGCACAACCACATCCAGAAACAGACAGTCTTCCGTGATCCTAGCATCCCGTGGCGGCTCAACGATCGGATAATCATCCACGTTGCCAGACGCATTGAATTCAGTCCCAGCCGCGACACTACTCATAAACGGGGGCATGATCTCCTGTTCCCAGGTGAGTGCACCCTGCGGACATACACGCCCCACCGACCCGGTCTGGACTTCTGTGCGGTCCTGTGTCGGTGGGCGCGGGGGCAGAAACCGCCCTGTGTCTGCGGGTGATGCTGCATAGCGGATGTTGCTGAAGTTGTAGGCTTGGGTGGATTGCTGTGTTTGGTTAGTATATGTATATGTATACGTAGTAAAACACTATCAAGGAGGAGGAGGAGGAGGGATTAAGTACATCGAGAGAAATCGCCTGGTGGAGTTCATAGCCCAGGTCTATAACCGGTAGGGATGATGCGGCGGTGTACGTCGGAAGGACCGTAGCCGCCAATATATATATCACTTTGACAGGATGCATTGTCACAGTCATGATATAGGTTGATTCGCATGTTGAGTTGTTCAGTTCGTATCACCCGGTTGAAATTTATCTGTCGCCCTTCACATCACTGAAATTAAATTGTCAAGTCGATCAGATATCATTCATTGACTTCTCAGATCAATAGAGATAATCCCAATAATTAATCACCCTCACAAAGCAAGGGACCAGCGACTCGGACCTGCAACCCTGTCTGTCCAGAATTTTTAAAGATGAAGAAACTCACCTCCTCCCCACTCATACTGACCAAACCCCATATATACCTCCCTCCTACGAACCCAGCTACAAAAAAAAAACATCCAAAACATCAACATATCGGAATGTTATATCATGTTATGTTTTCATCCCGCCCATGCCAGATCCTGAATCATGTCCGGAATCAATCTCATGCATGCTCTCATTCTTGTTTGTTTGTTTGTTTGTTTGCTGTTCGTTGCCGCATCCGGAACCTGGATTTATCCGCCAAGATGCTAATCTGCGGCCCGAGTCTCATACAAAAGGTGCTGTGGTCTAGTGGTATGACGTCACGTTGTGGCCGTGCCAGCCCCGGTTCGATTCCGGGCAGCGCCAATCATCATTTCATTTCTTTTTTGTTTTTGGTGGTGGAGGGGGGGTAGAGGGAGGTGTTAGGGGGTTTTTTACCCGGGTGTGTGGGAAGAAGGGGTTTGGGGGGAAGGGGAAGCAAAAATGGAAAAGAGGAGATGGGGAAATGCTTTTTTTGTATACGCTAGATTAATAGTATTGTGGTTGGTAGGTTATGCGTTGGATGAAGATGAAGAAGGTGAGTTATATGGGGTAGGTAGAATATAGGGTAGATATAGATGTAAGATATCATCACATCAAAATCCGATTCACAAATTTCTCCCTATTACTGCAACTACAATAAAGTTAAAAACTAATTCGTCACAATTTGTGTACTTACCTTGCTAACTCCCAAGTCCCAATCCAACACCCATGGGTAAGTAGCCATTATATATCATCCACCTCCCTAACCGCACCACCCTCCCCTAGCGCCAGCATCTTATTCGACTCCACCGCGCCCCCATCTCTCAATTTATCCGCCGTCTCCGCCCCCGCCGCAGGAACCCGGTACTCGAATCTCTTCCCCCTCGCTGGAAGTTTCTCCCCGGGAAGCGCGTACGGAAAGGGAAGCCATTGCGGCAGTAGTCCCAGCTGCGTGAGCACGGTCGCTTGGTCCCAGGCGATGTGTTCGTGGTAGAGCCGGTCACCGCGGATGTTGACGACTGAGGTGAAGGGGATTTGGAGTGTTTTGTGCGTTGGGGGGTTCCTGGAATTCTAAGGGGTTGGGTTGATGGTTAGTATGTGGAGAAATGGGGGTCAGGAGAAGAGAGAAGTGGGGTATGGGAGGGCAACGTGCAGCCAATCCACCTCTTTATCATGGGTGAAGGAGAAGATGAATTCATCGACGATGCGATCGACACCGACTGTTCGACTGATCAGTTCCAAGGCTGTGTCGTCGGGGTTTTTGAAGATGAAGTGGTTCAGGTAGAAGTTGCTGAGGCGGGCGCGGCCAATGCCGCCGGTCATCTGGGTGGATCGTATATTGTCAGTCGGAGATCGTCTAGGCGAAGTTATGGAGTTGACAAGATTGGGATGAGAAACTCACGGTCGGAATATGGTTGACATAAGGTTCATCGACCATGGTCGCCATGGTTTTCTCGACTGACCGGTCCTCGAACTCGTGGCGCGTGTGCTCGGCCCAGATCTTCTCGAGGTCGAAGTATGGTCCCTTCAGTTGGTGCTTCAAGAAGGTGAGTGTGCGTGTGTGAGCTACCCCCGCGGTGATGTATTTGAAGTTCTCGTGCCCTGGGACGATAAAGCCTGGGGAGATAGCGTCGGGGTAGGTGTACATGATCGTTTGGGGAGTAGGGGGCTGAGGGGGGTTGTTGGAGTCGGGGAGGTGGATCAGGCTTGGGATCGAGGATTGGGATGGTGTCTCCCAGAAGCTGTGGTAGACTATTGCTGCGATGGGTCCGGATTGTGTGATGCGTTGGAGTGTGGTGGTGAATGATGGAGTGTAGTCGAGTTGGGAGCCGTAGACTGGACTGTGTTAGGGATGGCAAAACGATGCTTGTGTTGTGGATAGATACCAAGAAGACCAAAGTGGTCATTCCTCGAGCATTCGTTCAGAGCGCTCAGTATATCCGTCACACTCTTTACTTTCCTGCAAACGTTATCCTCATCCGCGCTGGATTCGGCATCCAGAGTAATCTGCATGACGGTATAGCCCTCTTCGGCCCATTTTTGCAGCGGCCTTGGGTCCAGACTCGAGTTCGTCGCTTCGCAGTCGGCTAGACTTGCTGGAACTATCAGAATCAAGCCTGGCCCGCGACCGCATCGCGATAGAGGCCTTTGAAGGATGATGCCATGGCCCATGTTAGTTGGTTGGGCGCATGTGTGCCATCTTGATTCGGCAGCCATGGACCGATGAGTCAATGGTCAACGCAGACGTGTATGATGTGTAGAAGGGAAGTGTCAAGAGAAGGAATAGGTACGACAGTTCTTATCATCAGGATGTGGAGATGAAGAGGGGACGTGCAATGTCAATGACGGAACCCACCACGGGCCGCGGGGCTAGACCCGACAACGGCCTCGGGTACCTTAATAGTGGAACCATCGGCAATTCGTTTGGTCAAACCTAAGTCACGCATTCATACCAAGGATATAGTCAATCTGCTGAGTAGAGGTTATGGCAGTGAATTGCCTCCTGCATACCATTGCGAACTGGCATAGAGTTGGACCTCCTTAGGATAGGCTCATCCGGTTCCAAGTATATACCAGGTCATGCTAAAGTACGGATTAGCGCTGCTGATAGAATTGATTTCAATGTAGTGCAAAGCTCCCTATGGAAGACCATCACGTGGTTGCACTTTCCCTTTAATAACAGTGGGGAGTTCAGAGCGCGACAATTCAACTTTTCCTAACCCATCCGGAACATTGAAGAACCTGCCTCCGACTTTCGCTTTGAATGACACAATACTGCCCGACCAGACTGGTTCTTATTCTTGCGAGGGCTGGGATTGCAATATTGAGTTGAATTACGTTCTCTAGCAGGCCTCTGCTCGATGAGAAATGGACGAGATGGGAAACCCATTACTAGCGGTGCTTTCAGACCCTCAATGTCCTGATTTCTTTTCGCAGACCTGCCGATAACCCATAAGCATATACCCTTCTACATATCCTACTGCGTTGGATAAGCTCAACGGAAGGGAACCTCTGGACAAAGTGGTGGTATACCCGTTTCATGCCAGGCGTTCGAAGCCGCTCATAAGCTGACATTCTATGCATACTCAGTATGTAGGACCGCCTATACGCTGCTTGTACGAATCTAAGCTCGAGTACCATATGACGATTTTGAACGGCCCTGCCTCCCCACGCATAAAAGACCTCCTGTCGAACGGGTTTCAAGGCTCTATGGTCTTATTCCGACCCCCACAAGACTTTCAAATTTCATTATCAAGACATAATGCGTTTGAGATCAAAACATTATCGCCCAAGGGATGATATCGAGTCTTTGACGGCTCGACCAGATCTTGCGTCCGATCAAGATATATCATGTCAATCACGGGAGCACGCAGCTTTTGAAGGTCTGCCCCATGGTACATATAAAAAACATCCAGCACACCGCTTGGGCTTATTACAATACGAAAGACTGGTTGAAGATATTGGTCGGGTCCACTGATGCCTTGATGGCTTTCAGCCGATCGACGTTCTGACCATACACAACAGACAGATCTTCGTCGCCATGAGCAAAGTTAATGTATCTGAGATAGTGAGTTAGCTTGGAGGCGAAGGAGGGTATTGGAAAACGAACACAGCCGGTGAATCAAGACCATCGGTGGCCCTCCACATATCGCGGACCTTAGAAGCCCAAGCCACAGCAGCAGAATCAAGTTTGGTGTCATGGTAAGATGGGATAGCCATGGCATTGAAGTTGACCTTGTTTCTCCAGGCATATGCAGACGACGACTCAGGCAAAGAGCGGGCTTTCTCCAGGGGGTATGCTTCCATCATAATTGTCGTTTCGTGGGTACCATTCAGCGAGACGAACGAAACGTATTCGTCCCACACCTTTTTCCATGTGTTGACATCCAGCGTTGCGAGGCCCGCTGCATACGCTGGCTGGTAAGCAGTCTTGCTACAGGAACCATCTGTGCCATCGTTCCAATGAGGATATTGCACCTCGAGCATGGTGTCGTGAATTGGATCGAGGTCGAAGAATGAGGAGAATGCAGATCTTCCCTCCTCCGCCGTGCCATGATAGAATGGCGAAACGGCAACCCTAGGCGCATGGTTCGGAGAGCCAGTCGTTGTGTAATACAAGATGATGCTCATTTGTGGCTGCCAGTGAGTCGTCTTGATCGCCTCCACTACTTTCTCAACCTTGTCATGGGAGTAGCTGAGCATGCCTGTCCATCCCGTCTGATCCGAAGGCGAAACGGGGTGCGCTTTGAGTGTCACAGATGTGACGATGCCAAAGTTGGAGCCGGCGCCACGAAACGCCCAAAAGAGATCCTTGTCCTCGGATGTAATCGTGCGCAAGTGTCCGTCAGCCAAAACTGCATTGAACGACAGAACGTTGTCGACTGCAAATCCGTACTGGCCCATGAGATTTCCATACCCACCGCCAAGGAGAGCGCCCAGGATGCCGACACAGTTGCAGTTAGCAGTATGAACGAGAACGTTATTCTCAGACGCGGCATCTATAACATGTGAAACGAGAGCTCCCCCTCCCGCCGTGACCTCGGTTTTGTCGCTATTGAAAGTGACCCAGTTTAAGTCTCGAAGGATAATAAGGAGCCCATCAGATCCCAGGTGGAATGTGGTTGCCCACCAATGCCCACCGTTCTGAGCCAGGAATGAAATATCGTTCGAGGTGCAATACTCGACCTACGTACTTTCCTGATCAATCGACATCCATGATATGACATGGGGAGAAGGGAAACCCACTATGATGGCAACATCTTGCTCCGTGGCTGGAGTGACCACGGCACCGGGCCGAGGGGCTCCATACTCACTGAAACGCGGATACTCCTCTGCACTCCACGTTGTAATCGAAGCTGACTGCGATAGCCGAAGTCCTAGTTCCCGAGAGAGACGTTCCCTTGACAAACCACAGACACCGTGCTGGAGGAGCAACAGGAGCGAGAGAAGCACGAGTAGAGCTGCCATATTGCAGGGAAGAATTGAATATTGCCGCAATTACAGCATGACTTTCAATCTATGAAGTGCTACTTATGAGCACGGCAAGGAAAGAAATTCTGCGAACCTGGACAGAACACGCAAGGGCCCTTAGACTATTTAGAGATATGATTCCCTCAGATAACACCGATAGGTACAAAGTTCGCGCTTGAAATCTGATTCAACGAATTGATGGCAGGTCGTGGCAATTCATCATATTCTCCACCTTCTTTCTTCACCTATGTAGGTATGAGGCCAGGCTGTTTCCCGAAGTAGGCATGGCATGGCCCCATAATGAGTGCAGCGCTGAGTCTAGGTCCTTCATTTCCAACGTTGGATGCGATATCACATCGGGGGTGTGCCAGGCGCGACACATATTGAAGACCGCGCAGAGAGGGTACTCCCCGCCCCATCCTGATACATATTATTGCTAATATCATGCACTCGAGAATGCGGATACTTCCTCCGTTACCTTGACTATTTGTTACCGTATTTGTCGAAACAAGAATAGTGGCCAACCAAGACAGATGGAGTTCATGTACAGGTCGCTAAGGTAGCCTTGTTATGTGTGAAGATTGCATTTGGCGTAATCTGGCGAATCAATAGAAAGACATCAAAGAAGGGAGTTCACTTAAGTATGTCAAGCAGTAGCATCATGGTAGATGTGCGATGGTTCTACTGCACGCGAAAACTATTCAAGCGCTGAGCATGGTCAGCGACAAGAATCATCGCGGCTGCTTATTCTGCCAATGCGATGATTTGGAAATGCCAGATGGGCGGAAGCTGGTGTTATGAAAAGCTCAGCAACGGCTACACAGATAAATGCTAGAATGGAGAGGTTGGCATGAATTATGCAAGTAAGCCCCTCATGTTCCTAAAGGGCCATTATTGAAGCCCTGGCGGTCGTTCAGGGGGTTGACGATGGCGGCAAAGAGAGGCAGAACAGATGATGGATCAGTCACGTGATTTATGGAGAGCCTGTCACGTGCCACGGTCGGCGATGCCGCGGTGATTTGAACAAACAACCGACATCATCCAAGCTGCACCCGCATCGCCGTCACGAAAGCCTTTGATCGGCAAGCTGAGCAAGGTTTACAATCCTTGAAGCTATAATCAGCTCATCACTACAATTCCGGAACCACCGTGCCTATTAATACATTCACATCCGAAGCAATTCCCGGATCTTGGCTCGAAACCTCACCTCTCGCCGTTTCCGTCCGAATTTGCGACACAATGAACACCGAATTCCAATCGTCTCTCTCCAACCTCGAGAACAAGCTCAATGCTCTCATCATCAGCCTTACAACGTCGCCGACCGCTTCAGGCGCGCCCGCAGCAGCAGTCGGCCTCCTCAGCGCAGACGACTTATTAACATCCGCCGTCGAAACTCTGCGACAACACCAGCAGAACTACGCCAAGATCCTGCGACTTCGCGAAGAGGCCCAACTCCTAGAGGAGAAGGTCAAGAGCATCGTGCGAGAGGTAGTCGCCTGCGAGAAGGAGATCCGAACCACATGCGGCGATGACGAGACGGACAGCGACGAGGACTTCGACGACGAAAGCTCCGACTACGACTCTGACGAAGACATGGAGGGCGGGAAACCTGCGACTCGCGGACTGCGCAAGATAAAGGAAGTCGACTACAAGCTCCTGCTGGATTTCGCGCGCCGGATCAGCAAGTACAATCACCAAGCGGCGGCAGATGCGGCGTCGAACGCGGAAGCGAAGTCTCGAGAGAAGATACAGCAGGCTAGGGGTCAGGATACGGAGATGACGGGGACGAATGGAAATACGGACACGGAGACAGCGGAGCCGGTCGCGTCCGTCACGAAAGAGGCGACCAATTGGCTGGATGAGTCGGCGAATATGACCCGTCAGGCGTACATGCTTCCGTATCCGATGGAAGATCGCATTCGGATGGGGCTTATGGGACAGATACAGCTTGCGGGTGGTGAGGGTCGGCCGGGCTTCGACCCGGAGAAGGAGGTCGAGCGGCTGATACGGGAGGCGGAGGGTCTGGGGGTTGCGGATGCGGTGCCGCCCGTGGTTGTTGGAGAGGAAACGCGCCATGCGGATGAGGCTGCGAAGGCTGCGGCTCATGCTGGATCTGCGGCGGCGGGCAGGGCTACAATGGGGGCTGCACCGGCGCCGAGGCCTAAGGCGACGCTCGATCTGGATCTGTATGATCCGGATGAGGACGATGATTGATGCCAACGAGATTTATTACGTGTCTGAGAGTTCTGATATACGATGGGCTGGGAATGGATTGACAGCGGGACTGTCATCCATCTCTTAGTCTTACCGGAACATAATGCCATGCTGTGCAGAGGACTGGGACGATTTCCTGAACCGTGTCTGTAAATGTAAGAGGTGGACCTCCCACAGCAGCATGTCTAAGAAGGCAGTCATTCTTCGGGAGATAGCCTTTCTCTATCCAGCATGCAGTGAACTCGCCGAGTCCACTTCACCAAGGGCAGATATACTGGTGAAAAACTGGACTTGGACCTCTGGTACCCGATCCGTGGAATATATGAATGAGTACGGGGCTGGCGATATGTGCAAAAGTTCAAAAGTTTGTAGCCTTGAAGTCCACCATAGCAACGTTTCGCGTATGATTGTAATACTAGATATGTAGAAAATCGATTAGGAAAGGAAATAAATAGTACACGAGATCAAGAATTTACTTATCCCAGGATCCACTTCCCCGGATCGTCCCTTTCTCCACTGTCTTCCCGTGGTTTGTAGTAGTCACTGAGGTGGCTTGCTGATACCAAAACTCTTCCCTTTGCCTTCACTTCACCACAGCCTGATTAGGGAAGTCTTAGTAACTAATCGGCCTTTACTGTTTCTACTGGTCTCTTCAATTTCCTCCCCGCTAGCCAACTTCAAGCTTTACTTACTCCCGCTTTCCCTTGATCTCCGGCTCATCTATCTATCTATCATCTTTCTGGGTTTCTTTCTTTCTTATTATCACGCTCATCCCACATCACTCAGAAGAGCTACTTTCTTGACATAACACCAAGACTGGCTACCTTTCGCTAACAATACCTTGCACCTTGCAGAGCGACTTTCCAAATCGGTGAAGATCTATCACCCACGTGGATTATTTTGCAGATCCCGTGGCATGGAGGGGGGGGCATGCATCAAGGCCGATATCAACGCTATGGGCAAATACCGGAGGACAGATAGTTCAATGGTGTGAGGTTTTCCGATTCAGTGGAGTTGTGACCGGATGAAAAAAGCACTATAAACACTAGTTACATTCTACGAGCGAAGAATGATAGCCCTCCCAATAATCAAACTGTACTGCGATGAACGATACGGAAGAGGCAAGGGGACAATAACTGCAGAAGCTGTCAGTGCCGGTATTCGTGCCTGACTTGCATCGGAAGGGATTTTGAACAAGAGCTTATCTCGAGCGTCTTGAGGCTATTGGGAGATCGTTTGCAAGGTTTTGTTTTTTTTTTTTTTTTTTTTTTTTTTTTGCTATGGTCAACTTCACCGCGAATGCCCAAGGGGTGTCACCATGCAAACTACCGAGGTATCGCTCAAGACGAAAGATATATTCTCCCCAGAGAAGCGCGAGGAAATGAGGAGCATGTAGGCTAAGATGCAGGGAGCATGGCAGAAGGAAACTCCTTCAGATCCTGGTTGGCAGCTCAATTGGACACGATGATTCAGACAGCGCACTGGATATCGAGGAACTCACTGAGGCAATCACCGCAGGCTAAAGAGTTGACCTTGAGGCAAAATGATGGGATCATAGCCCAAGTCGAGCTCGCACCACTCGGAAAAAGACACCCTCATGCCTTTCTTGTACCTGAAAATCCCATTTAGCTTTTCCAGGTGACTTTGAAGTACGAAAAGGGAGTCAAAGTTCTCCACGCGACATCACCGTAAAGCTCTCTGGAAGTTATATTCAGAATAAACAGCTTGGGTGACTGGTTAGAGGGGGATACACCTGATACTCTGAAAACCCGATGCAGACGCCATGTCTACATCCACTCGACCAGTGCCAATGTTGCCGAGGACTTGAAATTCTTCATGGGGGGGGGGGATCTGATCTCATCTCACCCAACCAATCTCGATGAATGGTATGGTTCTCCGCATTCTTGCCTTACCACCATCTCCATCTCCATGTCAACTTACCCACATGACAGTATCTACACCCCCCCCCCCCCCCCCCGCCACCCAGCCAAGAAACAAACCGCTCGTAAGACCCCCAAACCGCAAGGATTGCCGATCACTCGTCCATATTATTTCCAATCCGCCCGCATCACTTCCGTGACGCATTTATGTTCTCCTGCAGTTTATGCGCTGAGGTGCATTTATGGCTCCTCGATGAACCATTTTTGCTTTTTGTTGGGGATTTGGAATACGATCTCTCAGACACCGGGGCTGGAGTTGGAGATGATGCGTCTTTTCTTATCCCGTTTTGGGTTATGTTTGGGGGCGGGCGCTGAAAGGGTTTTTTTTCGCTGGGTATATAAAGACGGTGTGGGATGAGGGGGGTGTTTGTAAGATGGAGTTGTCGATGGTTGTCTAAGCTTACTCCATCCTTCTGGGCATTCTTAAAAGGATTTGTTCTCATTGTCGATAGCCTTGAAGGCTGAGTGAGGGGAAGGTCAATTCTCAGTATCTCCAAGGACGGTCTGTTGACACCAACATTCCTACCAACATTCTTAGGTGCCTCCCCAAGTCCCACAAACATAAGCGTGACTCCCATAGACACGGTACTTAGCTGACGTACGGCTCATCTGCTGCCGATTTCCAGACGCATTAGCAGACAATTTCAACACAATGGCCAGTCTGACCACTCGCCTCTGGCTGTTCATCACAGCAGTGATATCTCTCCTCCCGAATGCGCTGGGAGCCAGACCCTCAAACCCGGAATACACAATCGAGCAGCTATGGAATCTTGAAACAAAATTCTGGGATGCGTTCCTTTACCCAGCGAACGTGAACGAGACATTGGCGGTTAACTCGACCATTTTTGCTCCCGATGTATGTCGATATTCCCCTTTTCAACGAAAGGTTGGCTGTCCAGTGTCCCACTAACACCACCCCACCCTCAGGTCCAAGGCCGAGTAGACATCACCCGGGTCTTCAACGGCAGCGAGCTCAACACGGAATACATCTTCGGGTTATTCTCCAACCCGGACCACCTCAGCATCACCGGGGTGCCCGTCTCGTACAGCATCACGCAGTTCAGCGCCAACGGGAACATCGCGTCCGCGACCACCGTCGTCACATTCAACGAGACCTCGTTCGGGAACCTCCTCGTCCCCGTCACCATCGACACGTGGATCATGTGGGACGAAAACGGGCAAATCGAGCAATACGATGCGACGTTCCGGTGGTTCGGCTTCCTCCTCGATACCCTGATCGAGACCCTGGCCACACAGCAAAACAGCACGACGACCCAAGCCACGGCGCTGCTGACCCAAATGCTTGCAACGACTATCTGCGAGACCCATGAGCAGTACTGCACGGGGGAGAATCAACAATATACCAACTCTTCGACCTGCTATACCTTCCTGACGGAGGATATTCCGTTCGGGAAGGATTATCAGTTGGGCATGGATACGTTGTTGTGTCGTGAGGTCCATGAGCATATGGTCCAGTTTGATCCGGGCTTGCATTGCCCGCATATTGGGCCCACCGGCGGTGGGTACTGTGTCAATGACCAGACGTATGCGCAGAAGGTCTTGCAGCAGTATTTCCGGAAGCCATGGCTGGCGTATGGGTCGGTGGACCAGGATGTTTGGCTCGCGCAGTAGAAGAGATCTGAGAATTCAGTCAGTGCGGTGGATGGGACCGCAAGGATGTTTTTGATCTCGGGCCTTTTTTGACATTTAAGCCCATAATAATAGGGGAGGCCGGGTGAAAGATGTCAGACAAGGCTGTCTATTCTGCTTCCGACGATCCGTGACGTGGCTGTGTCGTCTCTCTAGAAGTATGCTCCACTTATGACTCAAGATGGGCAAGGACGCCCTATATGGAGCCACATCCTCAGTCTTGGGTGCTTAGTCGGATCACTGCAAGTCCTATTGCAAACCAGTAACTACTATATATTACTGATCTAAATAGCCAAACTATCCAATGACTCCAGTTCGCAGTTTGCACAGCCCTCTGGATAAGCAAGCACCCGCAACGCCCGAAGGGATCTTCATCCAGCCGATCCGAACCACTAACCAGATACTGGCAGCTCCAGTTAACCGGCAGCACTACTTAAATCATTTACACCCTCTGGCCTGTCTCCGAACAGCAAATAGATCAATGTATTGACCGTCACTTATCCTTGTCAAGCTAAGCTGTAAGATACAAATTGCCCATAAATAGTAAATAGCGTCATGCATAACAAACTAGGTAAAGGTAAAGCGGCGAGTAACGGTACTTTCAATATAATAAATAGTGTATTTTCGGAGAATTTGAAATACGCACGCCAGGGGGTGTAATTCCTTGGCCAGATGAGCTTCCGCATTGAGACGATGACCGAAGTCCGAGCACCCCCAGGGAATGAAATAATGCACTGATGCAAGGCGTTGAGCCTTTGTCTCCTCCCCCTTAACTAGAAAGAAAAACCCCACCTTCAGTACCTTCAACGGTCGATTTCCAGACACCCAGTCCACTCAACTGAGATTGAATCCCACTCCACCTACTCCGTACCATGGAAACCATCAAGTCCGTACTCTACAGCTACCCGCCACCACCCCCACGAACACGCACAAGACCCTTCCGGGTGATCTGCGTCGGCCTTCCCCGATCCGCAACTGAAAGCCTCAGCCATGCGCTGGAAAAGCTCGGTCTTCGGCCCTACCACGGCTGGAATCTTGTGTTCGACTCACCCGAGTACATCGAGCAGTGGGCACGTCTCGCGAAGCGCAAATACGCCGGTGACCCAGATGGAGACGTGCACATCTCGAAGGCGGAATTCGACGCCCTGATTGGCGACCATGACGCGGTGTTGGATTCTGTTCCGGCCATGTTTGCGGCGGAATTAATCGAGGCGTATCCGGAAGCGAAAGTGATCTTGAATACGCGACGAGACCTGGATGCCTGGCATAAGAGTATCATGAAGACGATCGTGGGAATTGAGGATAGCTGGTTCCAATGGCTGATCAAGGTGTTTAATGCGGATATGTTTTGGGTGTGGGAGGTGTATTTCACGTATGCGTATTGCGGGTTGTTTCGGAGCCCGGTGAAGCAGTCTTCCAGGGACGGAATTAGTAGGAACGGGAAGTGGGTGTATCGCGATCATTGCAATATGGTTCGGGGGATGGTGGAGAAGCAGAGGTTGTTGGAGTGGGCCGTCGAGGATGGATGGCGGCCATTGTGTGAGGTATGTTCCCTTTCTATGTTTCGTGTTATGGTTCCTGATGACGCTTGCTTTAGTTCCTGGGCGAAGAGGTCCCGGATGAGCCGTTTCCGAGGGGAAATGACCCGGCTGCGTTTGATGAAATGGCGGCCAAGAGAGTAAAGCCGCGCATCGGGGGAGCTTTGTGTAATATGGCCATTACTGCCATTTCCGTTAGCGTCGTGGCCACTTTGGTAGGGGTTTCTGTTAAAGAAAGGGGGGTGCCCTGGAAGACGATCGGGGGGATATCAAGCACGGTGTTCGCCGGTTGGACTGCCTTGACAGGTTTGGTTAACTGATCAAAGTTTGATCTTGGGGTGAATCGAGTTAAATACCTCTCACATGCTCGCCCAGTCAAAACACGAGTTCAAAGATTAAAGATAGAGATTATCCTGGGCTCAAATTGTAACATTTTCGTTGAGTTGCTAACAATATTCGATCACAATGGAGCATGTGACAAGGTGTCGAGGGAGGAATGGCGGGAAATGCGTCTAACTGGAGCTAAGTACCTCTTGCTATTAGTAGATTCAGAAGGATTAAGGGAAGAGGCATTCTTGGAAGGATTTACCTAGTATTCACACAACATGGGGGTTCGAAATGACGATAAGTCCCCGGCATCCACGGCTGTGATCTAAAAATGGAAGCGATGAAATCATACACATTTCCACATCACAATAGATCCCCACGACTCTCAAGCCACCAGTATATGTCACAGCCTTCATTGTTTCTCCATTCCTCAACGCGGTGCTCCCCTGGTTTCTAGATGCTTTCACGGCGTGAATTTCGCTGACAGGTGGGGAAGACATTTGACGTGAGGAGCTGAGTGATTCGCTCGGGGTCTGATTTAGAGATAATTTTCTACTGCTCTCTGGGCCGTTGGAAGAGAGAAGTGGTAGTAGTAGAACCTGAACGAAAGTTGGTAGGATCCAGGGCCTCACAATGGTCGGATAAGGTGCTCTGTATTTAGAACTGTGGAGGCTAGTTGAAGAACTCGAATCCCGCGATGATCGGAACATAATGACAGTAAAAAGAGAAAACACAACTCGGAAGATATACAAAGCGAGTGAAGCGAGGCATGGATTCTCGGTTGGTAGTGGGTTGGGTGATCTCTGCCAGAGGAAGAAGAAAGACAAACGCCGCCCTTCACCTGACGACTGGCGATCACATGACACGCAGGTCTACCAACTTAGACACACATTTATAGTAGCCTCATTGCGTATAACACGCTGATCCCTATAGCGCAGACCTCCAAGAGAATGTTGGCGGTGGCCGCTCCGGGGCACGTGACCGCGCCTCTTACTTCAGGTGCCGGGATCTCTGGTCTCTGCTCTCTGAATTAACTTATTATTTTTTATTATCTTATATAATTACTTTCTATATTTTTATAAGATTATAAGCTTAGTGACTTGTTATTTAAAAGAGATCTAGTAATTTCTAAATATTTTATAAATATTTTTTATTATTATAAGTAGAGTGGTTATACCTAACTGTTATATCTTAATCTAATCTTAACTATAATCTGATGATTAGATTAAGATATAGAATTCTCTTAACTGTATAATTAAGGATAGGTTATAATTAAGAGATTACTTTAATTAATCTTAACCGCAGATTAGAAAGATCAGATATACTTAAAAGATTAATAATCGCAGATTAATTAATAATTTATACAGAGATCTTATAGAAATAATATATTAATAATAATATATTTTTAATTACTATATTATTAAAACAGATATTATTTAGATTAGTTATTAATTAAAAATCTTATTTTTTAGCTAATAGTAATAATTAATAGCCAGCAGTTCAGTAGCCCAGTAGCTTTTATATTAGATTTTTATAAATAATACTAGAAATCTGAATATATTCAGATTAGACTATTAAAAAGAAATATATAAATTACTATCTAAATTATTTTTTATATTATTCTGATTAATAATTATAATAGTAAAGAGATTATATAATTTAAGTATTTATTTATATCTGAATATATATAATATTACTAGAATAAGAAAGAGCTTAATCTTTTCTCTCTAATAATATTCTATTTTTAGAATTATTATTAAAATTATCTATATTCTTATTCTTACTAATATAGAAGATTATTATTAACTTATTATTTTCTTAATTCTCAGCTATAAATATAATAGAATCCAGAGAAAGATTATTAAGAATATTTTAATATTTCTTAATAATAATAAAATAATCAGTATATATCTAGAGTATAAGAGCTTTAATAATCTTAGAATATAGACAGCTCCGGCGATAATAGCAGATATCCTGAGAATTATTAAAAAGATATTTAATATTAATATTATTAATTATAATAATTAGAAAGTCTCTAGTTATATAATAAAGAATAAAAAACTAATTATAATAAAACTTTTAATAAATAAAAATATTAGAGTATTTAGTAGTTTCTAAATAATTATTAATATAAATCTAATTTTAAAAATAATTAATTTAATCTTTTAGTTTTTAATAATCTATATATCTTCAGTATTAAGATAGATCTTAAGCTTCTTAAATATTATTATAAAAAATAAGAGCTTCTGATATTTTAAGATATTATAAAATATTTTATTTAGATTTAAGAATATACTAGAGAGTGTAAATAATATATTAATATCAGGATTTTACTGATAATAAAAATAGAAGATCTTTTTAAAAATAATTTAATATTTAAGATACTAATCAGTATTATTATCTAATCAGATATTTTTTTTAAATTTTTCAAGTTTTAATATAAAGTCTAGAACTATTATAATTATATAGATATAATCTTTAGTCTGATAGATCTGATAATAATACTTGCAAAGCTTTTAATATATATTCTTCAGATTCTGAAGAATCTCTTTTTTCTAGAGTATCTGCTTCTGTGCTAGTTAATTAATAGACTAATTAAGATAATTAAAAAAATTATTATAAATATTATAGATCTTATAAATTATAGATCTACTATTCTCTAATAAATAAAAGATAAAGAGAAAAAAGAGATATAAAAGTAGAGTGGCTTAACCTGACTGTTATATCTTAACCTTAACCTGGCCATAATCTGATGATTAGATTAAGATATAAAAAATTTTTAACTGTATAATTAAGATTAGATTAAGATATAATTATTATTATAATTATTTATATTTATTAATTAGAAAAATTAGATATAATAAATAAATTAATAACTATAGATTAATTTATAATATATATATTTTTTTTATATAGATAATATATAAAATATAATATATATTTAATTATAATATAAATATAATAATATTCTTTAAATATAGTCTACTACTTGATCTACTTAATTAATTATTTTAAAAAATATATTATATTCTAAAAAAAGTTTTTATAGAATTTAATATAAAAAAAATAAAAAAAAATATAAAATATTTATTCTTTATATTATTTAGAATAATAATTATAATAATATAAAAATTATAAAAATCAGATCTTTATTTTTATCTAAGTATATATAATAATTAAAAATTTAGATAAGACTAGTTTTTTTAATTTTAATAATAATTTATTCTCTAAATTATTTTGAAGATTATTTATATTTTTATTTTTATTAATATAGAAGATAGTAATTATTTTATTTTTTTTTATTTTTTAAATATAAAAATAATTAAATCTAGATTAAGATTATTAAATATATTCTAATATTTTTTATTTATAATAAAATAATTAATATATATTTAAAGTATAATTATTTTAATTATATTAAGATTAAAATAGCTCCAGTAATAATAATAGATATCTTAAAAATTATTAAAAAGATATTTAATATTAATATTATTAATTATAATTAAAAGAAAATCTCTAGCTATTTAATAGAGAATAGAAAATTAATTATAATAAGATTTTTAATAAATAAGAATATTAATATATTCTGTAGTATCTGGAATTATATTAATTTAATTAAAAATATCTTAAGAAGCTATATATTTTTAATATTTAGATATATCTTAAGTTTTTTATATATCTTAATTATAAATAAGAATCTCTAATATTTAAAAATATTATAAAAATCTTATTTAGATCTGATAATAATCTAGAGATTATTAATAATATATTAATTATTAGATTTTAATTAGAATAGAAAAAGAATATTTTTTAAAAATAATTTAATATTTATAATATTAGTTAATATTATTATTTAGCTATATATTTTTTTTAAATTTCTTAAGCTTTAATATTAGATTTAGAATAATTATAATTATATAAATATAGTCTTTTATCTGATAAATATAATAATAATATTTTTAGAGTTTTTAATATATATTATATAAATTTTTAAAAATCTTTTTCTTTTAGAATATCTGTTTTTTTTTAGTTTATTAATTAAGTAATTTAGATAATTAAAGAGATTATTATAAATATTATAGATTTTATAAATAATAAATTTATTATTCTTAAAAAAATAGAAAATAAAAAAAAAAAAATATAAAAACTTAAAAAAATATTTTATTTATTTTTATTTAATTATAATAGAATAAAAATAATTAATATTATTATATTTATAATACTGAATAAAACTTTTAATTATTTAATAAAGATTAAATATCTAATAAATTATAAGATAAATTAAGTTCTAATAGATTTTATAATTAAAAAAAAGATAATAAACTAAGCTAGATTTAAGTTATTAAATAAATAAAAACTTTTTATAATATTAAAAATTTATATTTATAAATTATATAATCTTCTGAATTTATAATTAAGAATTAATATAATAAATTAATTAATAAAAAATTTCTAGAAAGTTTTTATAAAAAAAGATTTTATATTAGTTTTTTACAGACAGCTTCTAGAATATATTTTTTTAAAAATTTTTAAAATATTAAAAAAAAATTTAAGATTTTTATTATTATTTTTTGTCAATAATATGGGCAGACTCGCCAGTTTGCTGCCTAAGGCTCATCAGTTTGCGGCCTCAGGCCAGTTGGCTGTCTTAGGCTATCAGTTAGCAGACTAATAATTTCAAGTTCTGTTTATCCTGCAGCAGAGTAAGAGATCTTATTTTTATTAATTATTCTAATCTCTATTTAATTACTGATTTTATTATTCTCAGCCCTGTTTTATTTATATAATTTTTATATAATTTTTATATAATTTTATATATTTTTATATACTTTTAATAGCTAATTAATTATAAATATAAATAAAAAGATCTCTTAGTTTTTAATTAATTTTTTAATAAGTTTTAATCAAGTTAAATTAGCTTTTAATCTTTTTTTTATTTATTTAATCTTTAATTCTTTTTATTATTTTTTTTATCTTTCTCTTATTTTTCTTTTATCTTTATCTTACTTTTATCTTATTTTTATATTTAATTTATATAAGAAAGTAAGAGTTCAGTAAAGTCTTTTTAAAAGATTAAAAAAAAGTTTTTATTTAATTATCTAATCTTTAATTTTTTTTATTTTTTATTTCTCTTATTTTTCTCTTACTTTTATTTTATTTTTATATTTAATTTATATAAAAAAGTAAAAGTTTAATAAAGTTTTCTTAAGAAAAGTTCTTATTTTTTAAGAAAAGTTCTTAGTTATAAGCCTGATTATACTCTTATATTAATTTTTTATTAATATTTCTAAGACTCTTTATATTTTTTTATTTTTTTTATTTTTATTTTATCTCTAACTTAAAATTTATATAAAAAATTATAGAATTTTTAAGTAAAAAATAAAATTTATTTAAATTCTTAAATTCTTTTAATTATTTTTTTATTATATCTTAAAATCAGTAATTTAAGAAAGTTTTTATTATTTTTAATAATTAATCTGATTAATTTTTTTAGATTAATTAAATTTAATTATTTGCTATTAATAAGAATATCTAAAAATATATAAATTTAGATTTATCTAAGAAATCTAATTATTTTATTAAGCTAGTTATTATATCTATTTCAGACTTTAATTATTATATTATTTTAATAATAGATCTTAGTAAATCAGACTATCTTCTATATTAGAAAATTATAAATTAATTTAATTATTAATTTAAGAAATAAAAAAAAATTATCTCTGAACTAGTCTTTTTAAGTTTATTAATAAATTTTATATTAAATAAATAAAATTAATATATTATACTTAATTTAGAAAGATTTTATTAAATTTTATAAGCTTTAAAGAAAAGAATTACTTCTATTAATTAGTTTTATATAAGAGAAATTATTAATAAATATTATAAACTGCAATTCTCAGGAATAAAGAGTTTTATTAAGAATTATATAATTTAATAGAAGCTTGTTTATTCAGAAATAATAAAGCTAAAATTAAGTAAGATTATTAGTTTTATTTAAATAATCTATAATTTTCTTAAATTAATTCAGAAAACAATAAATAATTTTATAATAATTTAATAATTAAAATTAATTAATAATAAGAATAATCAGAAAGAACTATTTAAATTTTTTAAGATAATATAAAGAGTATATAATTAGATTTATCTAAATTTTTAAATTAGATAATCTATTAAATTAATTAATAATAACAGTAATAAAATCAGCTATATCTTCTTTTAAGATCTTTTAGATAATTCTAAATCAACTGTTTTAATAACTGTTTTAATAATTAAGTTAAAACAAACTTTCTAAAATAATAAAATATTAATAAAAAAATAAAGATTTAAAAATTAGTCCTGCCCATGCAAATTAAACAAGAATAATAGATTTTATAATTTTAATAATTATTTTTATATTAATAAGAAATTAAGAGATTCTAAATAAAAGTCTGAGATTAAAATCTTAAACTATTTTAAAAATATTTTTAGAAATAGCTTTAAATTAAAATATTTCTTTAAATAATACTATCAGACTTATTAAATACTGTTTTTATTTAATAAGAATAATAAAGTAACTAATAAAGCAGAAAAGATCTTCTTAGTAATAAATTAATAAACTATTTATTTAAAATAATTATTAATATTTTATTTATTTTAATAGATTTTTAATACTACTTTAGATAATTATATCTATAATTTCTTAAATTTTTTTATTAATTATACTTCTATTATAAATAGAAGTAGATTAATAAAAATAAAAGATATTATCTTAGTTATTTAAGATTATAGAATAATTATTTTTTATCTTATTTATTTAAATAAAAAAGATTTATATTTTAAACTTAAAGAAGTAGTCTATATTTTTTAATTTTATATAAATATTCTCTTAGCTGTAAAAGCTAATAAAAAGAGACTATTTTTAAATAAGAAAGATAGATTTCTTAAATAAATAGATAAAACTCTATTATATTAAATTAAGAAAATTAAAGAAATATATTATATTTAATAAGAATAAAAATCTAGTTCTACTATAATTATTATTACTAAATTAAATTAATTAGCTATCTCAGGCTTGCTAGTTCATAGTCTTAAGTTAATTAAACTCTTAGAATACTAATATATAATATCTAGAACAGTTAAAGAATAATATAAAAAATTAGAATATTTTAATAAAAAAGCTCTAAATTATCTAAGTAATTTAGTTTAAAGAATTAATATTATTAATTTATTAAAACAGACTAGCTTAAATAAGCTAAGTTAAATTAAAAAATACTTTATATATAAAATTAGTTAATTAGAAAAATAAATTTTAAGACAAAAATTTAAAAAAGAAAGTCAGATATTTAAATCAATTTATTAAGACTTGATTTATATAATAAATAAAATTAATAAATAAAGATATATCAGCTATTTTTATTATTTTTATTTAAAATTTTATCTCGGATAAGTTCTAACTTTTAAATTAGATATTTCAGAATTAATTATTAATATAATTTAATTAATTATTAATTAGTTTAAAATAATATTTAAGAGATTTTATTCTAATTAAAACTAAAATCTTAATATTTTTCTAATCTAGACTAATATTAAAAATTTATTGATTAGTTATTTATTAATTTATTAGTCAGAGTAAAATCTATATACAGAAAGATTCAGAGCTCTAATTACTTTTAAAATAAAAAATTTATTAATTAATTTAGAGCTTTTTATATTTTTATAGTCTGAAATAATAGATTCGGCTATTTTTATTTTAAATAGAATATTAAATAAATAATTAAATTAAAAAATATTATATAAAACTATCTAAAAAAATCTTTTATAATTATCTAAAAAATCAGATATTTTCTGTTTAAGAAAGTATAAATTATATATTTATATTTAAATTAATAATTTACTTAAAAAAAATAAACTAGGGCTCAGAGTTTTAATTAATTATCTAATTAATTATTAGATAATTAATATTTAGCAGATCTGGGTATCTATTTTTAAAAGAGTAATTTTAGCTTATAATATTATTTTTAATAAAAATTTTAATTATAAATAATATACTGAATTAGAAAATCTATTAATAAAATAAGAAATAATTAAATTAATTAATTCTATTTAATTAAAATAATCAGATATCTCTATTTCTGAAGAATCTGAAGAATCTAATATAAATAAGAATTTTTTTAATTTAGAAATATTAAAACAAATATTTAAATTTTTATTAAATAATTAATTAGAATAAGATTAGTTAATAATCTCAGACTAGTTAGCTGTTGAATCAAGCCAGTTAACAGTCTTAAGTAATTAATTAAATATTTTATAAAATAATAATATAATTATAAAAAATTTATTATTTTTATTATCTAATCTATCTTCTTTACTATCTTAGATTCTTATTAATAATTTAAATATTAATAAGCTGATTAATAAAACTAAGTTCTTAGATATTAAATTAATTAGAGATTTGAAATAGATCTGCTCAGAATTATCTAATTTTAATTTTAAAAGAACTAGACTTATTCTTTAAATTATTTAAATAATAATTAATTATATTAATAAGAATAAAATTCTTTATATTAATTTTTTATTACTTTTATCTCTGTCTATTAACTGGCAAGAAATAAGAAATTATATATTTTCAAGCTAATTTACTCAGGCTGTTAAAACTGAAATTAATTAATTAAAAGCTCTAAATATTTAGAATATATATTTAATTTATAAAATTAATAGAGCTGAAGTATTATTATTAAAATAGATATTTTTATATAAATTTAATAAAACTAATTATCTGACTGGTTTTAAAGCCTGAATTTATATTAAAAATAATTTATAAATATTTGATTAGTTAAAAATATATACTAGTATTTTTATAGTCAGATTTATACAGATTCTTTTAGTTTTAATTATTATATTTGATCTAGAAATTAATTAACTAGATATAATTATTGTCTTTTTTAATAGTCTTATTAAGAAGAAAATCTATATAAATCTAATTTCTGAATTAAAAAATAAATAAATAGTTTTTCTATTATAGAAAGTCTTATATAGATTAAGATATTTATTATTTTTTTAATAAAATATTCTAAAATAGAGATTAATAGTTCTAGGGCTTAAGTCTATTCAGAAAAATTAATATATTTTTATTAATAAATTTATAATTTTGATAATTTTTGTGAATAATATAATTTATATATTTTATAAATTAAATTATTAAAAATTTAATAAATTTAAGTAAGAATTAATAATATTATTTAAATTCAAAGATCTTAGAGAGGTTAATTTATTTCTTAATATTTAAATCTTATATAATTATCTAAATAGAAAGTTATAAATTTAATAATTAAACTATATTAATAAGATTATTAATAAATTTAATTTAGAACAAAGAAAAAGCTCTAAATTCTTATTTTTAAATAAGAAATTAGTAAAGGATTCACTTTATTAAATTATTATTAATTAAATTTATAAATTTTAGCAGAAAATAGAATCAGCTCTATATTCTATAGTTTGGACTAGATCTAATATTATTAAATTATATTAATTAATTTCAGAATATTTAATTAATCCAAGCCCTAAATATCTCAGGGCTGTGGATTATTTAATCTTTTATTTAAAAAAAATAAAGAACTTAATTATTAAATTTAGCTCTAGTCTTATTTTATTTTATATAATTAGTAATATTAGTTTTGCTGATAATTAAGATCACGCTAGTTTAATAAAGTATATTATTTATTTATTTAATAATCTTATTAATTAGCTAAGCAAAAAACAGTATTATATAATTTTTTTAATTACTAAAACTAAATTATTAGTTCTAACTACTGCAGTCAAGTAATTTCTTTAATAAAAAAGATTTTTTAAATAAATAGGATTTAATCTTAATTAATATTTCTTTATATTATATAATAATTATTAAATAGTTAAAATTCTTACTGATAAGAATTTTCTATTTTAGACTAGTCTGAAATATATTAATATTACTAATTATTAATTAAGATAAGAAGCCCTAAATAAAATAATTAATATTTAATAAATATTTATTAATAAAATATAAATAAATAGCCTGACTAAGCAGTTTCTTGATTAGAAATATACTTAATTTATTAAATAATTAAATATAATAATTTATTAAATTTTATTATTATTATTTTTTATTTTTAATAATTTATTTATTTTAGTTTTTCTGATATTTTATCTTATTAAAACTACAGGGATATATTAATAATATAGATAGATTTATTAGTTTACTGTCTAAGACTTATTAGTTTGCGGTCTCAGGCCAGTTAACTGTCTTAGATTATTAGTTAATAAACTAATAATTCTGAATTCTGTCTATCCTGCAGCAGAGTAAGAGATCTTATTTTTATTAATTATTTTAATCTCTATTTAATTACTAATTCTATTATTCTTAATCCTGTTTTATTTATATAATTTTTATATAATTTTTATATAATTTTATATATTTTTATATACTTTTAATAGCCAATTAACTATAAATATAAATAAAAAGATCTCTTAGTTTTTAATTAATTTTTTAATAAGTTTTAATCAAGTTAAATTAGCTTTTAGTCTTTTTTTATTTATCTAATTTTTAATTTTTTTATTATTTCTTTTATTTTTCTCTTATCTTTTTTTATCTTTATCTTACTTTTATCTTATTTTTATATCTAATTTATATAAAAAAATAAGAGTTTAGTAAAGTCTTTCTGAGAGATCAGAGAAAAGTTCTTACTTAATTATTTAATCTTTGATTTTTTTTATTTTTTACTTCTCTTATCTTTCTCTTACTTTCACCTCACTTTTGCACCTAATTTATATAAGAAAGTGAAAGTTTAATAAAGTCTTCTTAAGAAAAGTTCTTACTTCTTAAGAAAAGTTCTTATTTTTTTATATATATTTAATAATATTATTTAAGATTTTAATCTAAAATTTCTGCAGAAGAGTATTAATTATAAGCTGAATTATATAAATAAGATAGAAAATATAATACTAATTTTAAATAATTTTTAAAAGATTAAAATTAATTAAAATATTTTAAAATTAAATACTTTAATTAAGTTAAGTTTAAAGTTCAGCTAAGATTATACTAAATATTATATTATTATTATTAGTATTATTAATTATTATATCTAATAATTAATAAATAAGATTATATTTATATAAGACTAATAGAATAATTATAGCTAGATTTTTATTAATATAAAATCTAGATATTAATTAGAAGCCTAATAAAATCTTATAATAATTTATATTTTTTATTAAAAAATATTTAATTAAATTAAGAAATATTTTCTGATTAAAACTAATTTAGTAATCTATTATAATTAATATTTATTTAATATTTAAGAATTTTGATAATAACTATATATATATCTTTTTAAATAGTTTTATAAAATATTTTTTAATTTATATTTAATTAAAAAAACTTAATTTTTAGCAGGAAGATAAAGCAGTAAAATTAATCATTTATTTAAATTAAATATATTTAATAATTTAAAATAATAAATAATAAATAATTATAAAATATAAAATTTAATTCTGAAAATCCTGTTTATTATAGATTATAAAAATCTAGAGAAAAATAATAATTAAAAAAGATTTATCTTAAAAAAATAAATAAATATCTATAATAATTTTTTATTTAATATCTGACTAATTATTTATTTAAATATAATTAATAATAATTTCTTTTTATAATTCTTATAAAAATAATAGCTTATAGAACTAGTTTCTAAGTTTTTAATTTCTAAATATTATAAAATATAAAAATATATAATATAATAAATATAAAAAATTTTACTAAAGAATAATATATCTTTTTAAAAATTATTTTATATTATTAATAATTTTTTCTAATTAAAATAAAATAGTAGTTTTTAAATTTATATATAATTTTTAAAAAAGATTATTTTCTATTATTAATTCTAAAAAATAAAAAGTTTTTTTTAAAAAACTAAATATAGAATAATCTTTTAATTTTTTATAATATATATAATCTTAAGATTTAAGAAAGAAGAAAAGATCTGATTTAAAAAGCTTATCTTAGTTTAAATATTATTATAATTTATAAAAATTTAAGAAATAGAAGAAAAAGACTTAATAATATTTTTTAAAAATAAATTAAATAATTATAATTAATTTATAATTCTAAAGCTGTTCTATAAATAATAAATATAAAAAAATAAAAACAGAAAACTCTGTTTAATAAATATTAGATTAGAATAAAAATTTAATATAATAATAGAATAGAATTTAATTTTTAATTATAAATTTAATAATAGATTTAGCAAGCAGAAATTTATATCTAAAGTCTAAAATTATAAAATAATCTTTTCTTTTAAATAGAGCTGCTTAAGATATAATAAATTAAAATAAAAAATAGATATTTATAAAAAAAATCTATAAAAAATTTTTATAAAATTTTTTATAAGAGCTGTAATATTATAATATAGATTTAATATATTTTATTTAAATATTTTATTTATCTGTTTTATTTATTTTATCTATTTAATTTATTTAATTTATTTAATCTATTTAATCTGCTTTATTTTAATAATTTAATTATTTATAATTTTTTTAACTATCTATTTATTTTTAATTTTATTAATAGCTTTTTAAGCTATATTTTATTTATAAATCTAAAAATAGCCTGATTCAGAAAAAATAATAGAATAAAAATAATATATTTATTTTTAATATTTTAATTAATAATTAATATATAGTTTTTCTAGTATTTTATAATATAATTAAGATATATAACTAAAATAGAATAATAATTATATATTTTTATATATATTTTTTATTATAAGAATAATAATTTTATAAAAAGCTAAATTTTATTAATATAACTAGAATTTTCTTATTATTTTTAATAAATAATAATAAAAAAAATACTAATTTCTTTCTTAATTATATTTTTTTAATTTAAAAAACTTTTTTTTATATATTTTTAGATAATAGTAAAGATGGTCAGATTAATAATTATTTAATCTAAATATATCTTAATTATACTAGAGCTTAAAAAGATATAGCAGATAGATCTTAATATTAAGAATAATTAAAATAATTAATTATCTAATTTTTAGCTATATTATAATTAGATATAAAAACTTTCTTAATCTAATTATAACCTGGTAATTAGATATAAAAATTCTAATTAACCTGACCTGACCTGGCTGTTAGCCACTCTATATAAAAGCTTAAGCAGATATTCTAACTGCTTTTATTTTATTAAAATAAAATAAAAATAATTAATATTATTATAATCCCAGTGCTGAATAAAGCTCTTGATAGCTGGATATAGTTTAATTATATAATAAATTATAAAATAGATTAAGTTTTATTAGATTTTATAGTTAAGAAGAAGATAATATACTAAAGCAGACTCTAGTTATTAAATAAGCTGAAACTTCTTCTAATATTAAAAACTTATATTTATAAAATATATAATCTTCTGAATCTATAATTAAGAATTAATTAAATAAATAATAAATAATAAATAAGCTGTAAGAGTTATCTATAAAAATCTTTTATAGATAATTTTTATTATATATTTTTTTAATTATTTAGAAAATATTAAAAGAGATCTTCAGCTTTTTATTATTATTCTTTTATATATATTTAACAGCTTTATTAGTAGTCTTAATTTAGAGTTTCTAAAAAAAGATATTAATAAAAAGCTAAATAATATAAATTAGACAGAGAATATAATATTAGCTTTAGATAATCTTTACAAGATCAGAGTCTACTAAAATATTATAAAGATAGATACTCTAGCTGAGTTGAGCCCGGAGGTCTAATATAATAGCACTAAATATAGTATTATTATTATTAGTATTATTAATAATTATTCTTAATAATTAATAAGTAAGATAATATTTTTGCAGGATTTCTAAGATAATCTTAGTTAGATTTTTATTAATATAAGATCTAGATATTAGTCAGAAGTCTAATAAAATTTTATAATAATTTATATTCTCTGTTAGAAAATATCTAATTAAAGCAAGAAATATTTTTTAATCTAGACTAGAGTGGCTTAACCTGACTGTTATACCTTAACCTTAACCTGGCCATAATCTAGTGATTAGATTAAGATATAAAAAATTTTTAACTATCTAATTAAGATTAAATTAAGATATAATTATTATTATAACTATTTATATCTATTAATTAGAAAGATTAGATATAATAGATAAATTAATAATTATAAATTAATTTATAATATATATATTCTTCTTATATAGATAATATACAAAGTATAATATATATTTAATTATAATATAAATATAATAATATTTTTTAAATATAGTCTACTGCTTGATCTACTTAATCAGTTATTTTAAAAAATATATTATACTTTAAAAAAGACTTTTATAGAATTTAATATAAAAAAAATAAAAAAAAATATAAAATATTTATTTTTTATATTATCTAGAATAATAATTATAATAATATAGAAATTATAAAAACTAGATTTTTATTTTTATCTGAGTATATATAATAATTAAAGATTTAGATAAAACTAATTTTTTTAATTTTAATAATAATCTATTCTCTGAATTATTTTCAAGATTATTTATATTTTTATTTTTATTAATATAAAAAATAATAATTATCTTATTCTTCTCTTACTTCTTAAATATAAAGATAATTAAATCTAGATTAAGATTATTAAATATATTCTAATACTTCTTACTTATAATAAAATAATTAATATATATTTAAAATATAACTGCTTTAATTATATCAGAATTAAGATAGCTTTAATAATAATAATAAATATTTTAAGAATTATTAAAAAAATATTTAATATTAATATTATTAATTATAATTAAGAGAAAATCTTTAATTATTTAATAAAAAATAGAAAACTAATCACAGCAGAATTTTTAATAAGCAAGAATATTAATATATTTTATAATATTTAAAATTATATTAGTTTAATCAAAGATATCTTAAGAAGCTATATATCTTTAATATCTAGATATATCTTAAGTTCTTTATATATTTTAATAAAACCTAAATATAGAATAATCTTCTAATTCTTTATAATATATATAATCTTAAGATTTAAAGAAAAAGAAAAAATCTGACTTAAGAAGCTTATCTTAATTTAGATATTATTATAATTTATAAAGATCTAAGAAATAGAAAAAGAAGACTTAATAATATTTTTTAAAAATAAACTAAATAATTATAATTAATTTATAATTCTAAAGCTATTCTATAAATAATAAATATAAAAAAATAAAAATAGAAAACTTTATAAAAATAGTTTATTTTATTTT